GCCTTTAGTTTAGCCGCACATTTCGTGACTGTATACTTACTTATTATTCAGACACTTTATCCCTATTTTATTACTTCGCTCAGTCAAAATTAAAAGCCCACTTAAAGTTTATTCCTCTTTAAGGATCGTAAAATTTATTGAGTTCAATCTTGAAATTTTTTCAAATTTGTTTTAAGTGCTCGTGAATTCTTCAATTTCTAAAGTTTTTTTTTTTTTATTGATTTTAATTCAATTTTCAAGAATATTTCAATTTCAGTATCAGATATATATGGAGATGAAATATTTTTTAATGAAAAAACGTAATTACAAAGAGAATTTTTGTTAATTCTTTTGTGAAACAACTTCATTATATATATTTTTAATTATTAATATTTCTGGAAATGAAAATAATTTTTTTCTCCATATTATAAGAGGTGCTAACAAATAAATAACAAAAAAAAAAACTTGTTTCTTAGTAATGACTTCACAGCATCTGCATGTCACCGTCTCAATTAATTCTGAACATATCTCCCCGACTGATACGTAGGAGTAGATTTCCGTAATTTGCTCTTACACAGAGCTTGCTTTTATTTCTGAATATACTTTGAGATCCCGTGTCTCTCTCTTTCTCTCTCTCTCTCTCTCTCTCTCTCTCTCGAGAAACATTTCCAAGAGATGTTAATGAGATTTAAGTAGGAGGATTAAACTGCTCTCATTATGAATTACATCTCACACCAGAAATCGTATTATATCTCAATTTTTTTTAAATCTTATGTCAATCAAGAAAAATTAAAAGATTTATTGATCTTCTTTTTTTTTAAATATTTCTATATTTTCTAATCTTTTTTCTAAATTCTGTTACTTTTTTTTAGGATCAGATATAATAAGCCTTGGTCAATTAGAGAATTATGATTGGAAGATAAATTTCAAAACTGCGTATATATCAGAGGAAGAGTAAATTTCACGGTCCATCAAGATGATTTTCTCTATATCTCTCTATGGAATCAAATGTGGAGAATATTTTTTTTCCCTTGTATGTGCGAGCGAAGGAAATATCCCGAGGTCGAAGTGTTCCATTGTCGGGGGAGTCATTTGGCGTAATACTGGTACTGGGATGCTGCGGATATATATATATATATATATATATATATGCTCCCTTATAATTTGCGTGACCTATGACCTCCGGTCTTTTGAGTCTCTCTCTCTCTCTCTTTCTCCCTCAACTTTAATACGACACTGCACGTACGCAATTCTCTCGTTCCTCGCGAATAGCATCCTTGCAATTTTACACAATCTCCGAGTGTGCTCCAATTTCACTTACAGTGTGAGATCAGATACCAGTTGCATCACCATCGTTCTCGATAAACTTGAAAGAAGTTATTGCAAAATTCTCACCTTAAACGAGATTCTTAATTTCTGTTTAATACAAAAATAATAATAATGATAAAAAAAATAATAATAATTAGTAGTGATAATAATAATAGAGGTAAATAAAGTAATTTCTGAAAGGAAATTATTTTACCCTTTGTAGAAAATTTTATTATATAGAGATTTTGGAGGGTTGTTGTGTATATAAATATGAATTGACTATATATATTTTGTGTATTATGAAAGATGGTATTAGAATGCACAAAGGCGATGAATGTTTGACTAATAGTTTGTAAGTCAAGAAGAGATCTTTCTTGTATAACGTCGTCTCAATTCCCCAAGAGAGCCCTCACGTTAATCCACAATACTATTGTATAAGGGTGATAAAAATTTATGGGCGCATCTCGATGAATCTTTTTGAATAAAAAAAAAAGAGGGCATGTACTTACGCAGTTTATCTCTTTATATTATTATTATATATTATAAATGCGTGACCGCATCAACCGCACTCGATTTTATATTATACACATATCATTTTTTTTTTCATCTCTTTTTTCTGATTGTCTGCTTTAGTCACAAAAAAAACAAACACTCATTCAAAAGAATAGATAATTTTATTTGCTAAAATATTTTTCATTTTCCTAATTGTTGTTTTTATATTTTAATTTTTAAAAAAATTCTTTTTTTTTAAATAATTTAAACTGAATTTTTCGTAGAATTTTGTAAAAAAATTATTTAAATATTTATCAAATTGAAAATTTGTGTATATATGTATATAGTTGTATATATGTAAATTGGAAAACTTGATAATATGTAAATTCAGCAATTTCGAAATTCCCGCAAAATGTAAATTCAGCAATCTAAGAATTCACGAAAACTTTATTACAACATACACACAATTCGTGGAAAATGGAAATTTAATAATCGGACTCTTTTTTTTTACAACAACGTCAAATATTTTTTTTTGTTTTTTGCGAAATAAAATGTCAGTTTTTTGTTTTGAAACTCATGTAAAGAGAAGAAAACTATATTTTTTGTTAAATCCAAAATTTTGGAAGTTAAAAATTTTCTGAAATCAAAATCAATTTTTTTTTTTTAATTTAATCAACAAAAAGAGAAAAAGAAACATGATTGACGAGATGTGTGGCTAAATTTTTGGGGGAAATATTTTTGTATATATAATTTTAAACATATAAATAAGGATCATCGATCAGAGAGAAATGAATCATCGGCACGTGCCTTGATGTTTGATTTGCTGCTTATTTATTTAAGACTCTCTCGTTTGAAATGTGGCTCGTTAGGCATGGTGCCTACTACTTACTTCTTTCGGAAAGCCCAGGATCGATCCTTTTGGTTCGGTTCCTTCCTGGCCTTTCTCTCCCTCTCTTTTTTCTCGTTCCCCTTTTTTTCCACCTGTGTGAGTGTATATATATGTATGTGCATTGGCTCAGTTTGGTATCCTACTCCTCCTTTCGGTCAACTTCTACCTCGTTAATCGATACTGAGCCAAATCCTGCCCTGACTCGATTCGGTTCTTTTCTCCTAGGGGCACGTCTCCTTGGTCATGGAACTCTCCTTATATGGTAACGATCAAGATTGTCCCTTACCAGGACCCACCCTCGTCAACTGGCATTGGCCAATTGAATCTTTCCTTAGTTTTTTTTTCAATTCAAAAAAAAAAAAAATAACAATTCAACCCTTATTACTATATATAGTATTTATTTCTTTGTTTTACTTTTCTTTTGTCGGTTATTGTCTTCTCGATAAAATGGAGAAAAGAGCTTCCTTTTTAGCTGACACTTAATTACGCTCCTTTTTTTTGGAACTTTAGAAATTTCTATTGTCAACATAATTTTTTTATACGATTTATTTAAGGAAAATTATTCTCTAAATAATTATTATAATGAAAATATTTTATTGAATTTTAAAATTAAAAATACAATTGGATTCTAGGAAATTTTTTGAAAGATATTATTAGTGGTAATCTGACGAAGGAAATGCGCGAGAAACTGGTTAACAGTGAGTTAAAACTATAATTATACCGATTCTATAATTATGACCATAGTCGAGTAAAATCAAAACAGTTATATCGACTTGTTCCTATTCTTAACTGAAAACGCATAAAAGCTATTAATAACTATTTTCCTGCTAACATTATTTCATTATATGGTAAAAACGGCAAATTTTCTCTCATTTTATTTATTTAATATTCTCAATAATTATATTATAATAAAATGAATTTATTTGAGAAAATTAATTTTCTAATTAGAAAAAAAATTAATTTGATTCAAATAATTTGACATTTATCAAATAAATATAGATATTTGTATATAAAATAATTATTATTTGGTCCAATTAAATATTTATTCGATAATAAGTAATTGATTATTTGAACTAAATAAATTTTTTTATTTTCATTGTATTATAATTATATAATTTAATGTCCAAATGAAATAATTTTTTCTCTTTTTTATTGACTCCATTTGTATAATTAAAATCATAATATATATATATATATATATATATTTCTATAAAATTTTCTATAATAATATATAATCAAATATTTATAAGGTGTATATAACATCCGGCGTATATAATTTTCGTGGAGAGATAATAACAGTGTAGTAATTTCATTTATTTGTAATTAAGTAATTGATATATAATTAATTAAATTTATAAGAAATTCTATATCTCTTTTTGAAATATATATATTTTTCGTTAGAATGATTTCCTCTTATCGAAATAGCATTTATATCAAACATCTGTTTAATAATTATAATATTAATATTATTAATTATTAATTAATTTATTATTATTATTATTATTATTATTATTATTATTATTTAATAATTAAATCAATTATAATTGATTTAATCAAACTCTAAATTTGTTTTTGATAATTAATTTACTTTTCCAACTTTGGAATAATTAATATTAATTGAATTAAAATCAATTAATAAAAATAATTGAATAATTAATCAGAAATATTTAGTTTCTTAATTTTTCATCTTTTATTAAGTGGCTATCTTTTTATATAAAGTTCACCACTTCCTGAAATGGGATTCATCTGATTTTTTTTTTTTTAATGGTAGACTGACATCATGCACCCTTTTGATGATATCAACTTGGTTCTGTGCCAAAAAACATTTTTCCGATTCCAACTTGTCACATCGTAAATATAAAGAGTTGGACTTTCAGTTATAGGTGTTTTCTAGGTATAAGAAAAATATAATCTTCAAAATCCAAAATTTATATTTTTCTATTATATCACTTTAAAAAGTCAAAATTTTTTTTTGAATCTCTGTTTATTCATAACGAAATTATCAATATTAATTATTATCTTTATCATAAACGTCATACATTTTAATTGAAATATTATTAACTTGATAAATTAAATTTAATTAATTATTTATATGGGTGATATTTAATATTTTTAATCCTATATTGTTCAATATAAATTAAATTAATTAAATATAAATTATCGAAATGAAATAATTTGAAATATTAAATAATTTAAATTATTCAGAATATATTTGATGTCAAACATTTTAAATTAATTTTCGTTTTATTAGGTTGGCTTTTATCAATCGTCATCTTTTATTATTTATGTCAAAAAAAAAAAAAAAAAAAAAAAAAAAATTGTCTGACTTTTTTTTGACGCATAAAATATTTGATAATTATGGATTTAATTGATGAAATATATTGTGCCGAACAAATTAAAATACCCGTGAATTTTCCATATATTTTAAAACTTTATGCAAAATCTGCCATTCGTACACAACCATATGATTTGCTGAAATGGTCTTCTGTTTATTTTCGTTCAATTGCTGATGGCAAAATTCCACCCGTTAAAGTTTGTTATAATTTTCCAAAAAAATTTAATAGGAAACTAAGAAATTTTTTTAATATCTTATTTATTGCTAATATTATATATTAAACTAACCACATACTCAGATTTGGTTATTATTAAGAAATTTTCTCAACTTTCAAAAGTTTGATATAAACTTTGGTAAAAAAAAAGTGACTCAAGTTAGATAATTTAAAATTTCTCAACAAATTCTTTCCTCGTAAATTTCATAAATTGCTCTCTTGCAGATCAGAAAGTTCAAAGATTTTTTTTTTTTATATAAAAAAAATTGACTAGAAAAAAAAACTTTTTGTGTAGTAGAATAAGATTAGATTTTTAAACATACAATTTTAAAATTATTTATTTATTTTATTATTATTATTATTATTATTATTAATATTTATTACCTGTAAATACTTTTTATTACTTATTATTACAATTTTGTAATTGTATTTGATTTTAAAATTATTGCTAAAAAAAAAAAATATAAAAAAAAAACAAGAAAAATCGATGAATCAGAAATATATTATCCCAAGGGAAATTGGAGAGTGAAAAGCAGAATGCCCATTTTAATCTCATCCAGAAAATGAAATCTGTCATACTGAATGAGGCTTAACGAGGAGAACAAAAAATCAATTGTATAGGGATGTTCTTTTACTAAAATTCTAACGTGTGTCCTCCCCTAGATACAAGTATTTGTCGTATATATGTATATTCCTCGCGGGATTTCTGACACTAATTCTTCATTAAAAGTTATTATTGAGCGCGTATATATATATATATATATATATATTCTAACGAAACATGAATTTTCCATTTATTCACTCTAAAAGTTAATACTCTAATATTCTCTGTGACTTTTGAAATGATTAATTTCTTTTTTTTTTAAATAAATAAAATAAAAATAAAAAATAATAAAAAATAATAATAATAATAATAAAATAATAAAATTTAAATAATTTCAATAATAAAATATTATTTAAAATTAAATAATATTGATAAATTGAAATAAATGAAACAAAATCATTTTTTCTAAATATTTCAATATATGTAATAATGAAAGAAAACAGGAAATTAAATTTTATTTCTGATATTAAAATATAAAAAATATTGATTTTTTATCATATGGTAATTGTCGACTAAATACAAAAGCCCTGTTGGTTCGCATCTCAATTATAAGTTTTAGGGGGCAGAAATTATAGAAACTTTAGAGTCACGTTTGTCCCTACTCTCTCTCTCTCTTTCTCTCTCTCTCTCTCGTATCAAGTCCATTGTTCCCTCGAAAGTTTATTTTACTTCGCTTGTAATTATCCACAAAAAAAATCTCTGGTTTCTAGTTTCAAACTCGTTGAATAACACATGCTCATCGTTTCACACAGGACCTTTCAACATAATTACTCCTGAAAATCAACTCGTTAAACTAACTCATTTGCATATTTTTGTGCAAACAAAATATATATATATATATATATATATATTTACATAATTGTTCTATATACTTATTATCTCATTATTAATTTTTCCAACTCTTCATCTCTCGTTCTTGATATGCTTTTAAAATTTGCAGAAATATACGATGATAAAACGTCAAGAGTTTGTCTGCGAGAGTTTCATTTCTCTTTGAAGTTTTTATAATTTGAAACTTGAATAAACTTTTTTACTCAATTACAAATTTTTTCGTTTCTTCATTAATTGAAGTTGAGAAAGTTTCTTATTCAAAAAAAAAAAAAAAAAAATGCGGTAAAATTTGAATTTTTTTCCCCCTAATTTTTTTTGTATATTATAATGATTTTTTAATTTTTCAAGGAACGATTGGAGTATCCGCCTTGTGAACATCCTTCAAAAATTACACCGTATTACCTAAAATCATTGCTGAATCAATATGGTCACGTTCGAAGTGTAACCCTTGAATCACTTTTAACCAGTTGGCATGAAATCGGTTTCTCTGAAACGAGTCTTTATCAGATATTAACGATTGGTCAGTTTCTAAAGGAGCGAGTTTGCGATTTTTATCAATTCTTGGCAATAGCTTGCGGCCTCCTTGGAAAAGTTGGTGCCTCTCTTATTATTATTTCTTCAATGATTATTATAAAACTTAATTTTTTATCTATAGAAAAGAAATTTTAAAAACTCCCAACGCAGTTGACTCACTTTTTTGAGCTTTTCTGTTTCTTTTAAAATTTCTTGTTTCTGAATTAGAAAAATGATGTTGAATTTTTTAATGTTTAGTATATAAATTCAATGATTTTAAAAATCAGATTTTAAAACGAATTTTGACATTATAAAAGTTATTCTGACTTCTTAGGAACTATGCATCTAAGAAGTTTGTATTTAAATTTCAAAATTATAAATTGTACTTATAGACTTTCTAAGACCATGCCGTCAATCTAAAACTGAAACCTCTTAGAACTTGTCAATATGTTATGAAAAATTAATCCTTATAAAAATTATTTTTTTTTTATGAATATTTCCAAAAGAAAATAGTGTTCTTATTTGAAGCTTTTTCATAATCAAAAACGTTGCTATTTTCAACATTATATGCCAATATGAAAATTTCATATAAATATACCCCGAGAGAGTTATCTCTTTCGTGAAAGTTTATTTTTTTTTTTTTATGTATGAAAATTTCTATCTCCTGCCGGGCGTAGTCCTTGAGCAGCTCTCTCGTCGGGAAGTTTGCGTTCTAATTAAATCCTTTCACAGTAAAGTAGCGTGCAGGCGTAAAATTTTCAGTTCTGCTTCAGAACCTTTTTGAAACGATGGTGTATGTTTGTGAGCTCTTGACGGAGGAGCCGGAGGGCGGATCTGCGATGATACCACTGAAAACGTTTCTCAGCCTCTATGGATATCTTGCAAATCTCAATTGCACGGAAGAATCGGAAGCCTTAGAGTTGTGCTTCTGTGAAAGTGTGTCCAACGTCAGAGAAAATGAGAAGATGAATGAGATCAAAGAAAAAGAAAAAGCCAAGCAAAAAATGAAAATAAGCCAAAAAAATATTTCTGATCTTTCATTTTATTGTGAGGAACAAATAGAGGAAACTATCAAGGTATGTATATATAAATGATTTTTTAATTATTAATTTTTGCTATATTACTTGATTAATAGAAAAGCTATTCATCTCAAGCTGATACAAATCTCCATTTGATTTATGTTAAGAACAATAGTATAAAATACACTTTCTATAATGCTTTATACATTTCAGTTTAATTCTCAAATGAATCAACTCTCAAGGTCACTAAAGATGAAATCATTCAAGAAAATCGAAACTTTTTTTATTTTTTAATATAATTGTAAATTAGATTCCAGATTCAACAATTCTCAACAGTACAAAAATTTCACAAAATACAATTTTTGATAAAGAAGAAGAAAATTCCGAGATCTTAATTCTTTTCGATCAAAGAACAGAAATAAAATCTGATGACAATCTCGTGTCACCGAATCATTACAATTTCTTTGAGGTATATATTTAATTTTTTTTTTTCTCTTTCAATTTATAAATTGATAAAAGCAAAACTTTTAATATATATTTCGCATTGCAATTTATGAATGATTCATATATTTAAAGTTTACTAGAATCAAAAGAATAAGTGGTTTGTATCGAAGTTGAACTCGTATATATCTCGAAGGAGTAGGAAAAAAAAAGTTTTTTTTTTACTCAAAGAAACGTAAATAAGGTAAAAGATGGTGAAAAAAAAATTGCAATCCGGATTTGTATTAAGGGGTTGAGAGAGAAATTGCAGCATGGCTTATTGCTAATCTAGAAACTGTTTCATTCCTTGAATAATTCATGGTCCTTTATTACTGAGATCGTAATTTGGAATCATCCTTTATCACCTTATATTACTCTCTTCCTTTTCTCTCTCTCTCTCTCTCTCTCTCTCTTCGAGTTTGAACTTCGTTTTTCTTTCACTTCTTTTCAGAAAACTAGTATCTAAGATTATCACCGGAGAATTATTTATTACAATCGATAAAACGGGTCTGAAGGTCTCATGCGCCTTATCGTTTGAGCTCCTATAATACTCTCGCAGCAAACGATATCGTCTAGTCCGGACCACTTTCAGATGACCATCGATTCTTTCCCATTATCAACTCTCTCTCTCTCTCTCTCTCTCTCTTTTTTTTTTTTTATTCAACTTTTCCTTTTATACATTCAGACTTTTTCAAGCAGCTAAAAAAAAAAATTCTTATTTAGTTTTGTTAATAAAAAGTAAAGTATTACTGTATTAGCAGAAATGAAAACTAGTAGAGGGGAAAATTTTAATTTAAAAATACCTTTTTTTATTGAATTTAATTTTGTAAAATGCAGATTGAGGACAAGATGAATGACGAGAAAAAGGAGGTTAAGAAGAGGACCGATGAAAGGAACAAAGATGATGATGATTACAGTTTCTCGTTTAAAGGAGAAGAGACAGAAGTCAGTAGCTTTGATGATGAATGCATTGAGCATGATTTGAAATACTTGGAGAATTCTTTGAATGGTAAGAAATTAATTTTTCAGTTTTTTTCAAAATAATTAATGTTATATTAAATATAGTATTTCTACGACCTCGTTTTTCACGCATTTAATCCTTTTGAATTTTCAATAATTATTCAAAAACAGGTGTGCTTGTAAAATCATTGATGCGCGTTCAGGAATTCTTTTTATATAATACTAACGGAAGTAATTAACACTAATTTGATTTGCCATTGATTATGTTTAAACGTTCTGTATTGAAAATTGAAAAGTAAATGATTTTTTTTTTTTTTGTACGTATTTTGTGCTAATAAAATTAAAATCAGTAAATTTAATGTGAATTAATGAAAATTTCTCTTATTCAAGGTACCTGTGAGAATATTGACGTGAAATTAGACATTGAATCCATAGTCGAGGAAATCAGTTCTCCAGTAGTTGATTTTGTCGAGGAGTTCCTGACAAGAATGAAACTCGAATTTCCGAATCCGTGTGAATTGTTGAAAGTTCCTGGGATTGGGCCAAAGGTCTCTGAAGATACAGTGACCAAAGTTGGTCTATGGTTGGGAGATTGCTCCCGTCGACAAAACGGAATTGTTGGACCAAGGAACATGAGACATTTCCTCTGTCCATATCTCGACGACTTATCCAGTGCATGAGGATTACAAGAGAGAGAGAGAGAAAAAAAAACCTCAAGTACCATTAAGTCTATGAGTGTGTCTAGAGTCTGCATGGCCCCCGAGAATGAACAGCCAGGAAGTTCCTTTACCAAGTCGACCATACCTCTCGAGGTGTATATATGTGTGTGATCGATCTCTTTCTGCTCTGTAATTTCATTTTTCTTTTCTCTCGTTGAAGTTCAAAGACCCCCTCCCCCCTTACTCTGTGAGTTAAGTGCCTTGCTGCGCAAGTCGAAAAGAAAAGAGCTTTCTGCGAGAGGTACTCACGTTTTCACTCCCGTAAAATGTAACTGCTAAGGAAACAATGAAAGCATTACAATTTTTTTCCAACTGGTATTGCACTTTTTTCAAGATAGTAATTTATTTTCTCAATTTGACTTGATTTCTCAAAAATTTCTGAAATTAAAATAAAAAAAGAAGTAAAATTTGTTTACTTCTATTAATTTAACGCAGCTGAATTTATTTTTTTTATCACTTCTTACGGAATAAATTATTATAATTTAATTTAAATTTATGCGTAGCCCGTTGTTTGCATTATTAATTTTCGGTGTTTTTCTATTTCTTATTCGTGTTTCAATGTTAATGGGGGTTTTTTTTCTTTAAGATAAGAAAAATTGGGTTATCCGTTTTGAAAAGCGATACATACAAAAATTTGGCCTTTTTTTTGACAAGGCTAAATTTGTTTAGTATATATAAATATATAAGACAAAGCATCGAAAAATTCTTCAAAAAAAAAGTTTTCTTTTATTCTCCAACTTGACGTCTCTTGACAAAGTTGATTTAAATTCGACAATATGTCACTTTTATTCAACTATATTTGTTTCAATTTATTTTTTCTCTCCGTCATTTCTTTGAAAAAAATTCACTTTTATCGTGACAGTAAATTGCAAGATAATAAAAAATCCGCTCCAACTATTGTTTATCCAGGTGAGACAATTTTTTTTCATTTTTTCCTGAGAAAATTTCTAAATTATTAAATTTTGATTATTTATATAAAACACACGATGTAGTAATAGAAAATTTCTCTTTGAAAATTATAAAAAATGAATAGTCAAATGAAAATTGAAATTAAATAATATTGGATTTTAATTTGAACTTCTTGGGGAACATTCACGAATTTTGCATTGAAAACTTTCAACATAAATTTCATGCACTTTTATGTCCATGTACCTGTTCAAAAGAAGGGAAATAAGTTTTTGAGGAGAAGAATATATGTATAGAAGGGAGGATAGATAGAAAAAGGAGATTTTACAGTCTAGCCATCATCTTGCAATGAAAACTTTTCGCAATAATAAAGTTTCACAAAGTTCCCTTTTCAAAGACTTTCCTAAAACTCAAACAAACAGAAATAAGGAAAGTATTTTTTTTTTAGGAAAAAAAAGTGTCATATTTCTATAATATATTTTTCTAACAATTTAGTTAAAAAAAAATTTTTTTTTTTAAACAAAATTGTAGCAAAAGAAAATTGTAGAAATTGTTTTAAAAAAAATTCTTATATTTTTGAAGAAAATTGAAAAAAAAAATTTGTTGAAATGTAAAAGAGGAGTTTCTTTATAACTCGTGATGTTGAGAGAAATATTCGAAAGAGAGAAAGAGACTCGATTTCAATTGAACATTCCGGAGTGTATGTACATATATCACAAGTCTCAAGAGAAGGTCCAATACGTCTGATAACTGTCTGCTCGTAAAATGGGATCCACAAACTTGTTACGACTTGTACACACGAGGTACATAGATATATATATATATCCTTTGCAGGCACAAAATGGTGCGGAAACGGAAATGTGGCTGAGAACTACAATGACCTTGGAAAATACGCAGAAACAGACGCATGCTGTCGAGATCACGATCATTGTAAAGATATTATTCATGCCATGGAGACCAAATACAATCTCACCAATATGTGTATTTATGCAAGGTTTTTATTTTCAATATTACATTCTATTTATAAAAAATAATTTTTTTTTATATATATTTTTTATTATAATTTTAATCTTAAACTGCAAATTTATATAAATCATTCTATTTTCAACATTTCCCCCCCCCCATTTTTAAAAATCAATCGTTCTTTGAAACATGAAAAATTCAACTGATGTGTCAATTTTTGATAATCAATTTTGATTGAGCTTTTTTCTCCCAAAGGAATTTTTTATTTTTGTTACTGCACAAAAAAAAATTGTAATTTTTTCCCAATATTTACATAGTTGAATTGTAAATTACTTTTGGAATTTTTCAACAATATCGTTTGATAGATAAATTTTTTCCGCGTGAAAATCAAACCACGTTGTGGGAATTGAAGTTTAGTTCAATATATAGAATAACATTTCTAATGGTATAGACACAAACAGTGTTCAATTGAGCAAATAACGCAGATATATATTTTATACATATAGTTGGAAAGTCAGAAATGACCTAGTTCAAAAAATGTTTAATCATTCTATTACTGGCTTATATAAAAAAAAGGAAGAAGTTGAATTTCTTATTTCCATCGTACTTGCAGTGCACTTAGTATAAACTTTCTTTCAACAAAGTTGTAATATAAAAAAAAAAAAAAATGAAAAAAAGAAATAATTAGAGAACTTACAAAGTCATTCTTAGTGAAAGACTTCTTTTCTTACTAAAAAAGATACATTAATTTTTAAAAAATTCTTTTATTAAAAATTATTAATAATTTTATTATTTTTTTTTTGCAGATTTTTATTTTTTTAATGAATTAAGTGTAAAAAAAAGTATTAATTCACTATATCGAATTCAACTAATTGTCTTTTTTGAGCTTTTTTAATATTCATTTGAATTCGCGATTTTTTTTCTCTCCTTGTTGAAAAGATTTTTTTTTGATGCAAATTAAAGTCTCACCCTCTAAGGAAAAAGGGAATGGAGTGTATATAAAAAGAAAAAGAAATTGAGAGTTAAAAGGGAAGAATACAAAAATGTTGCGCACACATACACCCCTCTCGCGGATAATCGATGTCGAATTCTCTCGCCTGTCCTGAATTCGAAATATACAACGAAGCAATGCAGTAAAATAATATACTATATAGCTCTTCTGTATCAACTTGAAAATTCTTTTAGTATACAAAATACATTTTATATACTATTGTCACTTGGAAATTGTTTATTTTTTTTTCTTTCAATGTAATATAGGGTACATTGCTCCTGTGACGAGAAATTTTACGATTGTCTTGAACAATCTGAGGACAAAATTGGCAATAAAATAGGAATTCTTTACTTCAACTTTTTGAATACTAAATGCTTCCGCAAAGATTATCCAATACGAAGATGTAAACGATACACGAGGTAATGCTCTTTATTTCATTAAAAAAATCTTATATTTCTCTATTTAATAGTCATCCAATCAGAATAAAATTTCATTAATAAATTTTATAAATTTTCCCAGAGAGAGAAAAATTGTTTTTGATTTGAAATTATAATTTTTTTTTTTTTTTATAAATACTAAATTTATTTAAATTATTTCTACAAAGAATTAGTATATTTTTCAAAAAAAAAAATAAATAAATTTTATTTTTATCTCTCTGGAGTATAAAAATTACTAACACCTTATAAGAGATTAGATGAAAATTGATTTTTTTGTCTAAATAAAATTTGTCAAACTTAGAACTAATCTTGTTGTTAATTTGACATGAACCATTAGTTTATAGGTTTATCTTTTGAGTAGGATGAAATTTCTTTTCGAGTAATCTTAAACGAAGTCAGAATTAAATGGACAAAATGTTTTCAACAGATTTCCAAGGAGATGTGTCGAGTACGAGTTAGACGAAGATGGATCAATGATATATCAGTGGTTCGACGTGCCACCCTTCAAATAAATTGTCATTTATCAAGATAAATTTATCTTTTCAAAAAATCTCTCTCTTACTTACAACAAAATTATTGTCAATGTTCCATAATCAGTACATTTTTATCGGAAAAAAATGAAAATATTTTACAATATCGACTTTTTTTAATAAAAAGAAAATAATTTAAATTTTTCCAAAAAAAAAAATTATTTTCTTAATAAATAATTAACGAAACAATTGTAAAAAATTAAAACAAATGAAAATGTAAATTTATTTAATTACACATTATTTTAATGCAAGAAGTAATAAATAGAAATTTCATTCTTTTCAAATAAGCTTAATTCTTAACTCTTGACTAGCCATTTTAAATGAAAAAAAAAAAAAAAATCTTTGGAATCGTGAAAATTTTAATTCGAGTTCCGGAAGAGCTTGTTTATTTTTCTGACGAAACTAATACCTGGAAAAGCAATTAAAGCAGAGGGCCATCGAACCAGCATCAATTTAATTGCTCCCAACGATTTTAATTGTTCATTTTTTTCCTCTCTTTCCTTTCCTTTTGAATGTAAAGCTCTTTGTAATTTTTTTCGCGTCCCCGCGGTTTCTGTACATATATATATATAGAGAGAGAGAAAGAGAGAATATTGTTATCACATTAATGAACTAGTTTACCAATATATTCCTTATAATACAAAACACCATCTTGCAAAATCGGTTTATCTTCCTGCTTTATAATATAGGATTGATCGTTTAATGTCTTTTCTCCAACATGAAAGCATTCAATATTATTAAGAGGATTATTAAACAATCGAATAACGAACCATGTTGCATTTATCGTCGCTCTACATTCTCTTGCCTCAGGAAGGAGGGGGGGATTTATTATTTTATCCAATAACTTCCAAAGACAAAAAAGTTTTTTTTATTATTATTTAAACGATTTTTTTTATCTAATTTAAATCAAGTCCAAATATTTATCAATTGTATAATTTTCAAATTGCTGAATAAAATCTTTCGTTGTGAAAGAAAATTAATTTTTAGAATTTTAATACAGAAAAAAAATTATTATTAATTTAAATTATTAAAAATATATTTTCTATTTAACTGATTGTATAATTTTATCTTATATTTGTTTCAGATTATGTAAAATTATTTTCAAAAGGTTTATTTTAATAATTTAATTTTTTTCAACGTTACTGTAACTTTTAATTATTCTTTTCTTTTCAGTTAATTGTTAAACTTTTAATAAACATTTTCCTATTTTTTTGCAACGGAGTTTTATACTTTTTAATTAAGGTAAAAACTGTGAGAAAACAATTACCTTTTTTTTCAATTGGTTTTATTTATTTATTTATTTTTTTTTTTTGAAATTACTTTGACCCTCTTTTTATTTTTATGTAAATTTTGCATAGAATTATTTTCTATGTACGAAAATTAAATTATAAACAAATATTTTAATTATTATTATTAATTTTTTTACTCATGTAAAATATATACTTATTAATTATTTTAGTAATTAATTATGAAATGTATTTTGTAATAGATTAAATAAATATTATACATGTTTCTATAGAGTGAATAGCTTTTGAGCAGAATCAGAGGAAATTTGAAACTTGGTTCATTAAAGCTCGAGCCACTTTGACCCCAGCCACTTGAATTCTCATCTCACTAGGAGTCAACTTATATGTTACGTGGTCTTTAAGTGCGTACTTGCGATTTGCTGTGTGCAGAACTGCAACAAGATCACATTGAACATCTTCAAACAGTGAGAGAGCGTCGAGATAATAAATGAAGAGACATCTTCATTATAATTGCTAAAAATTATTACCTCTATTATCGAATTAATAATAAAAAAGAAAATATCCTCGAATTTATTATCATAATTAAATTACTTTTACGTTTTGAAAAAAATATTTATTAATATCAATTCAAAAAAAAAAAAACCAAAATTATAATAATTTTCTTAATAATAAAATTTTAATTAAAAAAATTTTTTTTTTGTTTATAGATGTTGCAGCTTCGGTTGATGTGCATTTTGAGAATAAGGATGGTGGATTTTTTTTGAAACATTCACCAAGACAATATTATTCATCGTCGTCGCGACAAGAAACAATGACGCCAATATCATCAACGGTAACGGCGTCGCCTCCAGGTTCAGTTTTGTCCATCGACAAATTCACAGTCTTCCAGACAAGCGAACCGGTTTCAGTGAGAGCGACCTACGGCCCTTTCAGCACAAAACAAACTGTTCCGGCGCGATACATCGTCCCGGATCCTCTTGATACACTTCCGTTACCCGATCCAAGAAATAGAGGGCCAAATAATAATAATAATACAACAACATCATCGCTGGCGATGAGCAGGGCATTATTGGATGCCCAGGAACTTGGTACAAGACATTTGGATATGTCCGCTCATCTTGTGAGCAACACCGTTGCACGTGATTCACCGGTCCTCAGGTATAATAATCAAATTTTCAAAACTCGTTTTATTTCAATCAATTCTTTTTTTTCTGTGGAAGTACGATTATTTATCATTTTATTTTAAATTATATATTCAATTAGATTTTTTTCTGATTATTTAAAATATTTTCCATAATTTATGGTTTTTTTTTTATATTTAATTGAATTTTTATACTGTTTTCTTATGAGGAATTTTTCTAAATTTAATTTGATATTTATGGTAATCGAATTTTCATTTTTTAATTGAATTTTATTTCAATCAAATGTCTTTTCCAATTTTTATCTAAAAAGAATTTCTCTTTATTTAATTTTATTTAATTAATTTAGAAAATTTTTTCATTTTTTAATTAATAAAAATTATTCTAGTTTATAAAATCCGGATTTCAGAAAATATCTATTTTTATATTTCCATTTTGTTTCCAGATTTTTATTAGAATATGCCGTTCAGGATTTGTCTTTATATATATATTTCTTTTGTATATTATATACTATTTTTATTTATTCTTTTTTTTTATATTTGCTCTAAATTCGAAAGATAATATTGAAAGATGAAAGAGAACGTCTCATCGTATACAGGGTAAACCTCATTTATCTGAGTGCTTTTTATAATTATGTCAATGGATAAAATTCTGATATAATATATATATTTTTTTTTTTTTTCGAAAAGTAACATTTTTATCGGGAAAAACTGAGACTCCATTGTACCTTTGAGAATCATAACGTTCCATGTTATTACGTATTTTACGATATACGGTTGCCCTAAATCTGAGGAGATGCAAGTGCTTTTAGACTTATCGATCCAGTCAGTAACACCTACTTTTCTGAATTTTCCAATACTGGCGAGATACTTCAAGACGCTGAAATTTCACCAATCTCCTCGTTTCACCAGGAATTCCCTTTAGATTCTCTCCTCCTTATTCTTATTGGTCTCTCTCTCTCTCTCTACATGGGAATAAATCTTCTCGTTTTCCAGTCGTTTTTTTCCTCTTATACTTTAAATAACTTTTCAAAACTAATATTTAACTCTTGTAGACTATTAAAAAGAAAATTTAATATTTTATACTCATGTGACAATTTTTTGATTCATTGCAAGTTCAATATTTTAGTATTTGAGTATATCATTTTATTTCACTCTTGTCAATTTTGAGAAAATAAAATAAAATCTCCAATAAAATTTATCGTTTATTTTAGAATGAGTTCACAAATATTAATTGACTTTATTTTATCTTTGAATATATAATTAAATATTAATTCTTATGTCTGGATATGCGATCTATATTGATATTAATTTAGAGACAAGTATTTCAAGCAACAACTAAAATGGAGAATATTTTTTTTTTAAATCCCATTGAAAATTCCATCTTTCAATATTAAAAATAAAAAAAAAAATGAAATACAATAGGGCAAGACAATCTTGATCTCTGGATGAAAATAAAGAACATTTCTCTTCTCTGTTCAGGGTATTGTTCCATGCGGGAAGCGAGTCAACCGGTAGAAGACAATTGCTTCTGGGTCGTCATCAGAGAGTTTGCGTCGTGCTGCACGCTTCTCTAAACGGTGGTAGCAGCAGGTTGAGCTCGACTGGATCAAAGGACTCATCATCATCATCATCATCGTCTTCTACGTCGTCATCGTCAACGAGTAAAAATGGTCCATTAACAGCTGCCTGTAGTCCAGATGGTGAGGATGGCGTTTGTTTGGCACAAATAACAATTCCAGCTAATTGGTGGCCACCATTACCACCACCTGATGCCTCGGGACGTATTAAAGTTCCAAAAACATTACCAAGAATTGTTCAACTATCCTATTCTGTCCTTGAGCCAAGAAGCAATGAAGATGGTGGAGTTCCCCATGTTCTTGATTCGGGATCATCGTCATTTTGTCAGCCGAGAGTACAAATACAACCGGTTACGCCATTAGGTAGTGTGACCCTAGCGCCAAATCGTGAGGATTACAAAGAATTGAAAACCGACGAGTATCTTACACTTTTGGTTCCCCATGGACCACTGTATCCGAGATCGAGGCTCCACGTGCCGGCTTTTCTCCATTCGCACTCATCTCGTCAGGGTGCACAGGGGAGACCACCAGTTGCTGCTGTTGTACTCAGGTATTGTTATAGACAATTGGCCTTTTATTTGCGAGCTGCGAGTTTAAATGCCCAGTTTAAATGTGTGTCTGCTCTTTTTATGTGCGGAAATTACATAGAAACGTGTCCATGAAATTTGAATGACAATATTGGTCATTATTTACCGGGGAGATTAACGCGTTGACATTTGACGGAAGCACGTTCTTTTTTTTTAACAAAAATTAAAATGAATCTTGATGCTTTTTAAAAAGTCAATTTATTCTTTTTTTGCTTTAAAAGACGAAAAATTTGATTTTGAAAAAGCAAATATTTAATAAGTAAATTATAATTCTTTTTTTTTTGACAATCATTGATTTTAAATTAGCGAAAATAATAAATCATTGATTTAAATATAAATAAATATGATTTTTCAATTAATAATTTAAATTTCTGAAAAATGAGAATTTTTTTTATTATTTTTTTTTTTTAATTTTGTAATAAAAATTAATAACTGTTATATAATTTTCATAATATTTTACCAACAATGTGAATTTTATTATAAATTTAAAATGTCTGAAAGGAGAAAATTTTCCATTTAATATCTTAATTATTACTGCAATTAAATTAATAATGTACTTTGAATTTAATAGCAATTTTTCAGAAACATTATTAATTACCGCTATAACGTTTAATAATATTATCATTAAATAAACCATTGATTTTAATAATTAAAAATTTGATTTTAAATTAATTTATCAAATTTTAATTTTAGTTTCAATTTTTTTTCAAAATAATCTTGAAAATTAAAATTAACATTTCTTTTTTGAAAAAGTACATATTTCGTTTAATTGAGTTTCGTTTTCAAGCTACATTAATCTAGATTTAAACGTTAATTTAGTTTACTCCTTGATAAGGACACAAAACAGACTGAATTAAGTTTCGTTTTTGCAGGGAAAATAGAATGTATATATATATAAGGAGTTTCGCTTGAGTTTACAGACAAAAGGAAAAGAAAAATAAATTTTTTTACTTTTATATTATCTTTTCTTTTTAAATAAAAAAATAAATTTTTGTTTTCATTTTGCGGACGAAAGTTGAAAGTTTTAAATTTTGATTCTATTTTTACAAAGAAAGATAAAACAAAATTAAATTTTTTTACGATATTTTTTTACACCCGTTTTACATTTTCACTGCAGTTTTTTTTTTAAAAGGACCTAAAATGACAATATTAACATTTTTTTCTATCGTGTGAAGAAAATTTAAAAATAAAATAAATTTTTTAAATAATTTAAATTTAAATAGTTGAATTTTTCAAATTTTTAAACTTTCACTATTTTTAATTTTTATTCAAATGCAATTCTTAATATTTTATTTTACAATAAAACTTTCCAAATTTAAATTAAAATATAAAAAATTGAAAATTGTTTTTTCTAATAACAAATTTTTAATGATTCTACTTTTTATTAGCATAAAAAAAATAATAATTAAATTCATGACTTTTACAAGTTGTAGTAAATTTTAATTATTTTTAAAAAATTTAATTTAATATTATCTGTGTATTATAGAACTCTTTTTCTCTTTACGGTTATATTTAAACATCCTTAAGGAAATGAAAGTTCAAGATTGTTCTGCTTTAAAAATATGAGATGATTTTACTTACAGACAATATTTTTTTTAGTAAGAAACACTTTTTAATGTTTAATTAAAAGAAGAAATGGTTTTCAGTTTTTAATATATTTTTATTATTTTCATGAAAGAAAAAAGATAAAAGCGTAGGAAGTATAGATATCTTTTGCTTTCATCTTCTTAAGTAATGATTTATTGTTGTCCATCTTATTTTTATATTTTTATTATATTTTCTTTTTCTTAGTTTTTACATCCTGAGAAATTTTTGAATTTATTTTATTGTGTTATTATTTTTGCTTTTATTTTAATTTTTGTTTTTTATTTTTCTTTAACAATATTTAATTTTTACATTTAATATATTCTTTGTTTTTTTCAGACTTTTTTTTAATTAGCACTCTAACTTGTAATTTTTAATAAAACTTTAATTTAAATTTTTTTGTAATAATAGAACGCGTTAATATTTCAAAAAAAAAAAAATTTTTTTTCACTTCTTTGTTATGAGTAATAATAGAATACGCTAAAAAAAAAGAAATGTGAATGTAGGTTGAAGTGGCTTAAACGTCATTTAAATTTAACAGTTTCATTAGAGAGAATAAAAACTAAATATATTTCTGCTTGATGGAGTTACTCTGATAGAAGTGACCTAATTACATTAGCCGGGGGTAGTTTTTCACTAACTAAGTCAATTTCACCTTAAGATACAAAATTAATATCAAATATTTGATAAACATCGCAAATATTTATTTTGCAATTAATCAACTTCTGTAGTTTCATCTAAATAACAAAAAATTTCTCTCATATATTTGAGAATAATTAATAAAAATAAAAATATTTAATTTAATATAATATCAAAATAAAAAAAAAACAGTTTCTTTATTTTAAAGCAAAATGTGAGAATGATTCTATTTCGAAAGAATTTAACATCATCATTAATATTTTTTAATAAAATAAAAATGAATTTTAGTATTTCAAAAGTTATAAAACTACATAAATGACGACAAAGAGCAATCTATTGTAAATCTCTGTGTTTTATCTATGGCATCAGTTTGTAAAAAGAATAGAGAGAGAAAAAAAAAAAGAAAATTGGTGCTCGAAAAGCCTGGAATTTTTGCAATTCCATATAGTTTATTCGTTTCGAGAATGTAAAGTGTCGAGTGTATATATAGTCCCTCTCTGTGTACACAGAACTCGAGGAAATCGATGACCAATTTATATGGAAATGTCGCAATCTCACTGAAATTTTCACGCAACCTCGGACCCTACGATAATTGCCCAGTTTCATTTGTATAACATCAAACTCACGTTTCTCTGTCTTTCCAAATGAGAAAATGACACACGATGTTCAAAGTAAAAAAAAATTTTTTTGTTTTTTATACGCGACTGATTAAAATTCCACCTGGAAATCATCAAATTGTTACAAAAGATATGCGAGATTCGCCTCGTTGATTTTTCTCAATAAACTCTCATATTACAAAAGAAAAAAAAGAAAAAAAACCAATAGACATTTTTACTCGCATTGAAAAATGAAACTAAACCATTTCCGTCGTTATACTTAAATTTGATCGTAGAAAAAATTTGCTTTACACGCTGAATTCAATTTTTTTTTACCTTGAAAAAAATATATACTCATTTTTCACAGTTTGTAAAGAAATTTGAACTTTGTGTACAATGAAGAACTACTTTAAAATTAAATAGAGGAAAAAATTAATTTTCAATTAAAAATATAATTGTGACTTTTCTAAAAGTAGAAATTATTGGAATTTGTCTGAGAGTTTTTTTTTTAAATGAGTGAGAGTCTATTTTAAAATTTTATTTAAATTTAAAGAAAAAAAGTTCATTGACTTCAATTTGTTATTTATATATTTTTGTCCATATAATCGAAAAAAAAATGTCAGTGGCAATAAATAAAATGTTGGACTATAAAGAGAGGACAAAAAGAAATTGAGTTAAAAGGACAATAAAGTTGTTTCTTTCAACGACAGATTATAAACTTTGTTTTCATTTGACTTTCAGAGCTCGGGTCAAGTCGGACGTTAAAATCCTAGATGCAACATCGAGCAATCCGGATTGGATAGTGGAATCTAAGATCAATATGAAGAACACCGCGGCAACCTTCACGGCCAGAAGGAAGGAAAACGTGTCACGTTTACCAAACGCGTAAGAACAATTTTTCCTTTCCATTAGAAAAACCCATCTCTAAATAAATGAAAAATCCATACTTCACGTGTAACTTCATTCCTCAACATCAATATAATACTTATTTTTATAAAAATAGTGAAGGATCGATTATTCTTTTTTTTTTTTTTTTAATTTACATTTTTATTATTTTTATCTATATATATTATATTAATTTTACACTAAAGAATTTTTCGATAATATTGAAATATTCTGAAATTATCGAGATTTTAAATTTCTTAAATATTTATTTAAAATTTTTTTCTTATATTTTATATATTAGTCTTGATAATTTCTTTAGAAAAATTCATTTTATGAAATAATTTGAATAGCTTGTGTAAAAGAGTTTTCTGGATTCTCCATTTACTTTTCATTTTTCTATATTTACATTAATTAAATTTACATTTCAATTATCCTATCGACGTGTATACTGATGAGTTTAATTACTCGGCAAAATAGAGAAAACACTTCTCTGTGAATTGAGCATTCGTTTCTCGGCAAATAAAAGGAAAATTTCAAGAATATGAATTATTAAATCGACCAAGTTTCTTTGCAAGGTATTTTTTTTTCTCTTTTATTCGAGTCGTAAAGATAAAGAGATGCGTAATTAACAGTGATTAATGAATACTGAATGGTCATGTATTACACAATTTTTTTTTTTTTTTATTAAGTAAACATGTCCCTCTTTTTAAAAAGAAGTTTTGCTTGCGAACGAGTTAATAAAATTTCGTTAGGTCCTGTTGCGCAAGTTCCAAACCAGTTATATGCGCCCATCTCGCATCGATGAAACAGAAACCACACCAATGTCTAATAATTATCTTCAAGTCGCCCCCCTACTTCAAAAAAGACGCCTTCTTTTCTTTCAAAACGATCATCATGTGAGAAACAAAAAAAAATTAGAAAGAATATATATATTTATATAGTATCGTCTGGACGCAAAAACCGAAATTACACACCATCTTTTCCCAGAACCAATTTTAAATTAATCGATGCAGAGATTAACCCCTTCTTATAGAAAATTATCTCTTAGCAACAATTCTAAAATATCACGAGACGATAGGAATTTGCAAACTAGTAGAAAAAAAATAATCGGAAATGAAATATTACTAGTTCAAGGAATTATAATTTTACGTCAGCATTTCATTTTTTTATATTTACAAATATTAAAAATAATAATAAATTTATTAAAAAATAAATAGAGAATATTGAATTGAAAAATCGAAATTTTAATGAAACGTTTACAAAATTGAGTATGTGATAAAAAATGATAATGATGAAAGATCACAAGATATGTGACTAAAGAGCCGGTAGAAATAATTCGATAAGTGCCCTTTACAGGGAGAGACATTATGATCTTTGTGTGGATATTCTTTTGAAGGTGGTTCTTCTTCTTTTTTTTTTTTTTTAATGTGTTTACCCTCCACTCATGTTTCGCTTTTGTTGGCAGGTCAGCCGAAGAGATTATGACTATGCTACTGGAGGCGAGTGACGAGGGTGCAGGAGGCAACTGGGACGGGGGAAGAATCGTGTGGAGCGTACGATATGCCTTCGAAGGCGAGGAAGATAACGTTTCTATACCTGGCATGTATCAGTTAAGCCAACAGCAGCAGCAGCAGCATCATCATCACCATCATGTGGAAAGAGGAAAGGTGCAAGCGCGTCTCGAGATTCAGAAGGATGATATTCAAGCGGTTCTGCCCATTTCAAAGGTAAAATACCCCTTCGTCTGATTATTTAATCAGGATCCCATCAACACACACACATACATACACTAGATTATTGAGGTAACACTTCATTTTCTTTTCAATTTTCAAATTTTGGTTTTTTTTTCACAAATTTAAATATTTGTTGAAAAATTTTGTATTTTCTTTTTTTTTCTCAATTTGCTCCTTTTTTTAACTAATGAATCTGTTTTGTCATTTCATTATTATTCTTTTTGATTTTTTTATATAGTTTTCAAAATAAATAATAAATACCACAAAAATTGAAGATATAAAATATATGAAAGAAAAGCAAACATTTTTTAATGTAGAGAAACTGAACAAATATAGCAGAAACTGAATCATAAAATAAATAAAAACTATTCAGTAATATTTAATAACAAAAGGAATATTTTAAAATAAATAAAAATTAAAAAAATGATTTTTCATATTGTTGAACTAATTTTAAATTTTCTATTTTATCTCTTTTGTTTCTTAATTGCATTCCAATTTTGCGATTTATTTCTTTTCAATTTATTTTACAATTGACATTTTATTCGGAATTGTAAAAGAAAGAATAGAAAAACAATGAAAAATAGTAAAAAAAAAAAAAAAAAAAAAAAAGAAGAAGAAAGAAACAAAGAAAATAAATGCAAAAGATTTGATTAAGAATTCCAGTAGGTGAAAATGCAGCACATTATTTGCTGTTCAGAGATACTGATTGGAAGAACTCGTTAGAATCTCGTAGCTTCCTGCATATCTGGTTCTGTAATTGCCGGAGTCTTAGTCGATGGAGAGCAGTAAAGTTTTTAATTAAGCAGCCCTTTTTGCCTTCACCGTGAAGACGTTTCCTTTTTTTTTCTTTTCTCTCTCGCTCTTCCTCTTGTTTGTTAAGGGTATTATATACAGACACATCGTTTCCGACACTAGGTCGCGAAACTATAAGTACAATGTTTGCATATATATATATAAAACGAAGGTACGAGACACAGTACTTGAGGGACATCAAGTCTGAGAGAAAATCTTTCCCCTGAGGGGTTTGAGGTCTCGAGCATAAACTTGAGTCTCGCCAAACTCTTCTTTCTCTTGGTGTGAAGATGGACCAAGACATACGACCGTTTGAGAGGCCCGGTAGCCATAGTGTGCAAAGGCTTCCTTTGCGGATCGATAACCAGGCATTCGCTCTCTCGTGAATTTAACTATCCCATTTCTCCCCGACATCAATTTACACTCAGATATCTATCTTTTATTCATTTCTCTTTTTTTTCAATGAAGCGAGAAAAAAAAGAATCCTCCTTTTTCTGTCTTCACCACACTTTGGAAAATTTCTTCTTTTCTTTATGTTTAATATTATGCCTCTATTATTTCAATTTTTTAATTTAATTAATAAACTTTTTATCATTATTATTGTAAACACTATTTTTTAAAAATTTATTTTTATTTATTTATCATAATTAAATTGTAAATAAATAGTATTGAAAAGAGTATTTTTTGTTATGATTTTTAAATTATTTGATGACACAGATTAAATGTGCAAACGAGTTGAAAAGTGTTTCACGTGTTTTAATGGATCTTGGAAAATGAGCTTAAACTGTGTCAAAATACTTTGGTTTATAAAGAGAACCTTTTCTGAAATTATGAGTGTTTATTATATGCGGCAAGCTCTCATTATTCATTATACTCATTTTGAATTGTATATATATATATATATATATATATATATATGTTTGTCTTTTCTAGAACTGGGAAGTAATGAATACAGCTGTACTCACCGGTAGACAAGTCTCTCAGGCAATGAAAGTTTTCATCGTCAGTCAAGCTGGTAAAGTTGCTGATGTTACTCTACAATCCTCATGTCATTCCGAAGACGAAAGTGTTCTCAAGGTAAGAGGCATAATTTTATTTACTCATTTTATTTTTCTATTTAAATTTTTTTTTATTAAAATAAAAAAAAAAAATTTTCAGGTATCCTCATCGTGTAGTAGTGTCTATGTTGATGGCTCGGAAATTCGCGGCTCAAGTAACGCGTCAGTTTTAGTAAAATACGGCACGTACACGGGACTTGCAAGATTCACAGTTTGGATGCCCGAATTTCCTTTAGAAGTGACTGTGAGCGATTCTCGGCTTAATCAGATCAAAAGTTGGAAAGTCCCTGAGGAGCATTTAATCTCAAAAAACAAGCGGAGTCTTAACGAAACTTCAACGGGAAATAATGATGATAAAGATTCAAGAACGACGATAGTGAGAAAAAGAAGTTCAAACTTGGCAACTGAGTCGTCGGATTTAGAGAGTGATGACGATGTAGTGGATGAAGAAACTGATGACGACGGCGATTTAGATGACGATGATGATGATGAAGAGGAAGATGATGATGGTTCCTTAAGATTTCGAGGACACAAATGGGATGAGATCAATGCTATCGATAGAAATCCATCAGCAAATTGTCGACTTCGTTTTCAACAAAGTCCCGTTGAAATTCACGCTAGGTATGTTAAAAAATTTTCCCCAATTTTTTTTTTTTTGGGGAATTTTTATCATTTATTTATTATTACAGATTCTTTGCGGCTGATCATGACTCTGGAAGAGTTTCGTATTTTGTGAATCGTCGAACGTGGTTGCGAATTACGGATTTGGTTCTTTCAATGCTGAGAGTTTCGGATCCAAGAATTGCCACTTTAAGCCAAGGTAAAATAGTTCAGGGTCGAAGTATTGGTCGTGCGGAAGTTCAAGTTATATCGCCAATCACTGGACGTGTGATTGGAGCAAAAGAGGTACGCGTTGGAAATGATCGTGTTGCAGTTTCAAAATTATCTGTGAAAGTTGTGTCCGGTCTTCAATTGACGATAAATCCCGATTCAACGATAGAAAATGGATATATCGCTGAAACATCGGTTACAAGAAAACTTACAGCACAATATCAGGTGTGTAAAGAAAAAAGCAATTAATTAAAATTTATTTCTATTTGGATTGAATCTAAATGAATTGTATTAAATTTTCAAGGAGGGTTTATTAGACATTGATGTTGAATTTTCGGATGGTTTTCGAACTCCATTGAGGGAGATTGCAGTCTCGGATTATCATCTTGTTGTGGAGAGTCTAGACCCAGAGGTCGTGGCCTTTGCGCCAATGGTGGCGTCCCATCATCCACGAGTGATCGCTGTAGGTGAAGGTCGTGGCGATCTTTTGAAAGTGACCCTTCACCTTGCCGACTCGTGTCGATTGTCAGGAAGAAAATCAAAAACACCGGCAACAAGAGGAACACCGAGTTTACCATTGGCAACATCAACCGCTAATATTGAAGTGGATTTTGCTACCAGCGATTTGCCAAATCGACCCGAATTTGTGCAAAATGATGGCGGTACACTTGGCGGTAGTTCTCATCATAGAGAGCGAAAAAATGGCAAAGACGGTGCACCCGATCTTAATGATATTTTAATTGGTAATTATTGTTCAACATCTTGTTTGTGTCGTGTGTCGTCAGTCGATTCGACTTTTGAAAAAAAGAACCGCCCCGTCCTGCGCGAAAATTTCTTTCTTTCTTTCTTTCTTCTTCTTCTTCTCTTTCCGCCATATTTTGATTTTCGATAAACAAAATCTTGATCTGGTAAAAGCTTAAGCAGCTTGAATGTTCTTTTTGCTTTATTGAACACGCTTGCACGCCTCCTTCCCCCCTTTCTCTCTGTCTTTCTCTAATTTTTGTGCAAAGGTTTACCACTAAAAGACGAAAACGACCACGCACCAACGATGCAGGCAAGACAGCACCGCATGGCTATAGCTAATGGCATGTCTTCAGGGGGAATGGGCGGTGTGGGGATTCGACATCAGGGAGGACCACAGATGACACCTATGGAAATTGGATTATACGTTCTTTTGGCGGCCTTTTGCTTCGCCATTGTCGTCTTCGTTGTGTCCTGTGTCGTCTACACGAGTAAATTCAAACCACAATCGGCGGACTCGCCACTACCTGGACTTCCTGGTCTTGGAGCAGCAAGAGCCGCTGCCAATCAACTCGCTCAAAATCGACGACCCAGAGAATCAACAACCAACGCTCACGATTGGGTATGGCTTGGGCGTGCAACTCTCGAGAGAGCCGGAACTGGACCTCAACAGGTTTTTCACTTTCTATTTAATTTAATTCAAAAAAAATAATTTTTAATAATGAATTTTTTATTTATAATATAATTTTAGCCTAATTTAATTAAAATTGAAATTAATACCAAAATTTCTGATAAGGGGAGAAATTGCTTTATATTTTATGAATATAAATTGAAAATTTTCTTGCAAATTTATCGAAAATTAATTGATTATCTTGTTAAGGTTCGTGTAACCAGCAATCCGCTCGCCGGAGAGAATAATCCGCTTACGGATGCTGCTACTGCTGAGCTGGGTACAAGTTTTGATAATCCTAATCACATTGAGTTACCCTCGGTGGTTCGTGCAACTCCCTCGGCACCCATCGACACAACGACTTACTGTAAAAGGGATAAAATGCCATATAGTTTCATCAAAAAGTCCATGGATGGACAATCAACGAAACCCGTGATAGTTCCAACTGCACCGACAGCAAATGCTCTCGCACAAAATAAGTAAGGATTTAAAATGAATAAATAATATTCACCTCGAAACGAGAGACGGAGAATTGTGTACATTTTTCAAGGAATCTATTTTCTTCTTCCATTGTGAATCTCGCGCTTCTTGTGAAAGATTATCCTTTTCTGTAAAACGTTTCTCTTTCTCATAATTCTCGCAAAATTCTTTTTTTTTCTCTCGTAATACGTTTTTTCTATCTCGGGAATTTTTTTTTTAATTTAAACATCTTTTTATGATTATAGTATACCTTTAGAAAATTTGTAATTTTAATAATTCAATTTAATTAAATCAAGAATAATTAAATAAAAATCTTTTTTTTTCAGTAACGATGATGTGCCTCCGCCGTTGCCGCCACATGGGATTCTTCCACCCTCAGCATTAACATCGACATCCGACGATGCAAATGGAAATGATGATTATAAACCTCCAGTTCCTCCTCATCGTAATACTGGAGTTTTAGCTCGACTTCCAGAGACACCCAGGAAACGTCATCATCGAACGGCAAGTGCAAGTCACAATGGTAATTATCGACATCACGATAAACATCATGATAATAAACATCATGATGTTAAACATCATGATAAACATAATCAAAAGCATGAGAAACATCATGATAGGCATCATCATCATCATAATGAAAAACACGTGAAAAATTATCGTTCGAAAAATTCAACATCAAACGCAACTAAAGATAATAATGAACTTGCATTTGTTGAGCTTAGAAATAATGATGAGAAAAGAATTAAATGCACAAAATCAAGGGAGGTTAAAAGAGCAACTGTCATTGGTAATCCAATGTTCTCATCGTCATCTTCCTCATCTTCATGTTCATCGAATCATGAACAAGAGGAAGCTGTTCCCATGGATGATCTCAATTTAGGCATGGATTATAATCAGATTATGCAGTACTTTGATAACTTGAAAGAATCGAATGCCTGAAAAAGGGCCTTTGATCGCTCAGGTGATCAGAGTTTGTAGACGTGTTGATTTTTCCGAATTTGCCGCGACTCGTTATTATTTGAAAGCCGCTGAAACCGGCTTTTTCTTATTTCCAACGAGAATCTCTTCTTTTAATGTTTATTAAAATTTTATTTTATAAAAAAAAATATTTAATTTAAATTGTATTCTGACTATATTAAAATTTTCAATTAATTTATTCAAAATTTTAAGTTTTTTTCTTTAAAGAAAAAAAAATTAACACATTTAATATAAATTGACTAAACTAGAAAAAAATGAAAGCTGTGAAAATTAAGTCTCAGAGAAGCGTTTCGATTATATTGAATGGACAGAAGGAAGAGTTCAAACAGTACAAAAAAAAACTTTTAATATGACAATAATAGTCTTTCCTTTACTCTTTAAACTCTACCAAAAAAAAAAGAAACTATTTTCGTTAGTTTTCTTTATCTCATTGATTGGTGACGGATTCGACTTCTTGGAAATAATTTTCTCCAGCTTCGATCCAGATAATTTTTTTCTTCTCTTTTTAATATAATAAATAAAGAACTGATTTCTCGACAAGATTGAAACTTGGAACGAGTCGCGGCTAATCGGAAAGCTTCACTTTTAAAAAAAAGCAATAGACGCGAAAAAACGGATTCCCTGACGCTTTGCTAAACGTGAATACGAACAATCAGAATTTTATTTTTTTTTTTGTTTTATTTTTATTTTACTGCGTAGAGCGAATTGAGCAGGGAAATTCGAACGTATCGTAGATTATGTTCTAGTCAGCTTCCTAGCAGCACATCAAATTACACGTTTAATAATCGATCTTTTTTTAAAAAAAAAAAAAAACTGGTTCTATTTGACTGATGGGATAAAAGAAAAAAAAAAAGATCAACAGACGTAACAACGATTTAAAAAAAGAAAATTCACAATCGGGGTGATTTTTTTTCTTAAGAATTGAAAAAAGATAATCCATACTTAATTATTTATATAAATGATTTGTCATTTTTGTTGATAAATTTTTCTGAACGTGAAGGACGTGAGGTCACTGACAGTAGATCTGAAGAATTATGAGGGTTTTCTTTTTTTTATTTACGGAAAATAATTTTTATTAAACAAATTTAATTATTTATTAAAGAAAATAAAAATTAAATTCATAAATATTTTACGGTTTAATAAAATGAAATAATAAAAATATCTATGGAAAAAAAAATAATCACGTGTTTCTTAACTCCATCTTTGCAAAATAGACGATTAATAGTATCGAACTTGGAAATAATAATTCTTTTTAAGTAAAATAGAAACATTAATATTATTGATCTCATAATTTTCAAGAATAAATCGCTATTTGCAATTATGGTATGATAAGAAAATTTATGGAAAAACATTTTTACAATACTCTTTTTTTTAGGCACAGGAAAAAAAATTTATGTAAATTTTCACTTTTAATTATCTCATTACTTTTTTTAAAAAAAAGAATAAGAGGGAAATTTGTGAATTTTTTTCCTGAGCATAAAAATTAAAGTGTTAATTTTTTCTCAAAATAACTTTTCAATGAATTAATATTAGAAATAAAAAAAAAATATGTCCGCGTTGTACTTCCTCATTGCTCATCTTCATTCAAACTGATTCTAGACATCAGCAAGAAAACTCGTCAATTTATAATAATTAATTGTTATCGAAGTCTGTCGAGTGTGTATATATATAAAAAATTCATTTGTCGACGTCACGATTCCTTCGCGCCTCTTAAAGCTCATTTGTAAACAAAAAAAGGATATATTAGCATAAACAGAAATTTCCAAAATCAAGATTTTAAAAAAATCGAATCTTTCTTCTTTTTTTTTGTAAATGAGCTGAATCGTTATGTCCCCATCGAATCTTTGCAGTTCATCTCAGTATTATGTTAATTAGGTTTTTAGTTTCTAGAATTAATATTAAACAAATGTGTATTTTTGACATCTTGGTTCTCATAATATAAAAGAGCTTTTTTTGAATGAAATCTGCTCTTCTACAAATCAGAAAAGTCTGCCTACGTCCCAAGTTACGTTCGAGAAAAATGAAATACTCGTTCGATCTTACCGTGCGTTGTGATGTTTGTAAATTTTGCTTTATAAGACTGTGTACATATAAACATACATATTATATTAAATATTATATAACGCGTCAGCGCAAGAATAATAATTATGATTATTCAAAAAAAAAGCAAACAAATAATTGATCTAATTTAAAAGATCTCTAAATTTGTAAACTTGTCGCTGAAAAATCTCGGGTCAAGAACAAAACAAAAAAAAAATACTCGAATTTATCGAAATTCGAGAATAATTATATATATTTAAGAAAATTATATTTCCTTGCGACAAGTCTTAAGAATGTCTGCCATTTTAACTTTATTCAGAATCGATTGCTGCATTTTTTAAATTAAATAAAATCAAATGTGAATTAATCAATAAAAAAATCATTGATTATTGAATGTTAAATTCAAGTCTAAACTATTTCAATAAAAAAAAAACACATAATTTATTATTAATTAACAATGCTAAAAAATTAGTTTGCAATCGATTCTAACTATAGAATTTTTCTACATGACGTCATGAAAAATCGATTTACAAGTTGAAAAATAAAAACAAAATTTATACAAATTACGAAAATTCAGACTTCTTCTAAGTAAATTTACATCGGTTAAAAATTAATAGTAATCCTAATGAAGAAACTAAATATCTTTCCAAAAAAGAGGAAAAAAAAACAAAAAATTTATTTTCAGCTTGAAAATCGGTTATTTTTTGCTTCCGAGACATATTGCCTAAGGCTATAAAAAAAAATATCGCGTGGAATTTGTTTGTTGCGAAATTTTAGGCTTTACTTTTGGAGAATTCCATATCAGGGGTTTTTCTATAAAAAAAACGCTTTTTTTGCTAATTTGCAAATACCATATAAAATCAGTAAGATTTTTCTCTTCTCTCCTATGGAATTCCCCAATTGCAAATAGAATTAAATAAAAATAGAATTCTATTTGTAAGTTTCTTTAAAAAAAAAAAAAAAAAAAAACAAATCCGGAATGCAATTGAAACTTGTCTATTTTTATATATAATATCGATCAGTTCGTTTAAATTGCCATTTTTCGGTAAAGCCTAATATTTTATAATTAAAATTTTGCATCAATCGAATGAATCGCTAACGCCGACATAATATAAATTTTTAAGTGACACGACGAAAGCCGTTAGGAATTAAAGACAATTAAAAAAAAAATGAGGGGAAGAAAAGGGTTTAATTGCAAAGAAGATAAAAATTGAATAGAAAAAGAAAAAAGAGAGAAAGAAAAAAAATGTGCGTGTCGAAAAAAAATATCTATCTAAATAATGTAAATGTGTGTGTGTTTAGCACGCCGTAATTTTGTGTGTGGCACTTAGTAGTGTGTACATGCGAAAGCGACGTTTTGATAAGAACGCGGCGACTGCGAGACGATAAGGAAAAAAAGTTTACAGAGCTATTGTAACAAAATAAGCAAAAAAAAAAAAAAAGAGAGAAACAAAAAATAGAGCGCCGAATTCCCCTTTGAGAATCTAGTCCAGTGCAGGTTGCCGTTTCGCTATCGCGTGTCCTGCATTAAAACAAAAAAAAACGTAGATCGCAATGTTGTGTAGCGTACGCGACTTAACACGAAAAAAAATTTATATACAATATATTATATAAATATATATATATAAAATTAACTAAAAAAAAAGAAAAAAAAAATACTCCCTGTACTTCTACAGTTGACGACTGATCACCACTCACTCAATTTTTCTCCACTTTTTCTCAGTGTCGTGACTCGGTGTTATCAATCCACGGAAAAATTAAAAATCAAATTCGTTTTTTTAAAATAATTTAGAAAAATTCTAAAAATTGTCAAATACCTACCTTTAATTTAATTAAAAAATATTAAAATATTTCTATTTGTAAATATTGGTAATAAATTAAAATTACTAAAATAAATCACCTTTCTAAAAAAAAAAAAAAATGAATAAATCCGTGGATTGAAACATCAGTTTTTTAAAAAAAATTATATTTCCCATTGTTCCCTTTTTTCGGGAGATTTTTCTTGTTCGCTTTGTGAGAAAATTTTTCTAATGCGCTATATTTAAAAGTCGCGACACTTTCTGCTTATTTATTGCCAATAAAATCGAAAACACAATGGAAAAGTCGGTTTTAAAGAAATTGATATAAAATTTTTAATTTTTCTCAAAAAAAAAAATATTTTACACACATAGATGACCTTCCATCTTTATCAAGGAACGAGTCAAATTCCCCTGGGGGTGTAATGGGTCGTCGATTGTTTATCACCCGATATAGCTTTCTATTAAAAAAAAAATAAAAAAAAAATCTATATAAAAAATGAAAAACATATCGTCTCAAGATTTCGAATTGTGACGTTTTTTCTTTTTTTGTAATTCGTTTTTTTTTTGACACGATTGATTACTATTCAAGTTAGTGTCATTTATTTGTTCAGGTATATAAATATATTTAATATATTATTTAGGAATTGAGCCGATATTCATTTATAAATACCGACGATTGATTCGTCGCTAAAGAATTCGGAATCGCACAAAAAAAAAACAAACAGAAAATGAAATAATTAGGTTTCTATATTATATAGAATATATCGAATTTTACTGCCACACAGATCTTATCAAAGGTTCAGTTAGATTTATAAAATATCACGTCAATTTAAACACCCAAAGATCATATTCGAAATGAAGACTCAAAAAAAAATATATAGTTTTAATGAAAACAATTTCGGGAACAATTCTTTTTTTGATTTTAGTAGATTTTTTATATTTTTTGTTCATAGCTTTATTTTATTTTATTTTTTTTTAAATATGAGAATTAAAAATTTATTTTTTTAAAATATAGAAATTTAAAGAGCATTCTTTTTTTCTTAGAATTGTATTTTTTTTATTTTTTTTATTTTTTTTTTTTTTGGAAATGGGTGACTGCCTAAATGGAAATCGAATAATTTATTATAGCAAGCTCTTTCTTGAATAATTGAAAAAAAATGAAAATAGAGATTCTAGCGAGGAATCGAAGATGAATTAATCATTCCTTTGACACACAGCGTCACTAATACTTAATTATAAGGATAAACGAATCCAAAAAGCAGCAATTATCAGTATGTTATCATCATCGCTACTTTGAAGACGACGATGACGACAAAAAAAAGCCATGAGAATTTATTGTTAATAATATTAGAAAACGCAAAGCTGCTAATTATTATTATTATTATTATCACTTTCATTACCATTTATAAGCATCATTAATTCACTGAAAATCGTTATCATCATTGGTCATCTCTCATTATCATTAAAAAAAAAATTTGTCGTCATCGTCCTCAATGATATGCTAAGAATATATATATATTAAGATACGACTATTGCCTACTCAATGTACAATATGTAGTATTCACCTGTTGTTACCACCAAACCGTCGTCAAAGATATATAAAATTGTAATTGTACTATAAAAATACTTGTCACTTATTCAATTCCTTTCTTATTTTAATATTTCTTCTTGCATTTTCAATTAGCCATCGTTCATTGTACTTTAAACAAAAGAACCTTTTCTTTTATAATATCAATACACATGTCAAATAAAAACAATATTGTATCCTTAATTTAAAATTTTAAATAATTGTTTTGTTTATATTTTGAATCAAATTCAAATTCAAATGGATAGTTTCAAATTCCAGCCAACAGATGTCTCTCTTGACCGGTAAAGATATTTACTACTTTAGTCAAATATTCAGCCAATCAGAATTGTTCTCCAGTTAGTGTCCATTTTTACAAATGACGTCACAATTTGATTAACCAAAATGGAGGCTGAAAATTTGACAGTCGGTTTCGGTTGTCAACAATAGAAAACAAAAGAAAACAAAGAATTGTAATTGTTACTCATTTAGTGTGTCTTTTATATAAATTGAAAACTTATTACAATATTAAGAAGAGTGGTTAAGAACAATTTTTATATTCTTTTTTGAATTCTCAAAAGGAATATATGAAATTTTTTGTTGAATTTTGTTGATTATTTCATTGAATAATTGAATCAGCATCATAAAAGGTTAAAAAGTACTTGAACATTGTTCTATTCTGAAAATATTGTACGTTTTCTGTTTTTTTTTTTTTATTATGAAAAGCATCATGATCAAATTAATAACTATTTTTAAGGTTATATTTGTATAAAAGCATTTTAGTTTGCATTTTATCATCTAAATATTATTTAATATTATGGTTTACTGGATGATATTCAAGAAACGTTTCATAAAGAGGTATTTTACTATTTTTATTTCTTGCAAATATTAATTAAATGATAAAATAACATTTGCATGATGCAATTAAAAACTGCTTATTCATTAAAAATATCTTGTTTTGATAGTTTATTTATTTTAAAGTTACTGTAAAAATAATTTTTTTCTATTTTAAAAGAAATTTATTTTATTTATACATTTTAATGTTTATTTCTCAAAAAAAAATTCTAAAATTTAAATTTTTTATTAAAAAAAAAATTCAAAAAAAAAAATTTGTGCCTTTTTAAATCATTATCTATTTTCACGTGAGTTTGTTTTGGATCACGCAAGTCAATTTATTACGCAAACGTAATTCTATAATTAAATTTCAGTTGTACTTGTAACAAAGTAAGAACAAGTTAATTTTAATTAAGAAAAAATGAATTTAAAGTACAAGAGGTATAAAATATAATATTATACGAATGCTTGTTTTAAAATCCTATTTTTAAAATTAATTAACATTGCTTTGATAACTAACTATTGCTTAATTTTAATTATACAATTTTTTTTTTAATTTTAACAGAGAAGTAAAATTATTTCTATTTTATAAAAAAAAAAAAAAAATTTTGACAAAGTTATTAGTCATACAAACTTGTAATCGCAATTAAAAGCAAATTTTTTGCTTTTGACAGTAGACACTGACTAAATTTAGTTTTACAGCTTTTAAACAAAGACATTTGTGAAAGACACATTTAAACAAAACGCTGCGGTGATTGTGGGTTTTTATTCTTCAAAACCGATTTGTTTATACTAACAAAATGCGGGCTGGTTATTTCTTTTTATCTCCAATGTTACCTCTCATTGCTGCTGATGTGTGGCATAATGGAATGTAAGTTTTTTTTTTTTCTTCAAATAATTCGTGTCTTCCATTTAATTGACATTTTATTTTAAAACAATATGACTAGTACAGCGTTTAGAAATTTATTTATTTAATTGTTATGAATAAATTATATGTAATTATTTTAAATAAATTATATATTTATTTATTAAATTTTATATATTTCAATAAATTTTTTTCGTAATTAAATGAAATAATTTTTGTCTAATTACAATAAATATTTAAATTTATTGTATAGAACTAACTCGGGAATTTAGAGCACATATACATATTATATTGAAAGAAATGACTCATGAAATTATTGAGTACAAGACAAGTTAAAACCTGTAAAAAAAAAAATGTTGTTCACTATATACGTATACCTGTAAAATCGATTTGCATTTGCGCACTGTCTCGGGATATTAAGCCGGTTGATGTATAGAATTGGGGTAGTCTTTTTTCATTATTATAACTGAAAGCCCATTTCTTAAAAACAAAAACAAAAAAAAATTACATAAATGTCAAAAAAGAAGAAGAAACAATATCATAATATTCAAAGTCTTCATAACAGTTTAAATAATAATAATAATAATAATAATAACAACAATAATAATAATATACGTGCAACAAAGTTGAATGCAAAAATAAATGAGGTGTCGAAGAAGAAAAAAAAGGTGAAGAAAGAATTAATAAACAAAACGTAAGAACATTGTATGTAATAATAATTTCAGTTTTTTTGATGTAGAGTAAATTTTCTTTTTTTACATTATAGAAAGTAGTTAGAATATATTTTTCTTAGAAATTTACTGAAAGTAAAATATTTTCTTTATACTATAAGCTTATAATTAGTATTTTTTTTTTGGAGAAAACAAATAGTTTTATTATATTTATAAAAAAAATTGCTTTAATTTCTAAAATTATATTTGCAGACTTTTAATATGGACTATTCAAACATCAATAATTGTTTACGTGATACTGTTTGGACTGCTTCCTGTGATATTTCATTATTCATATACAATTCAACGGAAAATTCTCTTCTTAAATTTTGGTAATTAATAAATTTTAATTTGATTAATAATTAAAATAATTCTAAGAAATGAACTGCGTCCTACTTATGGAATTTTTTCGATTTTCAATTAAGTATAATTAACCCTTGCGATTAAATGATAATGTGACTAATTATGAGTGATTAATTAATTTTTTACAGTCCACTGGCCATTGTCTATTGACTTTTCAAATCCAGAGGATGTTGGAATTCAAGGGGCTCGAAATTTTTATCTAACGACTGATGATGGCGTTAAAATAGGCGCATGGTAAATTAAAAATAAATTTTTAATATTAAGTAAATAATATTTAATAATCATATTTTTGTCTTATGCTTCTTTTTTTTTATTTTTAAACAAATTTTTTAGTTGATATATTTAAATTCTGTTTTTTTTTGCAGGCAAGTTTTACCCAAGTCATTAATGAATCAAAATATCAGTAAAGACGCCTATGAAAATGTTTTAAAAAATGCAACTTTACCAGTAATTTTATATATGCACGGAAACAGTGGAAATAGAGCGAGTAGTCACAGAGTCGAATTGTACAAGTTATTTCAAAATTTGGATTATCATCTTATTTGCTATGATTATCGAAGTAAGGATATAGTTTTGAAAAATAATATAATATATAATGTAAATTGAAATAATTTTGAAATGAAAATTAAATTTTCATCATTTTTATTAATAGGTTACGGTGATAGTGAAAATGCTGATCTCTCAGAAATGGGGGTAGTGACAGATAGTAAATTTGTTCTCGAATGGATAATGAAAATTGTAAATGGTTCAGCGCCAGTTTTTGTATGGGGACATTCTTTGGGAACAGGGTAAAATTTTTCTTCTCAATATGATTAAATTTTTTTTTTTTTTTTTTAAACAAGATAAAGAAAAATAATTATTACGATAATTTTAGCGTGTCAACTCATGCTCTTGCATTATTATCAAATGACGAAAATCAACCAGCGGGACTTTTTTTGGAATCACCTTTTAATAATATTGCGTCAGAAATCAGTGAACATCCTTTAGCGCAGGTATAAGAAATAAATCAAATTATTATTATTATTATTATTAAATTACATTTGAATAAAATTATTAAATAATAAATAGTTTGTAAATATTCACAAATGTATTCTTTTTTTAGATATTTAAACATCTACCATGGTTTCAATGGGTTATTGTGCAGCCATTTTACGATAATCATTTACGTTTTCAATCGGATTTACATATAACAAAAGTAAAATGCCCAATTATGATTTTACACGCCGAAGATGATAATGTCGTTCCATTTTCTTTAGGAGAAAAGGTTGATATTTTATTTATTTATTTTTCTAATTATTTTTTTATTAATTATTTTTTTATTTCTACAGCTTTTTGAATCTGCTATAAAATATCATGGAAACACACAACAAGTACAGATGGTGCGTATAAACGCTACACTTGGACTTGGACATAAATATATATGTCGATATTCGGAATTGCCAGAAATAATAGAGTAAGTTATACAATTTTTAATATAAAATAATAATTTAATTAGTTTTCATTTTTAAAAAAACATTTTTAATATTTCACTGATATTTCTTTAATTTCAGGAAATTTGTGTCTTGGGTTAGCAAAAATTAGGAAAATTTCTAGTAGAATAATTTTATTAACTCTCTTTCTCTTTTCTCTGAAGAGAATTTTTAATCGCAAAAGAACTGAATTTTAAATTAAACGAACAAAAAAAACAAGACACATATTTGTCTTGTTTTAATTATTAGTTTTTAAAAGGCTATTTTTGTACTTTAAGAATTTTTTTTATGTTCGTGATATTATTTTCTAAATTTAGGAAAAATACATAAAAACAAAATGATTTTTAACTATTTATTTCATAATAGATTAATCTTAAAATGCATTTTATAAGTATCTAACACAATACACTAATAAAGTAACAATTTATTTAATAAAAAATGATGAAGGAAATTTATTCGTTAAATTTTTTATACTACAACCAAGTATAACCGTTACGATTGTTTAAAATATTCTTCAATTGCATTATTGTTTCAAAATTTAATTATTTTTTATTATGTTAATCTCATCTTTTACTATTTTGATATTGTTTTCCGCACAATTTTTAAGCGTTAATTCATTATTTGTCCGAATTAAAAGAAGTAGATGTCGTAACGGGTATTTAAAAAAAAATCCCGCTCATATTTGAAATAAACCAATTAGCACATTTGTTTTTAAAGTAATTGGACACTTTTGTAAGTAAGCCTTAATTTTTTCAGAAAATATCCATAGCGACATCTACTTGTTCGGACAAATTATGAACTAACTTAAAAATTAAATATTAACGACTGTGCCTTTATATTTATCATATATTTTATTGTTATTCTCATATAAATTAGCAAAATTAATTTTCTATTGTTTTTTTAATTGTAAATTATTAATTTTGAAAGTATTCTTTTTGTTTATTAAAAAAAAAAAACATCTGTCGTAATGACGCAGGCGCATAAGTAACGCAGTCATGAAAATTGTGCCCATTAGAGCATATGACGCCGTTATAGCACTGTGTACTTTTATTGACATAAGATTTTTGCCAGTAATTAGTTTGCTATTAACAATTTAAAGAGTTTTATTATCATCAATAGACTGGAAACCTTTTTTGAACTCTTGCAAACTAAACAATTGTTTTTTTTTTTTTTTTAAAGAATTGCAAAATTTTTATTTATTGATGTGCAAGCAGAAAGCACTTTGATCTAATCGTGAAATATAGTCTTAATTAACACATTTTCCATCCATTTTCTCAATTTTATTTTAAAATGAGTGAAGAACAAGTGAAAGAACCTACTCAAACTGTTGAGGTAAGTTAACATAAATAATAACAAAAAAAAAGTTATGTAAAATACTTGAAAAATTTATTAGATTAAAATGCATTGTTGTTATTTGAAATTAATTTTTCATTTGTTATTAATTATACTATAGTGTTCTAATTGATTTCTAATAAAAATCATTTACATGTCACGTTTAAAGTGAAAAATTCCTCCTTTAGTTTGACTTATAAATTGACCCAAATGAATGAATCAGCAGGTTAGAACCTGCTCGCAATTTCTATATGAAAATTAAAATGACAATGAGTATATTATAAATTAGATATATAAATTTAAAAAAATAATCTTTACAATTTGAATTATGAATTTTATTTTAATTACTGATAATTATATAGTTATATACGTACATATAGTAAATCAATAGAATATTCTATATTTAAACTTCATGTATTCTTGATTTTTATTTTGCTTCTAGATGTCGTCTAATGATATTGAAAAAATTGAGGAGGCGAAATTAAAAGCAAAATTTCCACATGGCATTAATAGACCAATTAGTGGTCACTCGGCTTTTCTTCAAAAACGATTAGCCAAAGGGGTAAGTTTAAATTTTAAATTTAAATTCTATTAGAAATTCAAATTTATATTTTTTTTTTATTAATATTTTTATTTTTCTTTCTAGCAAAAATATTTTGACTCTGGAGATTATCAAATGGCAAAACAAAAAACGGCAAAACCAAAACCAACTGGAGTTTTGCCAACGGGAGACGCCATACCAACACCAGAATCAGTACCACAGAGAAAAACATCAATTATTCAACAAAAATTCAATACGTCGACGACCTCTTAAAAGTCTCGTGATGTTTTCTTTTTCTATTTATTTATGATTAGATTCTTTTACGTTACGAATAGAGATGCCTGGTGTTATTAAGAAGATTGGATGGTACGACTTGATCATCGCATGATTTAAAGGCATGTGGGTATTCTTTTTTTTACAAATTCATAATACGCTTCTCTTCTTTTTTTTCGTTTAAGAATAATGCATTAAATTCTAAAATTTATTTTAGAAAATTTTAGATAATGAGCAATCACTATTAATTTTTTTTTTTTTTTTTTTGTAATTTTACATGCTTTCAAAATTTTCTCGTCATCTCGTGTGCGATGAATAATCATAAGAATGCATGAGTTTACTTAATCCCATACTAATTGTAATATAAAATTAATAATTTATCGCCAATATGCAGCAAATTCGCGTATATATATAATGAATTTCCAGTGATGAAAACATTTAAAATTGTCGCGTAAATTTTAGGATGATAAAAAAAAATTAAATTCGCTGCCATTTAAAGTATAAAATAGCATTGAATTTAAAAAAAAGGGAATTGTAAACATTGTTGATTTTTTCTCTTGATTATAATATAACTTTGCTCTTTATTTTTATAAATTTTGATTTTTCACTATCTTATTTCATTAGAATTATTTTTTTTCTTTGTAAATTTCTGTAAAACTGTTAATATATATATAAAAAAAAAGAAATTGTTCACCAACGAATGGTTCAATTACTGTATAACACTTTGTAAATGCAATAGCGAATAAAATATGAATTAAGATATTTCACAGATCTGCATTTTAAAAGTTGTTGTGATGCAATTAGTGTGAAATTATTTTTTATAAAAATTAGAAAGTTAAAAAATTTTGACAAAAGTAATAAAATGAAAAAGTAATCGATATGATGTTTTCATAATATCCTTTCAAGTTTTATTTTTATTTTAACTTTTTTTGGCTGCTAGCACTAAAAAAAAATTGTTATCTATGATAAATAAAACGCAAAATATTAACAAGAAAATTTAATTATGAATATTACATATGTACATTATTATTTGCAATGGAGCATTACCAATTTTTCTTAAATAGCTATCGAGATTACATTTTGATTGCGGCTTATACTCAATTATTGTCATTCAAACATTGTTTTTTATTTTAAAAAAAAAAAAAAAAAAACAGATTTCGATTAAAATTTCAAAATGCTGCTCCATAAAATAAAAGTACACTGATTGGCCTGTCACCATTTATTGACTATTTTAATTTTGACATTTTTACTACAATAAAAGTGGTTAATACCATATTCGCTGTCGTTAAAGAAAAAAAAATCAACTATTTCGCGGAGTTTTTTTAAATTTTATTTTGTCTAAATAGTATCCTTCAATAATGATATGTGTGGTCGACGACAGTAAAATCCGTTAATTGGACCCTTAAATATTAATTACGAATTGTTCTTATAAGCAATTTTTCATTTTCTATATAAAAATGCAATTCTTTTTGGAATTGCATTGAGTATAAAAAAGTATTTAGAATTATCCTTAACTATTACATAAAAGCTTTTAAATAGAAACAAAACTTTTCGTAAAATTTTTGCTCTTTTTTTTCATCTCTAATTGCTTTTTTGTACAAACGAAATTTTTTAAGTACAAATTCGCAAATACATATATATAATATATAATATTACATATATATTGCAAAAACTTCTAATTTAAATTGTTCGTCGATCACAGTTTTCATTTTAAAGAATAAATAAACAATCCTCAACCTTGAATTTATTTATACGCCATTTTTTTTTTTAAATTCATCCAGAAAAAATTGTGCAATTTTTTTTTTATAACTTCAAATACTGCATGATTTTTTGAGTTTTTGACTCTCGTCAATGAAAAATTGATTTTTAACCCACCCCTTCTTTCAGCAACAAGGCACGTTATGTTATGTTATTTTTTTTTTTTAAGATTAGACTGGACTTTTTCAAAAGCACATTATCGTTCAGTTGCTTTTTCATCGACGATTAAATGAAAAAAAAGAACCTTGTTTCAGAAAAATTCTTTTTTAACACAAAAGAATTTTTCCGTGGAAATTATTTACAATTTTATAACAAGGTCTTTTTTTTAACGATTATTATATTTTATATAGAGAAACATCGATCATCATCATGAGTATTCGAGATAATGAAGTCTCGTACAAATTTCCAAATAATAAATTTAAAATAATTATACATAATCATTTGATAAAATAAATCTCAAAATATTAAATAAATTTTTAATTTCAATTATAAATATTAATTTAAAAAAAAAAATAATAATAATAAAGAAAAATGTTCCTCGATTTTGTGTAAAAACTAATATTGGCGTATTGATTCATACGTACATTTATAAAATTGCATTTCATATTTATATATATTTCAAAGCCTAGACTAGAGCCTTGTCTTTTCAAAAAAAATTTATTTGAAATCACAAATGTGATTTTAAATTAAAGTAAATAAAAACAAAAAAAAAAAAGATACAATTCTTGTTAATTGAAATTGAAAATAAAATTATATGGAACCCGGCATATTTTTCGTATCTAATTTGATTTATCAACTTATCGTGTTTTAAATTTAAAAGAAAAAGTTGAATTTACTTATACATTTCTTCTATTAAATTTGAATAAATTTTTTGAACTATATTTCGTCTTACTTTTAACGTTGGACCTAATTCACCAGTGGGAACGGAAAAGTCATGTGGTAATAATTGGAATTTTTGCACCTTCTGTGCATTGCTTATCGATTTTTCATTTGCCCTTTCGATAGCTTTTTCTATTTCTTTATACACCTATGAATAATAAAAAAAAATTATTTACATTTATTATATTTAAAAAATTTTTAATTGGAGAAAAAAAAACCCTCACCAATGGATCACGAGTTTCTATTATATTTGAAAGTGTCGTTGCTTTGCTTCCAATTGATTTAAGCCACGTTTTTGTATCAGGCAACAATGTGTCTAAAGGTTCACCCGTATCAATATTCATTTCAGTCTAAAGAAAAATTTTTTTTATTAGAAAAATAAGAATTTGAAATTAATTTTTATTTAAAATTCTATTTACCTTTAAAGTGACTAGAATTGTTAGGAATTTTCTTCTATCACCAATTAACATTGCATTACTCAACGCTGGCAATTCTGCTAGCACTAAATGTTCAATGTGAATTGGAGGCACATTCTCACCACCGGCAGTAATTATAAGTTCCTTAATTCTCCCCGTGACATAGAGATATCCATCGCCATCTATTCTACCTAAATCGCCACTATGTAGCCATCCTTTATCATCCTTGGCTTCACGTGTCTTTTCAGGCTCATTTAAGTACCCCATAAAAACATGACGACCACCCATGCAAATTTCTCCTTCACCTGTATTATCTAAATTGTCTAATTTTGAATTTAATGTCTTAAGAGTAGGACCAACACTTCCCAATCTGAAAGAAAACAATGATTACATTTTTTTTTTTTTTTTAATAAATACTAAATTTTAAAAAAAGTTTTTATTAAATTACCTGTAACGATCGTTGAGGCTTAAGGCATGAGCACCGCTACATTCGGACATACCGTACGCTTCTAGAATGGGAATATCGAGGCTCATAAAATATTTTTTGATTTCAATACCAAGTGGTGCGGCGGCGGTGACAAAAAGATTACATCTATCAAAGCCCAATGCTCCCTTCACCTTATTAAAAACAAGCCATTTGGCAAATAAATATCCCCAATGTCGATAATCAATACCATTCATTTTATTCATATTATAAAAAAGTCCTTGAGCTTTTGCCCAACTTGCAATCCAACTTTTTATTGGACCATTATTGCGTGCAACCAATTGCATTTTTTCATAAATCTTCTCCCATACTCTTGGTACACCAAGAAAAATTGTAGGCCTTGCTTCCACCAATGTATTAACTAAACTACCTTTTAGGGCATTTTTATCAGCAAAATAAACCGTGGCACCAATCATCATTGTCGCAAATATATCAACCAACTGTAATTTCAAAATAAAATTACCTTATATATTTTTTTTATCTATTTTAAAATTGTTATTTTTGTAAAAATGATTTTTACCTGCGCAGCAACATGAGACAAAGGTAGAAAGCTCACTACAACTTCGCTGCCATTTTTAACTCCAATAGAGTCAATAATCACTCGTGCGTCATATAAAATATTATCGTGACTCAACATTACAGCCTTTGGATTTCCAACTGTTCCTGACTGTCAATTAAAATATTAAAAAAAATTAAATACATAAAAAATGGAAATTTTTATACAAATACTATTTTCTCTTACCGTATAAACTAAAGTGCAACATTCATTAACTCCCATTGTTCTAAGAATTGATTCCAATTTATCGTCAGATTCCTTCTTTCCCATTTCGACGACATCGTGCCACTAAAAAAAAAAACAAAAAAAATTTATAGAATTTATATTATTAATGTAAATAATAAAATATTTTCAATAATACTCACACTTAATACACTCTTGTCTTTGACTATTCCCTCGTATTGAATAATTGCTTTTAAATGAGGAAGATTTTTTTTAATTTCTAAAATTTTTTCCAATTGTTTAGCATCTTCTACTACTATTATATTTGCACGACTACTCTCGGCACAATATTGACATGCTTCAGGTGAATTTGTTGTGTAAATTCCTGCAGCAAATCCTCTGTGAAAAAAATCGATATTATTTAAAAAACTATTATTAATATCTTTTTACTAATTATTCTGATTTCTTACCCTGCATAAATTGCAGCCACATCTGCTATAAACCATTGTGGACTATTAAATCCTAAAATACAAACGCTATGATGTCGTTCCAAACCCAATTTTATAAATGCTTTGGCCACTAATCTCACTTGCGTTTCATATTCCCTATTTTTAAAACAAATTGTTTAATAATATTGGATTCAATAAATATTTACAATTATATAAAAAATAATATACAAACTTGTATGTGTAACTAATTCTTTTGCCACTTGGTTCAGGTCTCGATACAAGAGCAATATTTTCAGGATAATTTTTAGCTATTTTTTTTAAAAGTCCAGGAACTGAGATTGATTCAATTACATTATTTTTTTCCACTTTTATTCTTATTCGTCCATTAGCTGCAGTTGTCGTATCCACCTCTGAATATAAAACTTGATCGGGACCTGAAATACAAAAAAAAAAATTTATTTTCTGATAAAATTATAAATTATAATTAAATTCTTACCATCGAGTCCTGTTTCGCTCGCTCTGAGATACTGAACATTATCCATGGTTATTATCTAGAAATAAATAATAAAAATCAAAAAAAGAAATTTTCTCTATTCTAAAAAAAAATGAATTCAATTATTTGTTAATTTGAATTATTTTAACATTTAAAATAGTAAATAAATTAAAATCTCACCTTTTCTTTTTTCGTGAAGCCATTTAGAATCCCATTGGTAACTGGCTGTATCGTAGCCATATTATCTGAAAAAAATTATTTTATTGAAAAAAAAAATAATTGGAAATTATATTAATTTATAAAATTGTGTATAAACAAATAAAATGCTAAAATAAAGTGCACATTAATGGTCAAATTATATAATTAAATTACCTGATGTGTAAAGTGATATAAATTTTAATTTTGCATAAATTATTATACTAATTTTATTTCTACTCTTTTCATTCATATTGAAATTTCGTATAATTTGCAAATTTTTTAAAACCAATACCTTTCTATCTTCTTTCGTTTTCCCCTTATAAACACACTTATTGCTTTCTATTATACTGCATTATTTTTGCATATACGTAAACTAATTAAATACTATTAACATAAGTTTCTTAAATTGTCGTAAAATATAAGAGATTAGATGACTCTGTTTCCCATTGACAAATAATAAGCAATTTTATAATTCATTTTGTCTGGCAACCATTGTTAATTATTATTCATATAAGACGAGAATAAAAAACGTGACCCTGAGAAAATAAGAAAAAAAGAAGTTCGTTGTAAAAGAAAAAAAAGGGAAATTAACATTTTCTAAAAAAAAAAAAAAAATTTCAAATATTTTAAAGGAAAAAGAATAATTCACTAAATACAAAGCAGCAAAAAAAAAGGAAAGAAAAATACTAAAAAAAAATCTTTTATTCAAAAATTGTTAATTTTAACCAGCCAACTGCACTTCATTATAAAAATTAAATTATTCAATCAATTGCAATAAATTTAATTTTAATTTATATAATTAAAATTTAATTAATTCTTTTTCTTTTCTTATCTAATTCCTGTGTCTTTGAACTTTTTTTTTATTTTTTTATTTTTCAAGAAAATTATATTATAAACATCGCGTGTATGATTATAAAGTTATGAAATACTCTGATTATTCAACAGTTCGATTAGTACTTTATATATACGAAAGTGGAAAGATTATGTGACAATCAATACGTGTTCATTGACCGATGAATTATTGTATATGAATCGGGTCAAGAGACATCTTTTGTGAATGATTTTGGAGGCGAAAAAAAGTAAAATTGCATTTTTCAAAATAGAACCATATGAGACATTTATTCATAAAGTTTTGGCTAAACAAAAGAAATTATTTTTTTTTTAAATTAATTTAAAATATAAAAAAATATTAAATATTTTAATAATTGATTTATGATTTTTTTTTAAACTAATTTGAATTCAATTTTCTTTTATCATGTGTAATCAATTTTATACAATTTATGCTGTGCAGACAATTATAAACATTTCTGTTATAAAAATTCTAAGAAATCTAATTTAAATGAAAATAATTATTCAAAGTAATTATAAATTCAGAAGGAATGAAAAATAAATTAATTTTTTTTTTAAATTTAATTAAAGTTTTATAAATTTCTTTTGAAATTTAATTTTCTAAATAATTTATAACAAAAATTTCGAAAAAAAATTAATTATTAAAGAATTAATTATTTATTTTCCATTGTTTATATCTATAATTTTTTATATATTATAGTAATATAATTAATTTTATAACATAATTTTAAATGACAAGGACGTAAAAAAAATTAGCTGATATTCAAAAGAAGTATTAATAATTCACACATTTGATCATTACTATACCTCAAGTAATGTACGGTCAAAGTACGAGAAGATATAAACATTTAGTGTTAATTACGCAAATGCAAACAAGGACGTAACATAAAAAAAAGTTAGCGAGATGTTTCTTGATAATTATAATACTTTGAAAAACTGCTTTTATGTATTTATATTTCAAATTCCAATTAAATCCGGAATTTTCAACTTAATTTTGTTATTTTACAAAAAAAAAATATTTCTCAATTAAAATATTATATTTGGTATATAATAAATTAATTTTATTTATTTAAATTATAAAAATGAAAATAATTAATCGAAAAATTAATTAATTTTCTTTTTTTGTTCATAAAAAAAACTATATTTAAATTGCAAATAATGAAAATTCAAATTGAAAATAAATAATTAGAAAACATAATTGCCAAAAATTATTATGAAATAAATTAAAGTACTGTTCAAAAAATTAATTAGTTTTTATATTAAGAATAACAGGGACATAAAGATAACTCTATCACGAGAGATTTAAATTATTTTCTTTAAATCAGTAAATAAAAAAAACAAAAAAAAAAAAAAGACATTTTGCACTTTAGAGATGGGATAAAAAAAATGTTTAGCGATAAGATACATATTCATGACACGAACTTAAACACACTCGTTCTTTAGGAAAAAAGAAAACTTAAAAAATACATAAATAATTCAATTGCCATATACCTTAGTAGTAAATTTTCATTAAAATAATTTCTTTAAACGAACTTTTTTCATTAGATAACTTTATCTGCAATTTTTTTCGCTTTTTCAAATATTTTAAATTTTTTCTCTTATAACTTCAAACGATTTTATTTTACAAATTTAAATTTTTTTTCGTTTTTTTTCAATTTAGACAAATATTTCTTAATTTAATACTGTATAAAATATTTAAAAAAATTTTTTTAAATATTTATAATAATTTGAAGAATCGCGCGTGAAACTTTTTGGAGTTATTTTTTAAATTATGCCAAATATTTTCAAATATGCTTGCAAATTTTTTTTTTTTTGTCATAACAATAGTTTAATTTATTAATAAGATTCATGAGATATTAAATATTTAAACATTGTATCTTGTGGCACTCCTATGACTTCAATGCCACGGTCGATGTTTAAAAATGTTCTTTTTATTTTTTTTTCTCAAATAATATGAAAATTTATAAACAGTTGCTTATCTTTTTTTAAACAAAAAATAAATAATTTATCTAGCAAAAAGATTTTTAATATAAAAATTAAATACCTTTATAAATAAAGATAACCATTTTTACGAACTTTTATGAAATATTAGTTGCGTCGTGAACTGTTTTTACAAAACTGGTGCTTGAAAGGCGCACAGAAATCAATAATATCAAAGCATCACCCCATATTATGGCGGTAAATTTAAACTTCACACCTGGTATGAACACCTGGTTTAATTTCGCATTTTTTACTTGTTTTTAAAATATTTTTTTATTTTTATTTTCCAAAAATAGAGAAAATTTTCAAAAAAAAAGAGACGAATGTCTGTAAATTTTTTAATTACTCTAAAAATAAATATACAATTTTTTCAATTGTTAATTATTTTTTTTTTATAATAATCAACAAGAAAAGTGACTTTGTTTGCTTTGAGAATAAGCAAATAATAATTAAAGCAAATATACTTTAATATTTAATTTTTCTTTTTCTCTTTTTTAACGATCACTAACAGTTTTCTTATTTTTCCCAATATCTTATCTTTTATAATGATTTTTATTAAATTTCCGCAAATAGTGAAAAATAAACAAACTCATCAAGAGTTTGCACATTTGACTCTTATCATTAAAACAAGAATTACATGCAATGAATTGCAGACAATAAAAAAAAAATAAAATAATTGATACGTTAAATGTATTATTAAGTAAGTCGTATATAAGATCTTTTGGTTTTCTTTTCAATCATTAATATATGACATTAATATTTTTACATAAAAGAATTGGATCACGTGTTGAAGAAAAATTCAGTAAATTAAAACAATTTTAAGATATATACATATTACATGACAAAAAAAAATTAAAAAAAAGACAAATAAAGTGCTATTACATTATTTCAGGAAATAAACAATTTTGTAAAACGCTTTTAATATTAATCAAATGAAGACATTATATGCAAAATTAAAAAATGTTTACTATTTTTCAAAAATACAAAAAATGGAATAAAAATTTTTTTTCATATTATTTTTTTTTCATTTTTGAATTTTATTTTTATCTATTATTTGTTTTTTATTAATAATAAATTTAATAAACAGTGAAGAGGGAAAAAATTATAATATTATAAAGAAAATATTTTTGAAATACACATAGGGAGGTTTATTAGATCAGGAAAATGATAATGGAATTATCTTTAGCTATATCAATGCGTACATTAGTCTATTAATATATGGAAAAAATTTCCTTCTGTTCATTTACTTGACCTTCTTCATTTTTTTAAAATCTTTTTTATTCAAATAAAATAATTTAAAAAATTTATGTTCACCTTTTTTTTAAATCACGCGATAATAATTTACATTATGATTATCTATAAAAATTGCAAAGTGAAAAATTTTTTCTTTCGTGTCTTATGTTCAAATTTATTATATATTTATATAATTTTTAAATAAAATATTGATACTTATTATTTAAAAAAAAAATAATTAATTAGAATGTAAGTATAACAAATAAAAAAAAAATGTAAATATGTACAATTTACAAAATATATAATATATCAGGTAATTGCAAGGGGGAAAAATTCATTTACTTTATGCTTTTCCGGAAATTGATTTAAGTGACACAAATTATTATTGATTACATATATGTAAATAAAAATTAGATGCATAAAAATTTAATTAAAATTCAGTCAAAAACAAATTAACCCACATTTGATTATAATTTTATATGTTGTTTTAATTACCAAACAATAAATGACCAATTAATATAATCACATTATTATAATAGACTATATCTATCAAAATACAGGTAAATTATTATCAAAATAAAGCTTTCATTATATTAATATTCAAAAAAAAATAATTGTAATATCATTTTCGTAAAGTTTAATAACATTATAATTTAATCAAAATTAATTAAAAAAATATTTCATAAAATTTTCATTATGAATTTCTAAATACATATTTTTTATATCAACTCTAAATATTTAAATTTATTTAAACTTCAATAATAATTGACTTATCTTAAAAAAAAAAAATTTATACCTAAAATGTCATCAAAATTTATTTCAGCTCAAAGACATTCGAGATATAAATATTATAAAATATTGATCTTAACTTTAAGTTGCGTAGACATCAGTTTACTTGTTGTCTGCATAAATCAGAAATTAATAGACTGAAATTGAGTTCTAGGGTAAATAGAGAATCTAAGGTTGTCAACATAACAATTATTTTAATAACAAAGTACTTTGAACAAATAAAAGTGATAAAATTTTCAATTGTTTTCATAAATTTTTTTTATATAAGTAACTCATTTATATTAAAAAAAATTTTCCATCACTTTCTCAAAAAAAAAATAAAATTATTATAAAAGCAATAACAAGTGACACCAAAAGATTGCAATCAGCTAATCGGTAATTAAGTTTAAAATAATTTTATATACGATTTAATGACTTGCGCATCTAAAATACTTGATTTATATTTTTTATTTTTATCAATTTCTGAAGTCTTGTCAAAATGATATAATTGTATCAAACATTATCATTTATTACGCAATTTAAATTTGAATAAATGCAATTATTTCAATAATCTTTTACTAATTTCAAATAAAAGTCATTATACGAAATTAATTATTTTGTTTGTTTTTATAAAATTTAATTTAAAAAAAATAAATTAATTAATGAAATATGTATTTAGCATATATGAATAATTTATTTTAATTAATGAATAATAGGTTAAAAAAACGTTCGTAAAAGAAAAAAATAATTATTTTAAATTACATTGTTGATATGTTACTTATTTTCAACTATGTAACAAAATTATAATTAAAAAAAGAAAAATATTAACGAACATAGCTTATCATAAAGTCAAATAAATAATTCTTTAAACGTATGACATTGTTACAAAAAGAAGTTACAATTAAGAAAAATATGATAATAATAATTTACATAATTATTATTATTGTCAATTATTACTATTTAAAATAAAATGCTATTTGAATTAATTTGCTAATTTTGAATATAATTCTAAATTTTAAATAAATTTCAGTGCATCGTAATTTTTATTTGACGTTTTTAAATGATTAGTCAATCATTTATTTATAAAAAGAAAATAAATAAATAAAAACCACATGTGTAAATGGAAATTTACCTACTTTGATAAATCGCCTGACAGTGTGTTGTAAGTAATTTTCGAAAACCTGTTCGTGAACTTGACCTTGTTAATTGTACGACTTTTTTTTTTTTGTATTTTACTAAAACAGGTTATTGAAAATAACAACTGATTTATTTTTTTTTTAAAATATGGAATAAGGAAATTATTTAAATAATTATTTTTGTTAATATTTTCGTTTGCCGTCCCGTTACACTTTGGAGCACTATGTACAAATGTCTGATTTACAGTTAAAAGTTTAGTTGCAGTCTGCACCGGGTAAACGTTTCATAGATACTAAGGTATTTATAATGTGGTGAGTGAACAGTCATCACTGTGTCACGCCACGTTCTTTGAATGTGAGCACACTATTTTATTTCACCATGCGGTTGAATGAAGTTGTACCACGTGGCGAAGAAGTCTGATTTGCAAGTGGCAATGGCAATGATTTATAAGATTATACTTTTACTTTCCTAATTTTTTTTTTTCGTCACTATTTTTCATCTAACACTAATTTTTCTTTATTTTCTGATAATTTCACTGATTTTTCCTGTTATTTCATTAGAAATAATTTAGTCAATATTGTACTCAATTAAGAAATGACAGAATTTCGAAAATACGGGTAAGAGGGGAATATTATCCCTTTCGAACTGTAACTTCAGTAAAAATTCATTCATATTAAATTTATTAAGAATATAATTAATTATATTATTATTTTCTATTTATTATTCTATGAACTTTAAATTTCACTTTAAAAAAAACATTGTGAAAACCAAAATTATGTTTTAATTAATTTCACAATAAAGCGTAAAAAATAATATTGAAATGTAAATTAATATTAAAATTAATTAACATAAATATAAAAAGAAATATATGTATGAGCAGAAAGAATTTTTCCAAAACAAAAATTATTATTGTTATATTTATATCAACAAATGTAAAAAAAAAAGAAATTTTCTTTAATAATAATAAATAAAAAATTGTTTGTTTTTAATTAATTAATTTAAAAACATACCTTTTACCGGTTATTTCTGCACTCATGCGCGTTATTCCGTGATGTCAATTTTTTTTGAGGTTATCTTCCGTTCAATTCTTTTTTTTTCACAATTGTTGCATCTGAAAATTAAGTAAAATAAATAAATATTTGTATTCTATCATTTTAATTTATAAATTAAATAAAAATAGAATGCCTGGAACGCCGATAAATGGTGATCAAAGCAAATTAAATAAATTGCAAGATGAACAGCCAAAGGAAGTGCAACAGAATGAGAATCTACCTGTTCGTGAATTGACACAAACAGATGTTTTAAATAAACGATTGTTAGTGTCTTTTTTCAAAAATATTAACGAGTGTGACGAAGGACACAGAGATACAAGTGATAAAGAATCCGAAATTATTGATAAAGATAAAGTTGACAACGCGGACAGTGACTTTCTAGAATCCTAACGGTTTTCCAGTAGAATGTAGAAGATTTCACTTTCTATTTTTCACTTCTGTTTTTTTTTAAATAATCAATTCATAATTCAAGTTTCTTTAAGAAAATTCCTTCAAATTATTAAAATTTAAAAATACCTTAATATAGCGAAAATATAAAATGACGAAAGGGCACGCTCTCTTGCACAAAAAGTAAGGTTATATTTTCTAGAATTTGGCGGGAAAGTGTCATTTCTATATAGTGACAGATCCAGGTTATTTCGTCTTCTTATTATTTATCATTTTGGATAGTTAAAATAAAGTTTTATTAAATAAATAAATTGTTTTCGAACAAATTAAAACAATGTCATTACGTAGAGAACAATCGGACGGTGAGGATGTTTTAGATTTGATCGGTGATAACGATAATCATGATGACAGCGATCGTGCAAGTGGAGATGAACTTCATAATGATCAAGGTCAAATGTTGGAAGCTCAAGAAGATAATGAAGATAATGTAAAAAAGGAAGTTACACCTGCTGTTAGACGTGCAAAAAATCTTGCACCAAGATTGACAACTGATTTATTGAAAGGACCAAAAGGTGTGCATAAAATTGAAAAATATTTTGAAGGTTTCAAATATTATGGTCAAGGTCGAGAAAAAGAGGATCTTGATCGTATTATGAAACGTATTGAACATTGGTGTCATAGAATATATCCAAAATTTAATTACGACGATTGTCTTGCAAAAGTTGCACATTTAGGCAATAAACGTGATCTTCAAGTATTTTTAAAAAAATACAGATTAGGCGACATTTCAGCTGATGATGATTTTAAAACACCGGAATTTGTTAATGATGATGACGACGATGACGAGAGACGAGAAGATGCTACACCACAAGAAGAATTCGATTTATTACTTGCAGAACAAATTGATAAACAGAGACAAAATGAAACGACTATTAATTCTTCGACTGCTTTTGATGATTTATTGGCATCCGTTAATCCTCCCGTTGTAACAAAAAATTCCGAACCAGAATTATCTGATGAAGTGAAACAAAGAATGGAGAGAAATCGAATGATAGCCATTGAACGAAAACAAGCAACAATTAGACGACTACAAGAATTAGAAGCTGCTAAAAAAGCCCAAGAAATTCCTGGTAATAAAGACACTTCGGTTCAAATGTCAACAGGTAATAAAAATAAAATTTAATAATTTTCCACTTGTTTGTTAATTAAAAAATTTGCAGAAGAATCTTCAAATGACGCTAAAACTTTGGACAACGAAATAAATCAATCACAAAATGGAGAAGAAAGAAATGAGGAAATTGCAGAAATTCAAACAAAATCTCAGAATAATGAAGAATTAATGACAACTGATAATGAGCATCAAATTCAAGACTCTGAATCAATGATTGAATAGATCAAAAGTATTTCAAAATTTTTAAAAGTTTAAAATAGTATGAAACTTAAATTTACATTACAATATAATCTATAGCGTTTATCATTGTTCTTATAAAAGGGTTAATAAATTATTGTTACCGTTGAACTAAAATATAAAAAAAACAATATGTATATTAATTCATGTATTCAAAAAAAAAAAAAATACTTACATTTAATTCATATTTAATAAAGAACTTAAAAAAAACTATGTTCTACGTTTTTGTGTGCTTATATATAAAACATTATTTCCACGAATAAAAGCATCACCGTATTTGTCTTTTAGTTGACCATTAACGTATTCCTCGGTTTGTTCCAAAGCAATATTCATGTATCCATCAAGACAGGCCAAGACACCTGTGAATTAAAGATATATGTTTATTAATCACATTTTTCCAATTAAAATCTTAAGAATAAATTATACACAAACTTATAAACATGCAAAAAAAAATTTTTGCATATAATACTAACCTCTATAATCAACGCCACTATTAAGTTTAACTACCACTGGACGGCCATGAATTTGTTGAATAAATTGTGTTAATGCTTCTTTACGACTCATCTACAAAATAAAATGTAAATACTAATTTTTTTGGCAAATAAAACAAACAATTGAATGTAGTATTTATAGGTTAAGATGCCGCTATAGTGACAGATTAAGAAATAAATTTGTAAATATTTTACACTTACTGATAATATGATAATACTTACCTTTTTAGAATAACTGGTTCTTGTTTTTGGGAAATAATTATTTATTTAAGATTATTAATATTAAACTTTTTCGGCGATAAAAAAAATATTTGACAACAAACACACTTTGGAATTGTTCGTAACTAGATGGCTCTACCGATTTCCGGTTTAAGGTTAATCGTTGTCTTGACTAGAGTCGTATCAGCAGTCAATGCAACGATTTGTGATTGTTAAAATCTGAGATAAATTAATAAACAAATATAAGTTTTAAATAAACATTAATGTATTTCTTTGTAAAAAGAAATGATCTGATATAACTGAAAGGATTGACAATATTACATTAAATGTAAGGTTGTTTAATTATCTTTTTTAATTCGTTGGTGAAACGAATTGTTTATAATATATAAAGAGAAAGACAAAAATATGGCAGTTCCATCATCAGCATCGTTGTCAACAAGAAATAAAAAACATTTCCTTGGTGTTCCTGCACCTTTAGGATATGTTGCTGGCGTTGGCAGAGGGTAATTTATCTTTAATGAATTTTTTTTTTCACTTCGTTAAGAGAAATTATTTTTTGTATATTTTTCTAACCTCAAATTTGATTATTTTGTTATAATATAGAGCAACTGGATTTACTACTCGTTCGGATATTGGACCGGCACGTGATGCCAATGATGTTTCGTGAGTATTTAATTTCAATAAATTTCATAGTTTTATAATAATTTTTGAAATTGCATTTTTTAGAGATGACAGACATGCACCACCAACTAAACGGGCTAAAAAGAAAGAAGAGGAAGAGGAAGACGAGGAGGATTTAAATGATTCTAATTATGACGAATTTTCCGGTTATGGTGGTTCTTTATTTAGCAAGGTTACTTATTTTATTATTTATTAAGTTTTTAAAATTGAATTTTTCTAAAATGTTTTTTTTTTTAATTAGGATCCATATGACAAGGACGATGAAGAAGCGGATGCAATTTATGAAGCAATTGATAAGCGAATGGATGAGAAACGTAAGGAATATCGAGAGAAACGTTTAAGGGAAGAATTGGAACGTTATCGTCAGGAACGACCTAAAATACAACAACAATTTTCTGATTTAAAACGTGATTTAGTTAGTGTTACGGAGGATGAATGGAAAAATATTCCTGAAGTTGGTGATGCAAGAAATCGTAAACAAAGAAATCCACGTGCTGAGAAATTTACACCGTTGCCTGATTCGGTTCTTTCAAGAAATTTAGGCGGTGAAACAACATCGAGTATTGATCCAACAAGTGGATTGGCGTCAATGATGCCTGGTGTTACAACACCTGGTATGTTAACACCAACTGGTGATTTAGATTTAAGAAAAATTGGTCAAGCTAGAAATACACTTATGGATGTGAAATTAAGTCAAGTTTCGGATTCTGTTGCCGGACAAACGGTTGTTGATCCGAAGGGTTATCTCACTGATTTACAAAGTATGATTCCGACCTATGGTGGTGATATCAAGTGAGTAATTTCTTTTTTTTGAATTTTTAAAAATTTTGAGAATGTAATTTCTTTTTTCTTTTAGTGATATAAAGAAGGCGCGATTACTTTTGAAATCGGTACGTGAAACAAATCCAAATCATCCACCAGCTTGGATTGCGTCAGCTCGTTTGGAGGAAGTAACGGGTAAAGTTCAAGCGGCACGTAATTTAATAATGAAAGGATGTGAAGTAAATCCAACGTCAGAGGATTTATGGCTTGAGGCAGCGAGATTACAACCGGCGGACACTGCTAAAGCAGTTATTGCACAATCTGTACGTCATATACCAACTTCGGTGAGAATTTGGATAAAAGCCGCTGATTTAGAGACGGAGACAAAAGCAAAACGACGTGTTTATCGTAAGGCATTGGAGCATATTCCAAATTCGGTGAGATTATGGAAAGCAGCTGTTGAATTAGAAGAGCCAGAGGATGCGAGAATTTTATTGAGTCGAGCTGTTGAATGTTGTTCAACGAGCGTTGATTTATGGTTAGCTTTAGCGCGATTAGAAACCTATGATAATGCGCGTAAAGTTTTAAATAAAGCGCGAGAAAATATTCCCACTGATCGACAAATTTGGACAACGGCAGCAAAACTTGAGGAGGCAAATGGAAATAAGCATATGGTGGAGAAAATTATTGAGCGCGCTATTTCATCGTTAAGTGCAAATGGAGTGGAAATTAATAGAGAACATTGGTTTAAAGAAGCGATGGAAGCAGAAAAAGCTGGTGCCGTTCATTGTTGTCAGGTGATTATTAAATCTGTGATTGGAGGCGGTGTCGAGGAAGAGGATCGAAAACATACCTGGATGGAGGATGCAGAAACGGTAATATTATCTTTTTTTTCTGTATTTTATTATATTTTAAAATTAATATTGAATTTTATTTTTAATTAGTGTGCTCAACAAGGAGCGTTAGAATGTGCACGAGCTGTTTATGCATTCGCTTTGAGCACTTTTCCGAGTAAAAAGTCCATTTGGATGAGAGCTGCTTATTTTGAGAAGACTTATGGAACAAGAGAATCTCTTGAAGCTTTGTTGCAACGAGCCGTTGCTCATTGTCCAAAGAGCGAAGTTCTTTGGCTTATGGGAGCAAAATCGAAATGGTTGGCTGTAAGTATTTTTTTTTTTTTAATATCCGTAGTTTTCAAATTCAAACTAATTTTCTTTTTTATTATTAAGGGCGATGTTCCGGCAGCAAGAGGGATTTTGTCATTGGCTTTCCAGGCGAATCCAAATTCAGAGGAAATTTGGTTGGCGGCTGTAAAATTAGAATCTGAGAATTCAGAATATGAAAGAGCGAGACGTCTTTTAGCGAAGGCTCGTGCATCAGCTCCAACGCCACGTGTTATGATGAAAAGTGCAAAACTTGAATGGGCGCTCAATAATTTGGATACGGCTTTGAAATTATTGAAAGAAGCACTCGAAATGTTTGATGATTTTCCTAAATTATGGTTGATGAAGGGACAAATTGAAGAACAACAAAATATGAATGAACAGGCTCTTCTTACTTACAATCAAGGGGTAATTTTTTTTTCTCTATCTCCTTTCTATGATTCTAATTTCAAGAGATTGTAATTAATTTTTAATTTTTTCTTTTATATAAATTACAGATGAAGAAATGTCCAAATTCAATTCCATTGTGGAGGCTTTTGACGCATTTAGAATGTCGCTCGGGTAGAGTTACAAAGGCGCGTTCAGTTTTGGAAAAAGCGCGATTGCGAAATCCAAAGAATGATGAATTATGGCTTGAGGCAGTGAGAATTGAAAATCAAAATTCAGCGACACATAATATGGCGCATACATTAATGGCAAAGGCATTGCAAGAATGTCCAAATTCGGGATTATTGTGGGCGGAAGCAATTTTCATGGAATCGAGGCCACAAAGAAAAATGAAGAGTGTCGATGCTTTAAAAAAATGTGAACACGATGCACATGTTCTTCTTGCTGTTTCCAAGTATGTATTTTTTTTCTTCTCGATATATATTATATATTATATATTTCTTTTTGAAATTACAGATTATTTTGGAGTGAGAGTAAAATTTCAAAGTGTCGAGATTGGTTTAATCGAACAGTGAAATTGCGACCCGATTTAGGAGATGCTTGGGCATATTTTTATAAATTTGAAAAACTTCATGGTACTGATGAGCAACAGGAGGATGTGAAAAAACGTTGCATTGCTTCAGAACCAAAATATGGAGAGAATTGGTGTAAAGTTTCAAAAAATATCAACAATTGGTGTTTCAATACTGAACAAATTTTAATTCTTGTCGCAAAGGATCTACCCATTCCAATATGAATTCGAATTTTTCGTATATTTTGGATTGTACATATAAAGACTATTTCCTATAAGGTAAATAAATATTAAAAATTAATTTTTTCTCTATTCTTTTTTATAACTTTAAATTTAACATTTACCTTCCTAATTTATTGCATTATAATTATTATATTAAATATAAATGAGTTGTTTCTTTATAAATTTTTTTAATTTTGCAAAATTAAAGTTTACATAATAAGAATTTATTATAAACATTTTTTTTAAACTTTGAAGACTAATAAATTTTTATCACTACATTAGAATATTAACTGATATTATATAATTTGTGAAAGTTACGTTCACTTTTATTTTATTTTGTAAAATTTAAGTATTAGAAAAATTGGAATTTTTATTTTATTTTTATTTTCCAGAAAAAGAAATATAAAAATAAATTATTCTTAGCATAACTTTAGGTTCAACTCTAAGAAAATAACTCTGCGCAGAAGGTTGTTATGAAAACTAGTTCCTTCACCTCCGACTTTCAGTTTAGGTTAGGTTGAAATATTTTCTTTTGTTACTCCAAAAAGAAAGTTAGACACTGCACTATTCGTCATTCAGTATCTGAAAATAGTTGGTAACTGACTGGAATTAATGTGCTAGTGTTAGTTTTTTTTTTCTTCAAGAAATTTTCACTTTTTAAAAATGAGTACAGAAAAAATCGTCGATTTTAATACTCTTGGTTCGTATTTTTTTTTTTTTATTTATAACTTTATTTCTAAAATTGTTATTACTCTTTTATGAAATTATAAACAACAAATTGTAATTGTTATGAGAGTTCCCCCAAATTTATAAATATTAAATTGAAATTAAATGAGTAATAAATATTAAATTAAAATTAGTAATTGATTAAATTAAGATATCTAATTAAGTATTTAATTAAATAACTACTTATAAATATAATATAATAAATATTAGTTGATCAGAATAAATATATATATTTCTATATTCCGTCAGAATATTTTTGAATTAATTATTATTAATGAATTTTATTCGCGTTAAGTAATTGATTAATAGTTTTTTTTATATAATAAAAATTTTGAAAAGATCATTAATTGATTATATTAAATTTCCGTTTGAATTGAAGTTTTTATTTTTTCAAGACAATAGTATGCAGGAGTTGGTAAAGGAATGTATAGCAGTTCGCGAGATGGCTTATGCGCCTTATAGTAAATTTAAAGTTGGAGCAGCTTTACGTTGTGAGGATGGATCAATAACAACTGGTTGTAATGTGGAAAATGCTGCATATCCACTTGCAATTTGTGCTGAACGTGTGGCAATTGGAAAAGCAATTTCCGAAGGTAAACGAAAATTCACAGCAATTGCCGTTGCAGCTGATATAATTCATGGCTCAAAAAATGCATCACCATGTGGAATGTGCCGTCAAATGATGACCGAATTTGGTGATATGCCGGTTTTATTAACATCTCCCGATAGAATGAAAATTCAATCAACATCAGTTGTAGAACTTTTGCCATTTTCCTTTGGCTTTGAAAATATCAAAAATGGTATTCAATTTCCCATCAATCACAATATTGAGTAAATTTTTCCTAATTTCATAAATAATGTATATTTTAAATTTATTTTTAAAAATAGATTTACGCAAAAAGAAATTGTTTTTTGTAAGTTTTCTCTGTTTTTAATAACCTTTTCTTTTATGTCATTTTTTCGATTGCAAAAAATAATTAATTAATTTTATTTTTACTCAGTATTATTGTGTATTTTGTATAAAAAAATTTTTTTTTTTTAAATTATTAAACAATGATGAAAATTGTTTTTCCACTCGATAATAACATTAACAAAGAGATGATTCTAATTTACTTCGGAATTGATAATAAATAAATGATAAGCAAGAAAAAAATCTGTCTACGAATGCTATTAATGAACTAGAAGGCTATTATTTTGTTGTGAAAGAAAAACAAGATCTTAAGTTTTAAATGTTTTTTTTTCTTTATACATCCAATCTACGAGTACAGAAAACCTTTCGTTTTTTTACAATATCAGTTTACTGGTAAAATATTAATAAAATTATCATTAAAAAAAAAAAAAAATTTAATCGTCGCGTAAGACTGCAATATATTTACAAATTAGTACAATGACAAAAATCGTAAAATAACTGAACTTCATTTTGATCAAGTTTCAAAATAAAATCAATATTGATAGTGCGTTTAATTTTAATCGTAAGAAGTTTGTTCTTCTTTATTTAATTTTTTTTTTTTTTACCAAAATGGACACCTGAAATGTAAAATAGATTTTATTGAAATTTTGTTTTCAAAAATGAATTGTTTAATAAATCATTTGATAAAAATGAAAATGAATACTCACCATCCAATGTAACATTGACAGAGATTTTCATTATTGGTTGCCTGTTGAATTAAAAGATCAACTTGGCGTTGAACGCTTAACATTTGATCATGCGAAAAATCACGACCTGTGAGTTTGTCTCTAACTCTATTTGTGATTGCAAGCGCCTTTTTATTTAAAGCTTCTGGTTGATTACTATCACCTAAAATCACAAATTAAATATTTATAATTTTAAAAAATTAATTATTCAATTTTAATATTTTAATTACACATTCTTATTTTAATAATTTCTTTATTTTAATAATTATATACCTCCATTCTCAATACTGCAGGGAGCTCCTTTTTTCGGTAAAGTTGCAGTTAATGAATCAATAATATCACCACGCTCTTGACTACTACTTGCACTCATTCCCTGAGCATCGGATCTTTTCACTTTTGGCACTGTATTATCCATGAGTCGCCAATTTAACAATGGATCATAAACAAATGCTTCTAAAACGGCCATAAGACTGTCTTTATTTCTATGTAATACGGACATAACTGATTCGCATGTTCTTCGATAAGTGCCTTCAATACCCGTGACTTCCATTGCATTAATCAACATTCTCGTCAAACGGAATGGAATTTTCTCTGGGAATTTCTCACGTGTCATTGCCACTTCAAAGCAATCGCCAAAATCAATGTGAAGAATTTTTCCACTCAATCGATCGAGCATCAAATTCGATGGATGACGATCACCAAGTCCAAGAATATAGCCAACCATTGACATCACAGCCAATGATCGTGTGTAATTTGTTCTACGATCGAACCATACTTCACTTGATGGTGATTTTAGCCAAAGAAGACGTGACAAATCATCACCGTTTGTATGTTCCAAGGCATGTTCGAATACTTCTACTTTTTGCATCAGCATAAGATGATCGTAATCTGGTGCCATCTGTAAAAAAATTTAATTTTATAATTAAATTCTATATATTTAAATTTTTGTTTTTTAATAAAGAAAATTTTTATTGTGTAATACTAACTCGAAGCATAATTCTGTGTTCAATATTGAGAAGAATTTTCTTTTTCTCTCGATAATCTCTAATAAGAGTGTGTAATGTATCGCAATGAGGCACCCAACCAATAAGGCCACTATTTGTTGACAATGGTATCACAGCGTATCTCTAAAAGCACAATTATCATTATAATTTAAATAAAAGAAATTTAAAAAATTAATTTTTACCTGTATAGTAAGATTTCTTCTAAAAGTATCAGGATCGTGTAACAATAATGTATTAACTAAACCAAATAATTGCATAACTCTCTCGTCTTGTCGTAGATCTTCGTGTCCCTTCAAAAGGAACATATAATCCTTACCGTTGCTCCCTAAAAAACAAAATTGGAAAAAAAATTAATACAAATTTCCAAAAATTTAATTTTAATACAAATTTAATTAAAGACTTGCCTTTAATGCACAATTTCCTTGGTCGTTGTTTACTCGTAATAACTTGCATAGAACTATGAAAATTCGAGATCCTTATAATTGGCTGTCCCGGTTGATAACTTCCAGGCACTGCTAATTCAAGATCACGACATAATAAAAGTTTTGGACTCACATATTGTAATTCCAAACTTGTCAATTGTGGAAGTTGTCGTGATATACGTCGAAAAACATGATAATAAAGATCCCATGCCTGATTAAGATCACGAACATTACCTGAAGCTTTAAATCTATGGCACCAATCTTGAGCTTCAACTAAATCCCTTCCATAGGCTTGATTAAATGATGTTTCTTTCAATGTTTGTGGACCACGTTCAAGCATCGCGTGAAGTGGTTCCAATGTATCAAACATACCCTTTACATTTCTCTCACCAAAATATAATCGACTTGCTTCCTCAAGACCCGCGTGCCACAATTCATGCCACAAAATTGCAACTCTAATTAATTCATCACTAGCCATTATTGCCTGTTGCACCAATGTGGGACTATGTTCACACATATTTTTCAATATTTTATTAGCGGCCGTCTTTCTCGCGTGACTTGCACTTTTTGATGCCACCGTCAATGGATAGACAAGTGCTTGTGGATGAGTTTTTCCAATATCAATCAATAAATGATGAATACATCGTCCAACAAGTGCTCTTGGTGTATCGATACGTGCAATCAACTGTGGAATCACTTGAAGCCAAGTGTTTATTTCAATCATTCGAATACCCTCAACAATTGCGTCATAAACCTCTGGCCATTGTCCATATTCAAACCAAAGTGTCAATAGTCTTAATGTATCTTGTAGTGAATTACCATGGGATAAATTAATTGATCGAAAGAATCCTTCAACAGCTGGTACAGCATAACGAGAAATATATTGTGAACTACAAAGATTTCTCGATCCATTCGATGACGATGAATTATCCTGATTAATAATTTCACCTTGTTGATGTTTATAAAAGAGAACAGTCTCATAATTTGTATAGGCAAACGAATGCCATGCTTTATACCATGTTGGATCGTGTTCAGTTGCCGCTGAATAATAAGTAAGAACCATTGGAATTGAATGTTCCTTAATTCCCTGTAATGCTTCGGTCCATTCACCTAATTTTAAATAACATCTTGCTAATAAACGTTTTCTTGCGTCTTGATGTTTCTCATCCTCTTGATTCATCATTGAATTACCCGAATTTGTTAACGATGATGTGACAAATTTTTGTAATTGACAATAAGCCTCTTCTCGTTTTCCAGCGACCCACATGTGTTTACAATAAGCAAATGTTACCTGAAAACAAGAAAAATTAATAATAATTGGAAAATTTTTTTATAATTTTTAATAGTCACCTGTGGATGATTAGTAGGTAGTGGTTTATCAGGAACTAGCGATGGATCCATTCCAAGGAGCATTACCAATGTTTTGTGACACAACATAAGATTTCCACTCTTTCTACAGAGGCTCGCATATTTTAACCATGTATACATATCATCTTGTGGCGAAACAACGAGTGTATGAACTTGTATTATTTTTTGCCAATCTTCAACAATACGTTGACCACCTTGAAGTCTTTCCCACCACATACTTTTGATTGTTGATCTTCTCTCGGGTACCAATTTAAATTGTATTACTTCTTCTAATTCAGCTAATTTTTGCACTTCAACCATTGCATTATAAGCACGTTGATAACTTTCACCTGCCATTGCCGTTAATTCTGTATCAAGTAAATCTCTTGCGCTTTCAATTAATTCATGAGCAATATCATATCTCTCATCGTGAATTGCCAATACAGCACGATAAAATGCACCATCTTGAGTATCTTTTGATATTAATGACACATATTTTTGCATACTCTCCCATTGATTAAGACCCCAGGCTGCTGCTGCTGCCATTCTTGCCATTCTTTGTTTTGTTTCTTCACTTTGATTTAACCATTGTTTCATTGCCACCTCATGTAATTGTCCCCATTCACCTAATGCCTCAAGACATCTCATTTCACCTAATGTTGATTCAACATCATTTGAATCAATTTCAAGTCTCTCATTATAAAGTTGTAGTGCCTTATCCCAATTATGTAATTTCTCATACCATCTCACTTGTACTTTCAAATCAGGTTGACTATGTTGATTCATTACATACTCAAGAAGACCCTCAGCAGCTTCTTTTTGTTGAAGTTTATTATTAATCGATATTAATGATTCAAAAACATTACTCTTTGAATCATTATTCTTTCCATCTCTCTCTGTATCATTTTTATTTTTACTCTTGTGAAATTCATCTTCCTTGTAATGAAGTGCCTTTGCATATGCACGACAATGCATTGCTCTTTCGCCTAAAATTTTATTATCCAAAGGAAGTGGTCCCTTGTCACAGTGTTCCATAAATTCAGCTAAATTTAAAATTGTTTGTGTTATTTCCGGTAAATCGGGAACCATTAATGCTTGCTGTAATGTTTGAATTAATTCAGAGCGATAACTTTCATTTAATTCAGACCAACATGAAACAAAAGCAGCATTAAAAAGATCACGTGGTAATTGAGAATATGTTTGTGCCAATGCCCAACATGATCTTAAAGCAGGTGATGGTGATTCTTTTAATAAACCAATTGATAAACTTTTAATCCACTCAAGCCAATCGTCCTTTGATACTCTTCTTGTTGCGGTCCATGCTTTTTGAAGATTTGAAGCATCAACATGTAATCGTTTAATTGTTGTTGTATCAGAAGAAGTTAGTGACATATCTCTATTTTTATTTTTCGATTGTCGTTGCTTTATAAGAAGATAATCTTCCGTATCGACAACCGATGATTCAATATCAATTTTATGTACAAGCCATTCGTAACGTGTATTTGAAATTTTATGTTTAATTATCACTTTTTGTACCATAAGAATAAAAATTTTATACTTTTTACCCAATTGAATGATAATAGCACAAAGTGTATCCATTGCCGTATCACGAAGATCAGGAAATTGATCGAGTACACGTACTAATGGATGAATAATTCTTGATGAAAAATCAGTGAAATCTAAACAATCAGACAAATGATCAATTGTTTCTAATGCAACTCTATTCACAATAATTGGACAATCCGTAGCACAAAATAATTTCACTATCGGTGGAAGCACCAAATGAAGATAATTATCCAAATTATTTCCAAATTTCTGCAATGCCTGAAGAAGTTTCACAGTAACTGTACGATCTTTACTTGGATCATGATTTAAAACCTTAAGAATTTGTGGTATCAATTGTGGAATATAAATTTTAAATTCAGAACCCAATGCAACGGCAATATGTTCAACGAGTAATATCAATGTACTTTGTAATGGACTATTAACAGTCCAAAATTCTTTAATAAGAACAAAAATATCATCGAGATAATTTCTTATATGTTGCTTAACGATAGCAATTAAAATTGCCAATTGTTGAAATAAATATTCACGAAATGTAATATCGGCCGTTCTAACAACATTCAAAAAACTTGGCATCACTTGTGATATATAGGGAACGCATTTAATTCCCAAACTTTTGAATATAAAAGTCACAGCCTGAACAACCATTGTATGATGTTGTGAAAGTGTTGGATCACGAATAATTCTCATCAATGTTGCAATAGCAATTGCTGGATAATATTCTTCTAATGTTGACGATGACATATTAACGAGCATTTCACTTGTCGTTAAATCCTGATTCATTTCGGCATCACTTTTTATATCGGCCATTGATGTCAATGTATCTAATTGTGAATCAATTTGACCTAAATTCATTTTATGTTTATAGGGATCAAGTGCCCCTAATAAACCAAGAACTCTTATTGTTTCTCTACGAATATGTGTTTGTTGTTCTGTTTTTAAAAAATTTATCAAAACATCCAATAAAGTTGGATATTGCATATAAGGTTTCACCACATAACCAGTACTTCCTACCAATTGACCCAAAACCCATAGAGCGACACCACGTTTCTCTGGTGAGCTTGCATCCACCAACATTTCTAATAAAATTGACAATAATTCCGGAAGCCATTGTTGCATTTCAGCACCGCTAACCTCAGCCAAATCGCCAATTGCTTTCAAAATTGCTAAAATAACACCTGGATTTGGTTCTGGTTCTTTTAATTTTGGTACCAATACCTTGAGCATTGGTTCCATATAGGGACGAATTAATCTCGGTGCACTCACCACTAAATGATCAAGCATTCTTGCAGCTTGCTCTTTATTTCTACCCATTCCAGAATATTCCAATTCAGTGAGCAATTGAATCAACGTTTTTCTCAAGGACGGCATCACATAGGCCGGATTCATTATACTCAGCCTTCCAATTGTCCTACTGGCAATTTCACGTATTTCAAAAATTTCATCATTCATCCCAACAAAAAGTGCCGATAAACTTTCAGCTTGAGCAAGATGACTGTCAAACGATTCGTCAAGTGATGCCAAAACCCAAAATCGAACATCAGGATCTGGATCAATAATTCCAACATCGAGAAGTTTTCGTACCACTGAAGAAACAGTTGTTGTCACTGTATGTCCTGGTTGATTCAATGAGAGTCGCAAAAGTCTTGAACATGTTCTCACTGCCTCGAGCCTCACTTCCGCCTGTTCCGAAGTAAGAAAATGATCAGCGCAACGTTTCACAAATTGTAATAATGGATTCTCATCAAAATCAAAAGTACCCAATGTTCTTAATGCAAGTACCGTTGACGATACATCAACTTCCGATTGTTGAGATAAATTTGGACTACTCGCACTCCATGGAGCACCTGGATGTCTCAATGGTTTATGCATCAAAACCTGTGAAAGCATTCGTAACAAACCTTGTGAAATATCAGCTTTCAATGATGGTACATCGTGTGCAAGTTCACGTAATGACGTTGTTAAAATTGGACTCAATCCAGTAGCTAACATTGACTCAAGAATATCCTTAACATCAGCTGAAATTGTCTGCTTAACAGCATGTCCCAAAAGTGTTATACAAATAAAAACCGCTGGCTCAAGTGCAATTCGTTTTTTATTCGACATCTCCTTTGATGGCAATGAACTCTTAATAGTCTCCATAATTCTTCCCAAATAGGGTTTTATTGGATCACCAACAGCAACTGCTATCAAACCAATTGTCGTAAACGCTGCCGCTCTATCCTTCTCTCTTCCCTTCAATGTCATTAAAAGATAAGCAAGACAATCTCTAAGATTACTTTGAACAAATTTTTCCCTATTAAATGCAGCAAGTCTTGGCAAAAGATTCATTAACGCATGTTGAATATGTGGATTACGTGATATTCTCTGATTCATAACTTCATCGCTAATATCATCCAATTTCTCCAGCATTAAACTACGACACGCTGCCGATTCATGTGTTGGATGATGTGAACTTTGTGTATTTAAAACATTCTTTGACACAGACCATTTTGAAACAAGATTCGATTTTAAATGTGGCATCATGAGAAATATATCATTCTCCTTTTTTTGTGGTGAACAATTTAATTTCTCCATTAAAGCCTCATAGTCACGTTCCCATTCAATATTACTACATCGCAATAATTCATTTAAAACAAGTAACGAACCATGAATTCGATCATCACGATTAAAATTTCTCTCTCTAAATGAAACATCCTCAAATCCAGAACAAATTTCATCGTAACATTGTTTATACCATTGGGATTTGTGCATTTGTTTTGCTGTTTCACGTTGAGCTGTCACAACTAATGCTGCACGTAATGCTTCAACAGCACCTTCTCGTATAACTGCTTTCATATCACGTACGGCATTGAAAATAACTTCAAAAAATGGTGTAACTTGTTGAAAAAAATATGTTGGCATCGATACTGCCAATTCTTTTAATACAAGAACAGCCGCTTGTCGTTTACCTTCATTACGATCACCACCAAGCCATTCAAATGCACGTTTTACTTCAAATTCAACATAAGCCGCTGTATACGTTCCTGAAACAAGTGCCAATTTACCAACTGTTTTTGCCGCAAGTTCCATAACACCAACATCACTCGATGGTAAAAGATGTCGTAAATAATTAGCAAATCTTATTGTTCGTGTATTAATACTTCCAACATCGGCATCAATTAAACAAATAATCGCTAGAATTCCACCTTTTTTCTCATTCATATCGGAACCTGAAACCATTTCAAAAATATGATGATTAAATTCATCCATAAATGCTGTGAATTCTTCTTGTGATGCCTCACGAAGTTCTGTTTTAACATAAACAGAAAGTTTACGTGCCGCTTCATTGCGCACTTCTTCATGACGTGATTTTAAACGCTGAACGTATTGTTGAACTGTACTTGACATTTTGAATTTTTTTTTTTTTTTTTTTAATTTATCCAAAACAATTTACATCCTATAAGAAAAAAAGAAAATTATCAACTATTTACAGAATTTTCTATAGATACTAAAAATTCATAATAAATTTCATTTACCATTTTGGAATAAATATTTTTTGTTTATTAATTATTATTGAAAACTTAATCATTAAAATACAAATTAAAAAAAGAAAATTAAAACATTTTAGAAAAATTTTTAATTCCTTAAGTAATTTGTATTATAAATTAGGAAATAAAAAAAAATACAAAAGATTTAAAATACTGTCAAAAATCAAATGTAAATAATAAATAACCACAACATACAAAAAGTGTAAAAACATACTCACGCTAGAGAATTTTTGAATTCTCTTTTTTTAGAATATTCCTGACATCTTTTTTTTTTTAATTTTCACACATTATTTAAAAACAAACATCACCTACAGAATCTGTCAAAAAATAATAGCAATTATAATCTATAGCAGACGAAAACATTTTACAATATTATTAAAAACATTATCATAATTATAGGTTAGGATTATTGCATGCGGAATTTAGGATATATACACGTAATTCAAATATATTTACTTACTGAAAAATATTATCTCTTGAATGAATTAAGAGAACGTGTAATTTTTATAGAAATTTAAAAAATTATTGTGTTAATAGAACACAAAAACATTTTTTTTTTTTTTTTTATAAATTTGTTTACAATTGATCGCAATATCAAATTCCACAAACACACCCTGTTGTATTTTCAACCAATCAAATTGATTGCATTCTCTTTGTTAAATAATTGTGATTGATGGAAATAATTTATAAATATATAAATAATTTTGTTCACTAATGGAACTAATTTAATTGAATTTGATATAAATAAATAAAATGTTTATAAATATTTTATTGTAAATATTTTTCGGGAAATTTAACACTTGACAAATTAGAATGAAAATCGAGTGGCAATAACCAATAACATGTTGGTTCTAATAGTAAAACACATTCTGATTGGTGGAAATGACTTTATAATAAGCTGGTTTTTTGAATAGAAAACCGTTTGAATTTTATGTTATTCAGCGGCAGTTAAGACGCATGGTTGACGATATTGTGATCAATGTACATTTAAATCAGTGTATTTCTTTACTTTAGGTAAGTTTTTAAATGATATTTGTTGAAATAAATGGTTAATTTATATTTTCGAATGATTTTTTAATATAATTTACCATTTTTATGAAAGTTTATGTGTTGATAGTGAAATTTAAGGAATGACAAAGAATTACGGAGTGTTCAAAACATTTCCAGTGAATTTTAAGTATTAAAATTTTTCTCTATTTGACAGTTTTAATTAATCATTTATTTGTCAATTTATAATGTTATCAATTTTACCAAAAAAATTATTTTCTAACCTCAAATTTTATTTGTTTTTACATTTTGAAGTCTAAATAAAAGTTTGTATATTATTTATATGTTTCTTATTATTTCAATATTTTTTTATTGTCTAATTTTATTATTGAAGTTTGTTAATACATTTACTTTCTGGCTTTTGTAATATTTAAAAATTGTTAAATATGTCATAAAATAATTAATAGTAATAATAATATTTTGTTTTCATTGTATATGACCTTTTCAAGGACCTTTGAATTCCTTCTACCTTCACATTTTTAATTTCTTATTATGTTTCAGAAATATGGATAACACACTTGATACAATTCGACAATATTCCGATGAAACTCTTCAGGAAGAAGTTTCTTATTTATATGGAAGAGATCCAAGTATCATTTCCCATGGACAACAACGTTTTATTTCCAAAGATTCGCAAAAAAATTTATATTCTTTGTATGAAGAGGAGGAATCAAACGATGTCATTAATTCAGAATCATTATCATCGCAAACAGTTAAAGTTTATTTAAGAATGAAGCCATTTCCACGAAGAATGAAATTATCTAAAGAACAAGAGGAGGCATATATGATTGTCAATTCAACAACTTTAATTACAAAAATGGCAAATTTAGAATGCAATGCAAGTTGTTTAAAGCGACCAAAAAGTTCTGATACTGTTTGTAAAAAATTTACCTTCTCAAAAACATTTGGTCCTGAAACATCTCAGTATGATTTATTTGAACAAATTATTCAAACACAGATAGTTGATTTTTTGGCCGGACAAAATGCCACGGTTATGACTTATGGTAAATAAATTGCTTATTTTAATTTTTCTTTTCTAATTTTTAGAAATAAAATTTTTTGAAATTTTAATTAATTTTTTTTTTTTAGGAACAACTAATTCTGGTAAATCGTACACTCTTCAAGGAACATCAACATCACCGGGAATAATACCTCGTGCTCTTGAATTTATTTTCTCGAATATTAATCCAAAAGGTACACCATGTTACAAACCAATAAATAATTCTGATGTAATTGTATTGGATAATAAAGCGCGTGCTTTAGAATTGGAGATGAAAACAGATCTATTGTCATTTGGATCAGTGGACAAAAATTTATATATAAATTCTTATAAAGAAATGCAGAATTTTCTCCAAGAGGAAACTGCCGAATCAATGCGTCCAAGTTCATGTGTAGAAGGTTTATATTCTGTTTGGATATCATTTGCAGAAATTTACAATGAAACAATTTATGATCTTCTTTCAAATGATATTCAAGCGCGTAGACGACCATTGAAATTATCAACTGACAGTCAAGGGAAAGCATTTATAAAAGGTCTTAAATCAGTTTGCGTTAATTCAGGATCTGAGGCTTATCAAATTTTAATGGCTGGTCAATATAATTTAAAAGTTGCCGCAACAGCATTAAATGCAAGAAGTTCAAGATCTCATTGTATATTCACTGTTACATTATTGAAATATAATAAAGAAAATTCTCCCGATTCTGTGGATATTAGCACGTAAGTTTATCAAATAATAAAAATTTTCTATACCTTTTTTTTTTTTTTTTTTAATTTACTGATTGAATTTGCAGATTCGCATTTTGTGATCTCGCCGGTTCGGAAAGATTGAAAAAAACTCTTAATGAAGGTGAACGTCTTAAGGAGGCACAAAATATAAACACAAGTTTATTAGTTTTAGGGAGATGTTTAAAATCAGTTTATGAAACACAAGGTACAAAACATAAAACAAATCTCGTGGGACCATTCCGTGAATCAAAACTTACGAGACTTTTTCAAAAACCATTGTCGGGAAATGAAAACATTGCCTTAATTGTTAATGTTAATCCATCGCCGAATTTATACATTGAAACACAAAATGTTCTCAATTTCTCAGCAATTGCCAAAAAAATTATAATTGAGCCGAAAAAAATTCATCGCAAAAAATCTATTTCAAGATTTTCGAAAATAGTTGCACAGAGCATTAAATCTGTTACTGATTGGGATGCAACGGAATTTGAAAATACAGGTTTCTATTCTATTTTTTATAATTTCCTTTAAATTAGACGAAATAAATAAATTTTTTTCTATTTTAGATGAATTAGACAGTGAGAGTGAACAGGCAGTTGACATGATACATCGGGAGGATTATGAAGAGGCTTTAGATACTATTGAACAACTTGAAAAAGAAGTTTTAAATTTAAAGAATTTACTAGTGGAACGAGATATGGAAACTCGTCAAGAATTAACTGAAACTTATAGGAATATGATGAAGAAAGTGGAACAAGATTGGAGGTAAAATTTTTATAAAATATTCTATTTTTTTAAGTTTAGTATATGATTTTTCAAAAATTTCTTTATACAGAAATCGAGTCAAAGATGTTGAAGAACAACATGAAGATCAGTTAGAATATTATTTAAATCGTCAGGAAACGTATTTTAAAGAGAAAATAAATAATCTTAAAAAAAGTCGAAAACGGAGTCGTATTGATAGTGATGACTTGGATGATGACGACGATGACGACGTTGATGATGAAGAAGAAGATCAAAAACGTTACGATGAGCTTGAAAATGAAAATACAGTTCTTAAATCAAAAATAGAAACCCTAAAAGAAACAACAAAAAATCTTCGAGAACAGAAAGATAAAGAAGTAGCTGAGAAAACAAAAATTGCTTTTGAATTAAGTGTCGCTAAAGATGATTTAAAAAATAGTAAATTATTATTGGAATCTGTAAACACTAATCAAAATGAAAATAATAATAAATACATTGATGAAATAAAAAGTCAATTAACTGAAGCTCAAGAAAAAAATAAGGTATATTTTATATACAAAATAATTTCAATTTTAATTTCTTAAATTTTATTTTCTTTTATTTTTTCAGCAATTAAAAGTTTTTCTAAATGAAGCGAAAGAAGAATACATTATGATAACAACTGATTGTCGTTTAATGGAGGAAAAATTGAAAACAAAAGAAGAATTAATAGTGGAATACGAAGACAAAATAATTGAATTAGAACAACAATTGGAAAATGTTAACGATTGTCTTTCGGAAAAAGTGAAATTAGCCGAAATATTTGAAGACACTATTGAATCAAAAAATAAAATTATAAATGATCTTCAAGATGATATTTTAAATATACGAGAAAAACAGAATGTGCAAAAAAATTTTATGCGCTCTGAAAAAGAAACAATGACATGTGAAAAATTATCTCTAGATCATAATAAATCGCAAAATTCATTAAGTGACATAAGTTGTCAAACTGAGAATCCAAATTTAATTGATTCTGAAAGTAATACGGATAACATTGAAATTAAAACAAGACTCAGATTATCTACAAATGAGAAAAATTTACAAACATCATTTCTCGATAATAATGATGATGAACAAAATGTTGAATTTGTAAATTTGAAGAAAATGTTCGCTGCACTTGAAATTGAAACAATGGCAAAGAAGACGGTAAATTATTGTTTATTATTATTAATTACGTACATTTATGTAAATATTGAAAAAATTTTCATAGTTTAATTTAATGTTTAATTTAATGATTTACAGAATTTAGAAGAGTATAAAGAAAAAGTTGACAAATTAGAAATGGAAAATAAAAATCTCGAGAAAGCGATTAAACAGGTAAAGAATAAAAATTAAAGGAAATCAAAATTTGAAAAAAAAAATTCATTAAAATATGTTTTGCAGTCTCAAGAAGAACACGAGGTAACAAAGAAAAGAATAGAACAAATTCTTCAAGATGCCAAAGAAAAAGATGACTTTAAATCAATGGTATATATTAATTTACATTTCCTCAATATTTTCAAACAAAAAATGGTAGTTATTTTTTATTACTGTAGTAATTAATATTACAGTCATTTTTAATTTATTTTATTTTAAATACAATTACATATTTAAAAAACAAATATATAAATAGAAATGTAATTTGGAATTACAGTTTTTAGAGGAGTATAAACAAAAAGCTGAAGAATTAGAGAAGGAAAATAAAAATCTCGAGGAAGCGAATAAAGAGGTAAATAATACAAAAAAAAATTAAAAACTTTATTGAAAATTTAAAAATATATTTTACAGTCTCAAGAACAATACGAAGCATCAATAAAAGAAATGGAAGAAATTCTTCTTAATTTCAAAAACGAAAATAAAGCAAAAGTTGTGGAATTGGAGGAAGAAAATAAAAATCTCATAATTAAATTGGAAGAGGTGTCCAAAGAACGTGACACAGAAATTGAGACGCTACAAAATGGCAAGTATTTATTTATGTATTATTAAGAAGTATAATTAAATAATTCTTATTGAAAATATATATATTTAATTGCAGAAGTGAAGCAATTGATTCAATCCAAAGATTCTGTCTTAGAATCGCATGACAGGGAAAATGAAAAGCAAATCAAATTAACTTTAAAAACACTCAGAGCCACTGAGGATGCTCTTTCTAAAGAACGAGAGAATTGTAAAATTCTTCAGAGAAAGGTGAGATAAATATAAAATTACATAATTTATAGTAATTTATTATTTATTTTAAAATTATTTCCTTTGAATTTTTTAGAATGAACGACTAGAACAAGATGTTCGTGGTCTCGAGGATGCGATAAAAGATACTTATTTAAGAGAGGAAATGGAGAATGAAATTAAATCATTAAAAGGCAAAATTCAAATTTTATCTAATGAACTTATACAAAAACAAATGGAATTTGAAAAATTCTCAGAATGTCGTGATGTGACTATTAAAAGATATGAAAATTTGGTATCTAATTTGCAAGAAGATGTCGAGCGAGAAAAAAAAGAGGTGTGATATTTGGAATTTTCTTATTAATTTCAATTTTTCTTTCCTAATAGAGTAGATAAAATATTTTCTTTCTATTTTTTGTAGAAAAGTAGACTTCAAGATCTGTTTCAAAAGCATTCAACGCCAACACCAAGTAAAGATGAGATTAAAAAATTGAAAAATCAACTGGAAATAGCTCAAGAAAAAATACGAACTTTTGAAGAGGAAAAAATAAAAGAAATGGAACATTCTACTCAAAGAGTGAGTTAAAAAATAATAATAAATTTTAATTAATTAGAATTTTCTAAATAAAAACTTAAAATTAATAGGATTATTCATTGATTAATTAGTTAATAATTAAATTAATGGAAATAATATTTTTAGACTCGAAGGGTAAGACGACGAGATAAAGAAAATTATGATAACACTTCGGATGATGAGGCACCATACTCGGAACGTAAAAAACGATCTCCACGAGCAAGAAAGGCCCCAACTCCAATGGCTGAAAGTTCAATAATTGAAGTATCCAGTACAGAGTCTAAGTGAGTTTTCTATAAATAAAAATAATTGAATTCTTTTTATAATAAAAATAGATAATAGAAATTAATAATAATTAAAATTAATTTTTTCCCTTGTTTCAATGAATTTTAGAAGACAAACACGCATGAGAACAGCACTTGGTCCTCCTGAACCTTTACCAATTATTGAAAAAAAGAGAACAACAAATAGACGAAAGAAATTGTTTCAACAAGAAGAAGATATTGTAGATTTAGAGCCTTGTGAGGTAAGCAAATTTCTTTTTTTAATTTTTAAAATATATTAAATTAAATATAATAATTTACTTTATAATTTTGCTAGACTCTGTCACCGCCTCCTCCATCTCCACTTACAGCAATTAGGAATTTGAGAGCACGAAAGAAATAATTTTCAATTGTATATACAGTGTATAATTATTTTTTTAATCATTTAATTGTGATAAAAATGTGTATGATTAAAATATCGTTAAATAAAGTAATTTTTTAAATAAATAGGTTTATCATAGAAAAGTTTTTTTTTAAAAATGTCCATTTTTATGCAAAATTAAAAAAATCCTTTAATTGCTTTAATTTAGAAAATTCTCTTTTAATATTCTTCTTTAAATTCATTTTAATTTAGTTGTTTCATTTAAACAAATTAATTGGAATAATTAATAAATTTCAAAAATTTTAAATCAACATGTAATTTTCTGATTTGTGATTGGTTAATTTACTTGGCGCGTAAAATTTAAATTCCAAATATATTCAATAAATATTCTCTTTAATTTTATTATATTTGGAAATAATTTTGTATAATAAATAAAAATTTATGAATATATTAAGGAAATTTTAATTAAAATTGATATAATTTAATGAATCTTTTTAATTTATCAGCAATTTACATACAATATAATAGAAATTTCCAAAATGTCGGTAGCATTGTCAAAATGGCAGCTACGCGAAGGTTGCAAAAGGTATGATCTGACATTATTTTATCTGTTAATTATTGTTATTTTACATTTTTGTGCATATAATTAAGCTGTCATTTGTAATTATCAAAATCACTGCATATTATAAAAAAGAAAATTGTCTTTTTTAACATTATTTTCAAATAAGACATTCATTAAAATTCATTGCTATAAGGCATCTTGATTCTTGAATATTCCCCGTTTTTTTTTTCTTATATTTCAATTTTCATTTTCTAATTATATCACCTATCAAAATGCAAAATACATAAAATGTTTAATATTTGTCAATATTTAACATTGGATAATAATGATTGATGACATTTTTCATGACCCTGATGATGATCCAGCATTTGTCTTTTCACAGGAATTGTGCGATTTAAGAGCTTCTTCATTAAAAAATTTTACAAATATTCAAGTGGATGAGTCAAACATCCTTACATGGCAAGGACTTATTTTACCAGTGAGTTGAAAATTATTTAAATTATATATTATTTTTTCATTCTAACCTATAACAAATCTGCGATAACGTATATATATATATATGTATACTATATATCAAAGTGACTAATGTGGCTTCATCCGTTAAAAATGTCTCATATATATATATATTTTTTTTTTTACCAAAAGCTCAGAAAATTATCCTATTATAAAGGATTTAAATTATTTTTAATATATATTTTGATTTTTCATTTTTATATTTCTGATAAATTAATTAACTTTATTTTTTTTTAGGATAATCCACCTTATAATAAAGGTGCATTTCGCATAGAAATTAATTTTCCTGCTGAATATCCATTTAAACCTCCAAGAATAACATTTAAGACAAAAATTTATCATCCAAATATTGATGAGAAAGGACAAGTTTGTCTTCCAATAATAACAGCTGAAAATTGGAAACCAGCAACGAAAACAGATCAAGGTTGATTTACTTTTCTATACACATATTGATTAAATTGTATATGTTTATAATTATATTAATTGTTTTTTATTTTTTTTTTTTTTAGTAATTCAATCATTAATAGCATTAGTGAATGAACCTGAACCAGAACATCCATTAAGAGGTGATTTAGCTGAAGAATTTCTTCGAGATAGAAGAAAGTTTTTGAAAAATGCTGAGGATTATACAAAAAAATATGCAGAGAAAAGGCGAGAAACATCATCGGCTGACTAATTCGAATAAAGCCTTATGCGCTAAGGTGCCTGATAAGAAATGACGAATCAGGCCCAGATCCATTGTACAGGTCTCAATGCAAATTATGATATTTATATAATGGAAAATTAAAAAAAAAAAAAAAAAATATTAATATTGTAATAAACAACATACGGTATTGTAAATTTAGCAAAAAATATTTGCAAAAATTCTCTTTAAAACAAAAAAAAATACCTTAGAGCTATAATTTTTTTTCTCGCTAAGTTCTTTTTTTTAATGTTTATTTATTTATTGTCCTAGAGGAAAGAAAAATCCTACTTCAAAAAATAGTCGAAAAAAAACGCATATACGAATGATTCATCAGACGATCTTTTTTATTATTATTTATTTTTTTTTTGAAACACAATTTTCCTGAAATCGTGGAAAAATTCATTTTTTTATATCATTTAATTGTATGATTTTTTTTATTTTTCCTTTTTTTATGATAAAAATAATGAAAAAAACTTTTTTCAGGGAACAGTGTGCAATTGTGTATAGATCGTGGCCCAGTTCTCGAGAGCCAAAAAAAAAAAAAAAAAAAAAAAAAACTTTGCGTGCTTACATATGTCCTGTTCGATAAGTATATAGAAAAAAAATTAATGTTCTTCAAATTGACATTGAATAATATAGAATATTGTAGTTGTATTTCTTAAGTGTTCAATGGTGAGTTATGTCGAGCATTAAATATAATAAATAGACTATTTTAGATAATATTGCGAATTAAACTCGAAAGAACTGAGCTCGCAAAAATTTCGTATTTCGTTTTGAATCTGTTTAAATAAAAAAAAAACAAAAACAAAACAAAGAAGTCAGGATCAGATTGTAAGGATTAATAATAATCGTATAAGTGTACTGTCAAAAAAAAATCGTTAAATAAACTTTTTTTAAAAAAAAATTTTCAAATTATTTTTCGTTGACAAAAATAATTTCTCAAATTAATATTTAGGAGAAATGAGAAATAAAAAACATGAAATTAATAATAAGCAGAAATTGTATATAATATATTTAAAGTTTGAAGTTTATAATTTATGAAAACTAATGATTGATATGAAAAATGATTATACAATTCGAATTTAAAGCTAAGTTTTTCTTGTTTGATTAGATAAGATATTTACAAATCTTGTCGAGAGATAATTAACATAAAGAGACATTTTTTTTTCTTTTTAATGATTACAGTTGTACGAAACGCTTAAAGGCACGATTTGTTGATGCGGTATAAAAATATAAAAAACAAAAAAAAAAACCAAATATACTTAAGAAAAATTTTCACAAATATAGAAATTTCTATAATTTGTCTCGAAAAGCTATTACAACATAGCCATACTTCGAATAAATATCTTATTTATAATAATAATTAATAATAATAATAATGGTATAAAAATCATTTTCAAAATACAATAAAATTGGTGAAAAAATAGTGAACGAGTCACAAATATTAAACCTTCATGACGACTTCAATAGAATATAAAATCCGCGCTTTTGCTGCAATCTCGACTTTTTTTTAATGAAATTATTATTATCTTGTCTTTAATGTGCAATGAGAAAAAAAGGAACAGTATAGAGCAACGAAGTAAAAAAAAATTGGTCTCCTTCACTTTACAGTGCTTTTTAAAAATTCAAAGAGTGCTGAATAGAACAAATAAGAGCGCAGAGTCTATAAATAAATAACAATTAATTTATTTTCAAAAAGAATTCTTACAAATATCAATGAAACGAGAATAATTTATATTATTATCTACCAAAACAAAAAAAGAACACGAAAATATTGTTTCTTCTTTTAAATAATAATTAAAAACGAAAATTCTTCAGCACTCTAAACTTAAAAAATGATTCACAGACTTTTTTTTAACAAAATGCGTCAATTATTATTATTTTTGTTAAAAAATTGTTTTTTTTTCATTAACAATAATACTCCTTATAAAATAGGAACTATAATGATTTGAGAGACACTATTTATTAGCACCGGGAATGTTTTTAGAAAAAAAAAAAGAAAGAAAAGAAGTAAGGTACCACAAAGTTCTCCCAGTTTTTTTTTTCTCTTACAAAATAGTCTTTTTTCAATGATTTAACTTTTGGTGACTTTGGTACTTTTCATCACCGGGTGTGTATAAAAAAAATCGCACTTTTGTAAATCACTGTAAAGTGGTAGAAAATCTGTTTTTTTGGTATACAAGTCACACGTATTATTTTATATGCACAAAAATTGGTTTTGCCAATGGGGAGGCGTGTGTAAAAAAATCTCGCAAAGTCTGTGGTTACTTATTTGAAGATTTGTTAAAGTAGAGTGCAACATTTCGTTTCATTTTTGCCGTCACTTGCTTCTCCTTGGTTCTCGTGTGCCTTACGAGCAGCTATTGCTCGCATCAAGTCAAAAAATACCTGAAAAATTAAAAATAAAAAAGAAAATACATTAGAATTAAATTTTCATAATTTTAAGCGCTTTAATTTTTCTCCTTAATTTCATTTTAATAAAACAAGGAAAAAAATTGAAGACAATTTTTGATTATTCGCATAGTCATGAAAAGCTTAGGTCTATTAATAGATAGACATATAATTTGAACGAATAAAAATGCGACAAGAAAATTTGCATATAAAAGACAGTAAAAAAGAAGCAGACATGAAACGCTCAAGTGGAATAATTGCGATTAAAAAAATAAAATACACGATGCGAAAAGTGCAATTAGAATTATTTTTTTTTTTCAATTCAAATCATTCAATAAGGAAAAAATGAATTGTTTATTGAAAAGTCCTCAATTTTTATTAATATATTTTTTAAATGATATAGTAAATAAAAATTGAGGACACTTTTCATGATTAACTTTACAATTAACAAATAAAGCGTTTTTTTTTTTTTGGAAATTTGTTAAAATCTAAACAAAAATTCAATTCGTTATTAATTCTTTCAATATATTAGAAAAAAAATGGTAATTTTTTTGTTAAATTATTATCGAACCTATAAAATAATGCACTTCTTTTTCTTCCTCTTCGCTCGATCCTTTCCACGACCATTACTCGCCGATTTGTCCTCAATTTTGCGTGATCGTATCTCACGCATCAAGTCGAAAAATACCTGAAAATGCGCAATCCATGCAATTTCTAAAAAAAAGCACGAAATAAATCTTATTTAAGAGAGCGATGCATCGCAGCATTTTTTTTTTTTAATTTTCTTTTCAAAGAGATTTACATGCTTTTTTTATTTATCTACAATATTAAAAAAAAAATGGAGTAAATCTTTGATTTAAAAAAAAAAACCTTGTATAAAATTTTATGGGAAAGATATTTTCTTTTACTTTTCGCGTAAAGAATTATTATTCTTTATTTTTGATTCATCAACAAAAAATTTCCGCTGACGAAGCAAGCTCACAAAGATCCATCTTTAAAATAAGAGTGAAAGTGACAATTACATAAAAGCAAATAGTGACAACATTTATAGAATAGCAATTAAATATATAAATGAAATTTTACACTTAACAGACAGTGCATTGAGTAAATAATTTAAATTGTTTTTTAAAAATAGAAAACAATCTCACCTTGTCGACATTTTCTTTTGTTTTTGCACTAGTCTCAACATAAGGAACGCCCCATTGTTGTGCTCTTGCTTGAGCCTCGGCCAATGAAACTTTTCTTTTTTCCTGGAGATCACTTTTGTTTCCCACTAATAAAAAGGGAATGTTTTCGTCGTTTTTTACTCTGAGTATTTGTTCCCTGGCAAGCAAAAATAGATTTTTTTGTTAATATTCTTTTATTTTATAATTTAAAAAAATTCTCTATATTTCTTAATTATTTTTTTTTTACCTGAATTCTTGTGTGGCTTGGAAACTGTCGTCTTCTGTAATTGAAAAAACACAGAGAAATCCTTCTCCACTTCGAAAATAGTTATCTCTAATAGCTGCATAATCTTCCTGTCCAGCAGTATCCAAAATATCTATTTGTACTTCCTCGCCGTCTAATACAACTGTTTTTCTATAAGAATCTGCTTTTGTCGGCTCATAATCCTCGACAAACTAAAAAACAAAATTCTCTAATTTAAAATATTTCATTTTTGTAAATTTAATTTTAAGTTGAATATTAATAAATTTATCAATTCTAATTTAGTCTGATATAGATATTTAAAATGTCAATGTCATGAAAAGTTATTAGATAAATGAGGTAATAGGTTATTAAACTTTAATTCTATAAGAGGAATTTGATATTCCACCCACACACACCTCGGCATACATGAATTGTAGAGTGAGAGCAGATTTTCCAACACCTCCACTTCCAACCATGATTATTTTGTGCAACGCTTGAGTAGCACCTGGTTTCTTCGACATTTTCTCTTGTGCTATAAAATAAATTAATTTTTCAATTTATAAAAATTATTTTCATTTAAATTAAAAAGAAAGTCTAATATTAATTAATCAAAATAATAAAATTAAAACAATAGTTTTAAATTAAAAAGAAAAAAAGTTTAGAAATTTAAAGAATAAATTGTTAATAGTATATACATAAAAAGAAGATTAAATTTTTCTTGATTTATTCTTTGATAAAGAGAATCAAGAGAAATGTTCATTCAGCAAATTTATCTTTTATCACTGAGTTTTGTATTACAATTTATTTGAATGAATGATATATACAAAGAGAATTATTTCCCACAAAATTGTGCGATGAAGATTGATTCAAGAGATGTGAAAATTCTCTGTGAAGAAATTGTCTTACTTCCATTAGTTGGAATTAGCGTTAAGAAAGACAGGATATGGAAATTAACTTGTCAGTGTGAGAAATCTTTAATAAAGGGTCAAGTGTAGCTAATTATACGGAACAAGTAGTGTAACTTTAGTTTCAATAATAAACTATCTCTTCTCTAAAATGATTCATGCAATTATTTTCATTATTAATACAATAAAAAAAAATTTAACAATGTTAATGAAGAAATGTAAGGCGTGACAAGTTCAGTTCTCTTTTCAAGAGCAAAATTTATTTATGTTTATGTATTTTTAGAATTATTTACAACTTTTAATAATCGAAAATATTCTATTAAAAAAACTGAAACTCTATATTTTACAAAAAAAAAAAAATGAAATTAATTAAATGAAAAAATGTTGTCAAAAGGAATCAGAGAAAGAATCTCATAAATAATTAAATAAACTATAGACTTATGAAAGTTTCATCAGCTGCAAAACTAGTTACGTTTCATAAAAAAAAAAAATAAAACCAATGAACTGAACTAAAACAAAATAATAAAATTAGTGAAAGGAGTTATGTAAAACAAAATTTGATTAAATTTCTATTATCTTTTGAAATTTTAGAAATATGAAAAATATAAACAAAGATTCATAGTAATAATTCTACATGCGACAACAGAAATCTCATAAATTAACCTTTCTTTCAATGAATATCATAGTTCTAAAAATACAATACATTAAACGTCACTTTTGACACCTGTCACTTCGTTTTAGAAAACATTGAATGTTTATTAAAATTTAATTATTTCTTATTGTTGAAGTTTCTTTGGTTAAGAGTAAATATTACTGTCTGAACTCGTGTAAACGTGAGAAAAATTAAATTGTTGATGATTATTTTAATATACACAAATATAAAAATTATAGAAAGTTTCTTGTTTTACTTATCAATAAGTTGTGATTATTATTTTTTAAGATTGATAAGGGCGGATACGAAAAATGAATAATGAAAAAGGCGGTGCCGCGCTGTCGTTTAATATCTGTCGATTTGCGGTTAGTGCATATCGATTTTCTTTTTTTTCAATGGAATTATGTCACTTTAAATGTGGGAAATAATCTCAACACCTGAATAAAAATGATGACCTTTAAAGTAAATACCTTTGAAAGATAGATCACAATGAAAACCTCTTGTGTACTACAACTATTCACGACAATTCACAACTGTTCACAACTGGCTTGCGTCACTCGAGGTATTTTACGTAAAATACGTATTTTACGTGCACTACTACTTCTACCAAAAAATACGTTTTGGTTGTATTTATTTTTTAAAAAATACTATTTTACACATTTATAAAAAACAGATTTATTTTTAAAAAATTATTCACGAACTTTATATTATACCCAATTCATCTATAAATGTTAAAAATAAATAAAAAGGACAATTAAAAATTTAAAAGGTCAAATACCGGAAGTCGAAAATATGTATCTGGGTCACGTGATCACGTGACTGTATCACGTGACAGAATAGTCTGCTAGAATTTCTGACATTGGAAAAAGTAGGGTTAGGATTAACAACAGTTTTTATTTACATTATTACAGAAAATTGTGCAAAAGAAATTATTAATAAATCTGAATTTTAAAAAGCTTTCTCGATAATATAATTTAATTGTGAATAAAATGGATCACTATAGTTCTCAATTGATGGAAGACATTGTACTTGAGGGAAAAAATTCTGCTCCGTGAGTATAAAAATAAATGCAGATAAAAATTATTATTTTAAACATATATACATATACATTTTGTCAATTTCATTAATGATTGTTATTTATAGAGTTAAAACGTTTGTTAAACCAAAAATAAAAACTTCAACTGCGTCAAATGGCTCAGGGACCAATAATCCAAAACCACCAAGAAAACTTAAAGTTGAATTATCAACTTTGAGAATTTCCGAAGATTCAGAAAAATTACTTTATGAAACTCTCAAACAAGTCTGTGGAGAGGTAAACAATGAATTATTTTTTTTTCTATTTTATAAATATATATTTTCACATAATTATCAATTTAAAAAAAAAATAATTTAATCGAAATATTTTCCACCAGGATTTCAAACTTTTAGATTCTTCGGAATTTCAAAATAAAAGTTCAAATCTTGGAAGACAATATTGGTTAGAAAGAGGAAATTTAGTGATAAAAGGTGTTATGGATTTTTCATCAAAGGATTCAGCACCAAAATCTCAAGATGAAATTATTCGACAATTTGCCACATCCACTCTTGAATCTTATAGGTATGCAAAAAATAATATAAATAAAAAATTGTTCACTAATAAATAATAGATTTATTGTAATATAATCTAATGGAGAATAAATATTTTTAGCTTTCATAATTCCCATTGTGTTGAGGCTTTGTCATTTTCTAATGGAAATGTAGGCAAGGCATTAGAAATTCTTTTCTGTAAATATTTTCAAGTAAAGAAAATCGAGGCAATTGAATTAGATAATCATATAGAAGAAAGTGATATTTTACAAAGACAAAATGAAGAAAAAGAGGCCTTGGAATCAATTTATGGTGATATGTTTGTTGAGAAGATAAAAAATCAAATTTGGGTTATTAAATTGAAATTAGATTATTTATTAAACAAAAAAGTGGATAATAAATCAGTTAAACCAAAACCGACAGAAAAAGAAATTTGTCGATTATTTTTACATGGAAAATGTCGATTTGGAGGAAAATGTAAATTTTTACATCAAAAACCACAGAATGATAGAGATGTGAAAAATAAAAAATCAGAGGACGATCCTTATTTTTTATTAGAAATTCGATTTCCAGAAGGTAATTTTTATTTTTATCAGAATTTTTGATTAGATTTTAAATTGATTTATTTTTTTCCCAGGTTCTAAATATCCATATGAAGCGCCGTATTTTTATTTTTCAAAAAGTGAATATTCTTTTTGTAAATTAAAAAGTTTAAGAATAATGAAAAGATTGTATGATGAAGCTTTGCAGCATTGTGAAAATGGTACACCATCGATATTCGCAATAACAACATTATTGGAAAATGAATTTGAAATTAAATCATATTTAGACGAATGTAAAGAACAATTTCTCGATAAAGATGATAAATTATTTCCAAAATTAAAGAAGGACAGTGATAATAATGGACCATCACATCATGTAAAAGGAGTTATGGATAAAAGAAATAAATCAAATATTTCGTGGGATCAAATTGTTAAAATGGACGATGAAATAAGACGAAAGTTTTTCCAAAAACAACGAAATTCACAATATTTAAAAATGAAAGATCAACGAAGAAAATTGCCCGCTTGGTCAATGATGGACAAGGTTCTTGATACTATTCATGAGAATCAAGTTACTATTATTTCCGGCGAAACGGGTTGTGGTAAAAGTACACAGGTTAGAATAATTTTGATTTTAATTAGACAAATAGTTACATAATTGAATTTTAATTATTTATATTTTTGTAGGTTCCGCAATTTATTCTCGATGATTGGATATTGAATAGAACGGAGGGTAATGATGATCACGTTGAAATTATTTGTACACAGCCAAGAAGAATAAGTGCAATTGGAGTTGCGGAAAGAGTAGCTGCCGAAAGAGATGAACGTGTTGGTCAAACTGTTGGTTATCAAATTCGATTAGAAAGCAAAATGTCTAGTAATACAAGACTGACTTTTTGTACAACTGGAATTTTATTACAAAGATTATCGGGAGATCCAAAATTATCGTCTGTAACACATATCATTGTTGATGAAGTTCACGAAAGAAGTGCCGAGAGGTAAAAAAAATTAAAAAAAAAAAAAAAAAAATTAAAGAAAAAAATTACAATTATAAAATATTTTCTAATTTTTTCAGTGATTTTCTATTAATGCTTTTGCGAGAACTTTTAAAAAATCGTCGAGATTTGAAAATAATATTAATGAGCGCTACACTCAAGGCAGATGAATTTTCCACCTACTTTGGTATTGTTCCCGTTCTCGATATTCCCGGTAGGACATTTCCTGTGGAGCAAATTTTTCTCGAAGAATTATTTGAAAAAATTAATTATGTTTTTGAAGAAAATTCCAAATATAGTCGACGAATTCGAGGCGATTGGAAACAATTGCAAATTGATTTGGAAACAATGGATATTGAATCGAATGCATTATGTGAACCAAAAGATCATATACCGGATCATAATCTTACACTTCCACAGATTGTTGGTCGTTATCCTGGTTATAATTTGCCAATTTATAAAGCTCTCTATCTAATGGATCCGGATAAAATAAATTATGAATTACTCGAGCAAACGTTAGAATGGATCGTTGATGGTGTTCACGATTATCCTCAAAGTGGATCAATTGTTGTGAGTAAAAAAAAAAGAAAGTATAGATTAAAATTTATTAACGATTTTATGTGAAATATTTTGATTTCTGCAGGTCTTCCTACCTGGATTTGCTGAAATTCTCACGGTGAAAGATTGCCTGAGGGATAGTAAAATTTTTTCAGCGAAAAAAGGAAGATTTTTAATAGTTCCATTGCATTCATCATTATCGAGCGAGGAACAGTCATTGGTTTTTAGAAAACCTAACGATGGTGTTAGAAAAATTGTTTTGAGTACAAATATTGCTGAAACTTCAGTAACAATAGACGATTGTGTTTTTGTAATTGATACTGGCAAAATGAAAGAGACAAGATTTAATTCCAATCAGAATATGGAGAGTTTGGAAACTTGTTGGGTTTCAAAAGCAAATGCTCTTCAACGAAAAGGACGTGCTGGTCGTGTTATGCCTGGTGTTTGTTTTCATCTTTATACAAGTCATAGGTATTTTATTAATTAAATTTTCTCATTAATAATTAATAATATATCAATGTTGATAAAAATTTCTTTTAAAGGTTCACTCACCAATTCAGTGCGCAGCCAATTCCTGAGATTTTAAGGATACCTTTAGAGCCGTTATTGTTACGAATTGAAATCATGCATAACGGAGGGAAAGTTGATTTTCAAAAAATTTTAGGTAAACTGAAACAAAGAAATTAAAATTCTTATAAAAATTAAATTTTCATGTCAGAAAAGAATAATAATGTCTTTTTTTTAAGGACAAATGATTGAATCACCGTCGAGGGAAAGTATAAATGCAGCAACAAAAAGATTACAAGATGTTGGTGCATTTGATTCAGAATTAATTTTAACACCATTGGGTCATCATTTAGCAGCATTACCAGTCGATGTAAGAATAGGAAAATTAATTCTCTTCGGAGCAATTTTTTGCTGTTTAGATTCAGCTCTGACAATTGCGGCATGTCTCTCGCACAAAAGTCCTTTTGTTTCATCTTTCGAGAGAAAACACGAATTAAACATCAAGAAAAAAGAATTCGCAGTCGCTAATTCCGATCATTTAACAACACTTAAAGCTTATAAGGTAATTTATATTATATCAAATAATTATTATTTTTATTAATAATATTTGTCTTTTTTTTTTTTTAGAAATGGTTGGAAATTTCATATCACAGTCCCCAGGCAAGTTATAGTTTTGCGAATGAAAATTTTTTATCAATAAGAACACTACAAACGTTGGCTGATATAAAATATCAATTTTTGGAATTATTAATATCAATTGGTTTTGCGCCAATTATGATAAAGAGACGACAAACTGGTGTCGATAGAATTTTAGATATGACGGGCAACGATCTTAATGCAAACAACGAAAATTATAAATTACTTCAAGGCCTCTTGTGCGCTGCTCTTTATCCAAATGTCGTTAAAGTTTTTACACCAGAAAAATCATTTCAAATGCAATCAACTGGCGCAATACCACGACAACCAAAACCTGAGGAATTAAAATTTCAAACAAAACAAGATGGACTTGTCAATGTACATCCGTCGTCGATTAATTTTTCAGTGGGACATTTTGCAAGTCCATATATTGTCTTCCAGGAGAAAATAAAAACAAGCAAAGTTTATATAAAAGAACTTTCAATGGTACCAATGTTGCCATTAATTTTATTCTCAGGCTATGGAATTAGTGTTGAACAACATGATGGAATTTTTGTCTTATCACTAGAGGATGGATGGATAATGTTTAGAGTTGATTCTGACAGGGTAAATATTTTTTTTTTTTATATATGTTAGAAATTAATTTATTTAAAACATATTACTAATTACAAAAATTGTTTTTTTCAGGTAGCACAATTACTTCAATATGCAAGAATTGAATTAGTTAAATTATTAGAGTTAAAGATGCAAGATCCACTTTTAAATCTTTTAAATCATCAGCATGGAAAGAAAATTATAAAAGCAATTGTAAAGATAATATCAAGTAATTAGATTCATTTTTTTGTTGTTGTAATATTTGTAAAATTTATTTTCCAACTACATTGAATATGTGATCAATTGGAAAAAATAGATTGTTTATTAAATTAAATATTTACTATTGAATGAAGAGATATTTGCATCCATTAACATTTTGTGAGTAATTTATTTTTTAATATGTAAGAGAAATAATAAAGATTGATTTTTGTATTCTAAATTGCTTTTTATAACAACCTTTTTATAACAATGAGTAAATAATGAGATTATTTGAAAATATTTAGTCAAATTTATTTATTATCAATTTTCACAATGAATAAAAAAAAAAAGAAAACATTCTATTACACCGTTTTTAAGAGTATATTTTTAAAAAGTTACCGCACAATATAAATGTTTATTATTATTATTAAAAATAACGAGATTACTTATTAATTAAATTTCTTTTCTTCATTTAAAATTTATCAGTCTTCATCACGTGCATAACCTTGTTTACTTCGTTTTGCTTTAATTGCGGCTACTTCTTCATCTCCAAGTTCTTCTTCACATTTTTTAATAACCCATGAATTAACTTGTGGAACTTTTAAATGAGACAAAATCATATTAACCTTTCCTAAAGTAAATCCTGTATGTAAAACACCTGGAATTTGAAATTTAATTTACAATTATTAGAAAGTTATATAAAATTAAATAATTTCAAAAATAAAATAAATATATAATAAAATTACGTACATAATCCAACGTCTGTATTTAAATCAAATTTTGTAGAACGTCTGTCTGATGTTATTTCATGAACTTTACTTGTTGTTATTTCGTTAATAATAAGACATTTATGACATCTTATTAATAAGAATGATCCTAATCCACGGCGGAATTCTTTTTCTAAATAACTTAAAGAAAGTGCTTCTTTACATGTTACACACCATAAATTTTTTCCAAGTTCAACTAAATCAACAATACGACGTCCTTCGGCAATTTTATTCTCATCTTCTGGTTCTTTTGTGCTAGCATCATCATTTTCAGAATTATTATATACTGTTTCTATTTCAGGTAATCTTAAAATTTCATTTTTTCCAGATACAATTATTTTTGCCTCATTTACTTGTTTCTCGAGATTTTCAACTTTTGACAATTCTTCATCGTCACTTAAATTCTCCTTCGTTCGAGGACGTTTTAAAATAACAGCACCAATTTCTTTCTCTGTATCCACTTGCATTTTATCAAATTTTAGATTAAATGATAATTCCAATAATAATAATATTATTCTTTAAACATTAAAGAAAATTGTTTTTTTTTACATAACCTCAAATTCTATAGAAATAAAAAATATTGTCAGAAATTATGTTAAACATTTTAATTATTTTAGTTTTCAATTATATCAGTAAAATAAAATAGTAAATACCCTACCTTATTAATATCCTGTGATAATTAAAAATTAAATGATGATCACACTGTGTGAAAATGTAAACAAACGAACTGTCACTTTTACTTCTGTATATTATTATTTATAAATTTTGAAATATTTCATTATTTTCATATTAAGTAGGAGAATTTACTAATGTGTTTTTTTAATTTATTAAAATATTTGTTAATTATAAATAAGCAATAATCAACACGTTTTTCTTTTAAATTTCTTTTTATCGATAAAAAAGGAAACAACAAAGAAGATTCAAAGTACGCCATCTGTTACGATATTTAAAAATTAAAATGAACTTTCTTCCTTGAAAATAAAAATGGCGACTTTTATGATGCAAAACATTATAGTGCACGTCAAGAATGATTAGATTGTTTTTTATAAGTGATTTGATAAGTTATTAAAATAATAATGGATATGCGATTAAGTACAACTCTTCTGGCTGGAGATCCACGTCTAGTGGATCACATTGTTGGCCAAGTTAAATCACAAGGAATTTTCGATCAATTCCGAAAAGAATGTATAGCCGACGTTGATACAAAGGTAAGCAAAACATTTTTTATTTATAATTTGTAGGCTATTGACTATTTTTAAACTTTCCTGACATTTTTGTTTTTATATAGTTTATAGATATAGACTTTATATTTATTTTTAACCTGAAACAATTTTATTCCTCGTATTAATTACTTTTACGTTAGTTAAGACAAAAAATTTTCAAAACAAACATAATTAAAAGTTACTTGCTACATTAAACAATGTAATTATATTGTAAATTAATTTTTTGATGCTATTTTGTGATAAATTAAACATAAATCGATAACATTGTTCCAGTTTGCATATTTTTCTTTTTTAAAATATATAAAATTTATAGGTTATGTTAGAATAGTTTAGATTTTTTTTAACCATCATTTTTTTTTGCATTTTAATGAAATATTATTTTTACAGCCAGCCTATCAAAATTTGCGAACTCGTGTTGAAAGTTCAGTCAATTCTTTTTTGAAATCACAAACATGGAAACCGGATATGAACAAAAATCAACTACGCGAGAATTTAAGAAAACACATTCACGATGCATCATTCCTTGATGTTGGAGTTGAACGAATAGTGGATCAAGTAGTAAATCCAAAAATTTATTCCGTTTTTATGCCACAAATTGAAGATGTTGTTTATAAATTTCTCGGTATGGAAAGGCCAAAGCCACGCGAAAAAAATGGATCATGTGTTCTTAAAGATTTATTACCTAAAGATTTAGATCCTGTTTCACCTGAATCAGATAGAAATAGTTTAAAGGAAGAATCCCTTGAGTCAATGGATATTAGTTTTGAAGATCAAGCTATTAATGGACAAAAGGAAAATAATTCCGAGGAAAATAAACCACAAACGTCAATCAATAATGAAATTAAAAAAGAAGAAGAAGAAGAAGAAGAAGATAGCAGAAAAATTGACGATAATTTAAAATGTGTCGATGATAATAAAAAAGTGGAGGATTCTAAAAAAATTGAAGATGTCAAAAATAATGAAGAAACTGTCAAATTAAACGATAGTAAAAAAATTGAAGATATTAAGAAGTTTGAGGAATGCAAAAAATTGGATGATACTAAAAAAGAAGATGAAGAAATTAAATGTCCTGATGAAATGAAAAATGGACAATTTGATATTGATGAAAATTCAATGGATGGCTTTGAAAAACCATTTTCAAAAGAAACTTCAATAACAAATCTTAATGCCTCATTTAGATCGGACGATAAAACTGAAGAGGAAGAAGAAAGTCCACAATTTGAACCAATTGACATAATGAATTTTAATGAATCAAATATTTCAAATGATTCACATTTATCAGGAATTTCTGAATTAACTAGTCATCGGTCACATAGTCCCAATGATTATTCCAATGATTTTTCAAGAGATAATTTTGAATTTTCCAATCAAGATCAAGATTCACAACTCAGTAAAGTCTCGTCCAATTCACGATTATCAATTGTCACCGATTTTGGTTCATCGAATCAGGCATCAACACCATTTTTCAATTCCAACGATGATAGTAAGGACAATTTCAAAGTTATTCGCGACATTAAAGATGACAAATGCAAGGATGAGAAATTTAATTTTGACGATATTAAAATAAAAGAAAATATTAACGAAAAAGAGAAGGATTCAAAAAGTATTAAGAGTCTCTCGTCGAGAGAGAATTCACGCGATGAAACTGATAGTGTGATAAAAGAAAAAAGCAACGAAAATCGTGATCTTAAGGAAAAGAGCGACAGCCGAGATGGAAAGGAAAGAAGCGAGAGCAAAGATAGAAAGGAAAGTAAAGACAGAAGTGAAAGTAAAGATAGAAAAATTAAAAGCGAAACAAAAGACACAAAAAATGAGTCTTCCAAATCAAGAAAAGAAAAAAGTGATTCAAGAGACTCGAGAGATTCCAGACGGCACAAGGATAGAAAAAAAAGTAGCTCAAGCAGTTCACGACATTCAAAATCAAAAAAAGAGAACGATCATTCACGAGAAAAACGAAAGGATACACCTGATAAAGCAAAAGATGCTTCGAAGGATAAAAATAAGGACAAAGATGAGAGAGACAAAGAGAAAGAAGAGAGAAAAGAAAAGGAAGAGAAAAAAGATCAAGAAAAGCAAGATGGTGTTCAAGATATGTCTAAAAATATGAAGGACATATACAAAGAAAAAATACGAGAATTACTTGAAAAAAAAGAGCTCACAGAGAAGGAGAAATTAAATAAAGACGCAAAAGATAAAAAAGATTCCTCACGTGATAAAAAGGATTACAAAAAGGATCATAAAACATCACGAAGTTCAGATCGTCATGATAAAAGTTCAAAATCAAAGTCCACCGATTCGAAAAATGACAAAAAACGTGACGATCGACGTCATTCGAAAGACAGTAAAAGCCGAAGTTCAAGAAGTGAAAAAGATTCTCGTTCAAAGAAGGAAGAGAAATCTGACAACAGTAAAAAAGAATCAAAAAGCGATAGTCAATCGTCAAAGGAAAAGAAACAACGTGATGAAAAAAAATCAAAATCATCAAAAGACGATCATTCGAGTTTAAAAAAAAATTCCAACGATCGTCGATCAACCGACAGAGATGGTTCAAATGGCAATTCAAATGGCAAAAGTTCACAAAAAAGTTCATCATCCTCGACAAAATCTGTCTCAACAACATTAACAAAAGATGCTAATAATACAAGTAATTCAAGTGGTGAAACATCCGAAGGTATTGAAGATTCACAAGGAAATGATAAATTAATTCCCAATGATTTGGAAGCACATTCTATTAAATCATTAAATAATGAGAGAGAAAATATTGATGATTTAAATAAAATTCATTTACCATTAAAAAAACGTCCACTCGACGATGATAATTCATATTCAAATGAATCGAAACGAATAAAAATTATTGACAATCCATCGGAGAAAAATCAATATTTTGAGAGAGAAAGAATTGTTCTGAAAATAAGAAAAAATCAAATTGTTAAAAATTCACCTATTGAAGATATTACAAAAGTTCCCGATGAAGAGCGCGTACAAATAATTGAAGTTCCCGCTGAAGATTGCGAAGAAACGGAAGAAATGTCCAATATGACATTAGCAGAAACTGCAATGATTATTCTTCATCAAGATGAATTAGTTGATAAAAATTTAATAAACAACGATCATAATAAAAAAGAATCAAAATTATCTCTAATGGAGGAATCAATTCGAAAATCACTTGACGAAATGATGTCTGATCAAAAATTAGTCGAAAGTGGCGATGATCCTGTAGCAAATGTTGAACGTGCAATTGAGACAGAAACTGAGAAGAATCTTCAAGAATTTGAAAAATCAGAAATTAATAAAAAAGAAAAAAATTTCCAAATTACAGAATTTGATGAACAAGACTCAAGAGGTTCATCAGAAACTGAAGAATTTGAGGATTTAGAAATTGAAAAAAATACAAGAAGCTCTGATATTGAGAAACAATTAAGGGAATTTGATGATAATGAAAATAATGATTCATCGGAAAGAACAATTGACACTATTTTAGAAGAAGAAAGTAGAGAGTCTGAGGATGAATTCATGAGAATTAAAAATATCTCCAAATTTGAGAAGGACACTGTAGAGGAGAATCTTGAGAAATTAGAAAGAGGTGACTTTAATTGGGAGGACGATAAAATTAAAGAATTAAATGATTCATTAAATTCTGATACTGTTTCGAAAATAAATAAATCTGAGGAATGTTCACGTGAAATTGAAAAAAGTTTCGAGAAAATTCTTGCAACAACACTTGAATTAAGAGTATCCATGGGTATAAAACGAACAACTGAAGATTTAATGCGAAATATAAAAATTGAACATGGCGAAAATTCGAAAAATGAGAAAATCATTGAAAAAAGAGAAAATCGAAAGAATAGAAAAAATTCGAATGAAATTGTCAATATAAAAAATGATAACAAAGAAGAAAACTCATCAATTGAAGATGCTTGTTTATATTTTATACCAGATAATGAACGTTATTTAAAATTCACAAATTTCCTTGAGTCTTATGAAAAAGAGTTGAAATTAAATGAAAATATCGATACTAATGAAGATATTAATATTGATAAAAATGTTAATATTAATAAAAATGTTGATATTAATAAAGATGATATTAATAAAGACGTTGATATTAATAAAGATGTTGATATTGATAAAGAAGTAGCAAATTATGTCGAAGAAGAGAATTCCGATGAAAAGAAAAAAAGAATGGCTCCACCAAAAAGAAAATTATCATCAAGTCCATTGAGTGATATTTTGTTGCATAATGCAAATAATAATAATGACGGCAACAAGGAAGGTGAATCGGAAGTTCTTGATGAAGGTGAACCAGTAGCGAAGAGGAAAAAATTGGGAAGACCAAAAAAGCAGAGACCAAGCCTAAATAGTTACAATCCTTCAGGATTATTGAATGGAGAAAATTTCGTTTTTCCACTGAGTCCCGAAAGTGATGTTTCAGCAACCAGTGAAAAAATAATAGCTCCACAAGTCAAAGAGGAAAAAAGGTAAATACAAATTTTAAATTATACAAAGTCCGTCGAATTCCTAGCAAATTAATTATTACTTTTAATGTAGCAATTTTTTTTAGATAAAAAAAAAAATGGTAGAGCTTTTTAAAAGTAACGCTTCAATTGCTTAGATAGAGAATCATCATTTTCATAATTCTAGTTTTAACAATTTTTCTAATTAAATTATTAATCATTGAAAATTAATTTGAATCAATAAATTAATTAAGGCAAAATTTTATTACAAATTTTATTGCAATATAACTTTTTTCGTTTTCGTATGAAAAGATTACTGTGAATTCCTGTCATCGTTATGCAAATATAACAAAATTAAGAAGATAAAAATGAATAAATGCTGCAGCCAATGTTAAAAATTTTTTTCAAACAAGTGTGTAGAATTCGAATTTTTTGTAAGTATTGTCAATAGATTCGAAATTTATTTTCGAATTAAAACTCATTTATAATACACAATGATTTTCAGACTTCACAGCTCGTTTGCTTTTTCGAATTTAATTTTCAATTATTCTAAGAAAAACACTTCTGGCACTTAAAATAATTTTTTTTTGTATTTTAATTTCTGTTATAATTATTTTTTTTCACGCATTTCAGCTGATTGTGTTAATTTTTTTTTCTCACTCTATTCGATGTCCTAAGGAAAATAAAGAAAAACATTTCATGAACGTTATTTATAATTTAAAATACGAATTTTCATTCTTTTTTTCTATTTTACAGATTTTTGAAAGCAATATATTTTTTTAAATGAAATTTCATAAATTAATATTTGTTTTAATAATTATTTTTCATTGAATGATTTCAGCCGACAGAGAAATAATCAACGATATTCAAGCGACGATTTATACAAGCCACGACCTTTATTTGCAACTTCATCTCGACGCAATAGAAGATCTAATCAAGCATAGCTATTACACTTCCTACGAATCTAAGTATTTACTTCCACTTACCAAAACTTTAAATATGGATAGCTTTAAATTTTTCAACTTCCGTTTTTCTTATAAATAATTAATATTAACATAACGCCTTATTATCTCTCATACTCATCTATTTTTCTAATTATGCGGAAAAACTTTTACACTAAATACAATTTTCAATTATTTAAGTAAATTGAAAGGAAAACATTATTGGAGTTAATAATCAAAATTAGACAAACTATATTGTCATTTTAATATAGTTAAATAGATGATTATTATTATTAATAGAAAAAAAAATAGATGAGTCACTTAAGTGCTTTGTAAAAAAAATATTCTTTTTTATTTTATTTCAAAAAAAAAATGTTTTAAGTAAATTTAAATGTTTGTATAAGAAAATTTTTTTCTTTTTGTTTTTTTTGATATGCCGTTTTATAAATTAAAACGTAAAATAGAAACACTTTTCTAAAGTCGCAATTATGCAATGTATATATATTATAAACGTGTATATATTATAAAAAAAAAATATTTTATATACTCATTACATAATTAAGTAGACATTTTGTATTTTCTTGTTAAACAATGAATCACAATATATATCCTTATCAAAATCTGTATAGACATGTGATATGTTTTTGATGCAAATTACTTTCGATTATATAGTTAAAAGCTTATATAATAATAATAATAATTTCTATTATTTAATGAAAATGTAATTAAAATTGTGTTCAATCAACGTACTTTATAATTAAAAATTAAAATTTATAACCTAAAAATTGAATAATTATTTGTTATTCATTATTATGATTAAAGAAAAATTTGCGTTACCTATTTATATGTATATATTAAAATTAATATATATTTAAATGAACTAACCTTAAATTTTGAAGAAGAATCGATTTATTATATAGATGAAAAATATTTCCATTATTATGAAACATTAACTTAAAAAACATTACGTTAATAAAAAATATCTTCAGTAGTCACATTGTATTCTTGAAAGAATAATTAAAATGCTACACAAATAATAGAAAATCACTGCATGTAAGTAAAAATATTTAATAACTAAAGCATCCACTATTTATATTTTTGAATTTCAAAAATTAAATTTTGAATCAAGTAGTTTCCATAAAAGGCGCGAAATAGAATTGCTGAATCTGGTTTAAATTACGCGCGCTTTCACTTTAATTACTTAAAATAAATAAAAAGAAAAGACTAAAAAAATATTTCTTAATAATTTTAATTTATTATTCATTAATCAATAAATAAATATATTTAAACATTTCAATTTGAATTTCAATGGAGTTATGTGGCACCACTGGATAAGAGTTGGCAACAGTTGGTAATGAAGTCCTCGTCAGTTTCATTGTTCACCCGAGAGAGTGAACTAGTATATTATTATTATCATTTTAGAGACGCATGCGCTTGTTAGATTTATTCTCGTTTCAATATATACACACACATTTGTGAAAATAGTGGTGTACAGTGTATTGGTTTTGGGGCGCAATGGAAAATAGAATTCTCACACCACATACGAGGGAGCCGTGGTGCGACAGCGGCAGAGACCACACAGAGGTACAGTGACGCAAGATGGCGAGGGTACAATGATTGCTGATTGCACTCTGTTAACAATCAATGTGACTTTTCACAACGAAGTCACATTTTTCTAAGTAAAATCATTGATATTATGTGTGAAATTATAATTCAAATAGTGTTCAGTGTTATTTGCAAGTGGATAATAATTTTACCTAACCTCACGATTGTGTAAAAAAACCGTTGTGATTAAAAGTAGTGGCGCGCGCCCCGGGGGTTGTAAGTAAACAAACGATGAGCGCGGTTCTTAGTGTCGGCGACCCAGGTGGTCATCTCGTTGACCCTGATGTAAAAACCATTATTGAGGAGAAAAATCAGTTAATTGATCGACAATATGCCGAAATCGAAAGGCTTCAACGTGAATTATCTGATGTTATTGGCGAGCGGGACGCTCTACTTTGCGAAGTGTCAAAATTTAAGTTCGAACTTGATATGGCTGACCTAAAACGACTGCATGTTGACAGGTAGGTGGGACTTGATAAGGATTTTCTTTTATTTTACTCAAAAATGTCGAATCGATAATCGTGCCAACATTTTGCCAAACCAATTTGACCTGCTCTAATTTTTTTTTTTTTTTTTTTACTTTTACCGGTTTATGTTTTATAATGTTGATTGAGATTGTGATTTTAACCTTAGATTTTTTTGCAAATTGTATCAGATAAGTATTGCATAAATGTCTGTAATTTGACGAATTTATCGGATTTTGGTAATTCCAGGTTAGATTTGATTATTTATTGCATTAATCTGATTTTTTTTTGGAATATTTTATTGCATAATGACATGAAATTTTTATTGCACTTAATTTTGGTATTTATAATTAATTTTGAGAATTAACTATAAAAATTGTGTCACAAGGGGGGGGGGGTTTATATACACATGTGTCATATATAGAATTCCAGGTTTTATACTTCGTTGAACTGTTTCTATACTTAGGCGGGGAAAATTGATTTCTTTCATGCACAACCGGTTCCTCGTTTTCTTCTCTCTTTTTTTTCCAGTTCTGTTGTCTCTTTTATGTATATATGTATGTTCAAGAGAAGAACGCAATCTATAGATATTCAATCGGCTTTATACAGATTAGTTTTTTCGATGCGATTTCATGGATTCACCACAAGATTCCTTTCGAATTAAGTGTGTCAGGGCTCAAAAAGGATTAGTTGATCGTTTCTTTATCCATGATCATGACAAGTTAATTTGAATTAAGTCATCTAATAGTATTGCTTTTAACATTTTTTATTATAATAGTCATATAATTAAAAATTCGTTTCAATCATTATAAATTGTAACTGGAATAAGAGGGTAAAGCAATTTTATATCATATAACTGAAAACATTTAAACGCTTTTTTATTTCAAGGCGAGACAACTTTTAAAAAATAATTGTTTGTAATGGACTATAAGATAAGATTATTATTTTTAAATATTGTATTAATTATTTTTCTTTTTTTAAGTCTATTATAAAATTATAAAATTATAAAACCACAATTTAAAATATTCTTTATTATAGATGTTGGCGAATTTCTGTGGTCATTGTGGTTACCGAGGATAATTTTTTTTTTTTTATGAGCTCATTTTACCGAAGAATTTGTCTTCTACTTTAACACATTTTGTATAATAGAGGAAAAATTGATGACGACAATGTTTAGCAAAGACGGTAATTGATAATTGGCTTTCACGATCTTTTAGATGAGCCAAAAGTTTTGAACGTTCAAATGAAAATAAATTTTTTTGTAACTTCTTTAAGTACGAATTTTATTACAAAATATTGTTTAAAATATCTAAAAAGAAGTTATTAATTTAATAATTGTTTAATTTACTGTTTTATTTTTCATTGCCGTTATAATTTTTAATAATTTATTAGATTGAAAAAAATATTTTGTTCATTTGAACGTTCAAAACTTTTGACTCATTCTTTTAGCAAGTGATTCGAGAATGTAGAAGGTTTCTTCGTTTAACATCAATAATCGACTTTGTTATCAAGATTAGACAGTTAAACAAAAAAAAAAATTTTTTCTTCATAACTAATCAAGATCAAAATTTGAAATGAAAAATTAAATTAATTTCATTAGAAAAAAAATGTTCTATTTTTCGTAATTGACAATTTCATTCAGCAATTTTCTAGTTTGTATATAAGATTTGACATATATATATATATATATATATATATTTGAGATAATTTCCCATCTCGTCATGGTGGTTACATTCTTGCGAAAGCTTCGTTCCACTTCCAAGAATCGAATTAGACTACACCCACGCTTAAAACTTTGGCAAAAGACGATTTCATCGAAAGAAGAAAAGTTTGTCTCTTATCACTTTCAACTTTTATTAAAGTTTCTCGTTAATGTTCTTGTATAGTAAAAAAAAAACTGTGGGAAGAGAGAAAAAAGGGGGAGGTAAAAAAATAATTTCACCTCACTAATTACTTATACTAGTATAGAAACAGGAAATTTGATTTTTTTGAATTAATTTTGAAATTTAGAGATTGTTTTGGTATTATTTAGCATATTTGTAGGGTTATTTTGAAATATTATAAAATTACTCATATATATATATATATATAGTTTTTGTGATTATGTATGAGAAGATATGAAACGGACCTATAAGGGATCTTTGGCATATCGTATATCTTTGAAAAGGGAGAAGGAAAAATAATAAGCAAAGAGTTAAAGAAGGTTCCCACGTTTGAATTGAATTGAAATGAACGAGCTGTGATATATATAGTTTTAAAGTTATGTTCGTGTCGCTACAATTATTATTTTGTCTACTTCATTTGTAAGTAATGAGTATACGTCATTATAACAAAAAAAAGAGACAATCTTGAATTTTTTTTTTTTTTTTTTGCATTCGCTGGTCACGGGTGAAGTGACATACATGAACGGGAAATGACCTTTGCTTGTCCTAATCTTATTAAAGTGATTTAATAGCCGTCGCGACGACTATTGTGGTCAAACTATTCTTGGCTTAAGAAAAAAAAAAGAGGTACAAAGACAGTGACCTTCTGTATAGCTCCACTGACCTTAAGAAAAGCTTGCAGGATTTTTTTTTTTTTTTTTTTTCATTTCTAGTTTAAAATTATTTTTTAGTAATAAAAATATTTTTTTCATTAATCAATAATTATTTGCTATAAATAATAGTTAAATAACCGCGTATTTGGAAATAATTAGTTTCTATGAAGAAAAAATAATTTTTAAATTTCAAAAAATAGAAATAGTAATGAAAAAATAGAAAATGATATCATTTTTTTTTTATATTCTTTGCGAAGTTAATTGCTTTTATCGAGATACAAGTTGATACGATAAATGATATCAGTTTATATCAGCAAATAAAACAGAAAATTTCTGGAAATTTTGTAAAAGGAAAAACTTTTATGGAAATTTTTTGGATTTTATTTGGCTCAATTATAGTGTTAAATAGAATTTGGTTATAAAAGAATTTTTTCAGTTTTGAAATTTTTCTGGATAAAACCTACTC